AGTTCGGAAGTAGTTTGTCATGGTAATGGCCACTATGGGTCAAAGGTTAAGGTCACTGTGACACTTTGTTTAAATTTCTTGTCTTATCAATAACTTTAGATGTATTAAGCCTAATTTTATGAAACTTTGAAGGGACATTGCGCACATTCGGTAATATACCCCTATTGATTTTAAGGCAATTAGGTTTAGATAACAGTTGTCTAATTAAAAACAAGAGTTTCCTAAGTCATAGGTTTATGAAACTTATTAGCTGTTATTCTATTAATATCACTTATAAAGATAACACTTGACTTTTATAAAATATGCAAGAGTATGTAAATACGACAGAAAATTAAGTGAGGGCATAAGTGTCACAGAGACACATTTCTGATTTTCTAATTTCAATCAATAAGTTCCTTTGTCATTCAGATTGTAACGTTTTCATTATTCATTCATTTGTTTTTAAACAGATTTTAAAAGTTGTTTTTTTTCTAGGATTTTTAATCTTTACATCTTAACAACGAAATGTTCTTTGTACTTGGTATTAAATTACGCAGCTTTTACTTTTACAAGTTACATTATTAATGTAACCTTTTTAACCATGTCATGTATATCTTGTTTCTGTATAAAACTGTCTCAATATATAGAACTTCTTAAGATATTTTAAACATTTAAAGGGACTCCGCGGAGATGTTTTAACATGATGTAACTGGAAATATTTTTCCAAGACGTGTGTACCTGTTGATGTTGGTCTGAATCAGTAACATGCGTACAAAATTTCAGATCCCCCTTTCACCTCTTTTTTCAAGAACAATCATTTTTATTTTGCAAAATGACCCAAAATAAAGAAAAGCGTTGCAACGCTTTTCACTAAGAATACATTGTATTAGTAAATGTCAATTTATCAATAATTTCGTGGAATATTTCTTTATTATCCTTTGCAGATTTTATTTTCATTTTTAGTTTTTCCCTTGATCTATGTACGAGTTTCAAATTTTATGGTTTTTTTTTGTTTGTTTTTGTTGTTGTTTTATTTATTGTTTGTTTGTTGTTTTTTTGTTGTTTATTGTTTATTTTTTTCGTTTTTTTTGTTATTGTTGTTGTTGTTTTTACCTCAGTGGAGTTCCTTTAAAGAGTGATCCTTCAGTATTATGTAAATATAAATAAAATGATACAATTATAGTAATAAACATATGATGGAACTATTTCTATATATATATATATATATATATATATATATATATATATAAGTCTCTTTGCAACTTAACATGAATAGCCAAATCACTTTTGAAATTGGACTTTCGAAGTTTTCAAAAATCCAAAATGAAAGATAAAGATTTGTTACAATTATTAAATCTGCAATTGATGCAGAGGGACTTTAAATTTTTAGGATGTGTGTATAAATATATGGCAATGCGTTTATGTATTAAAATTCAATTAATTTACAACAAATTTTGCATAAATGGCTCATGTAATTGATATTTTGTTTTTTGTATGTATGTGCATGTATATGTGTGTATGTATGTTTATATGTATATATAATAGATCTATAAGTTAGTGGTCCAAAGATCAATTTTGATTTGAAAATGTTTATTATGTAACTACTTAAGAATATTTTCGGCTGGTAATGACTTTATCAATCAAAATTGATCTTCTCCAAACTTTTTCTTTTTCTTTTCATGATTGTTGATATTATGTATATATGTTTATGTCATACACTGTTCGTTATTGTGCATGATTTATGTCCGCATGGGCTTTATAGCCTATTGGAATAAAATAAAAAAAAATGTCTATATATTTTGATCCCATGTAATTATTAAATATCTACAGCTAGCATTCCTATGTATTTTTATTCAAATCTTTTTTTATTAAACGACACGATGTATTTTTTCATTTTATTTTTTCATATCAATCAAAATTATTTCAAATTTTGCGGTGATTGGAGAGCCAAGTTGACATTTTAAAACGCTAATCAAGCAGATAATAACATTTGATAAGGGCTATTTATGAGGCGATATCTTAAAATATAGATCGTTATCTGACAAATCATTGTAGTCCAGTTTTCAACACTTCGCATAACTACGTCATGAATAGAACATTGCTTTAAGGATTCAATGAATTATGGGTCATTTTTATAAAAGTCTTTGGTATTCGTGTTGAAGATCTTCACCAAACCTTTTGTCTGTGTCACAAATGTATGTCTTTTTTTTAAAACAGTGGACGCAAGATTGTTAAGTCACTCGGAAAAAAAATAGTCCGTTTTAAATTTCGTTAAGTACGCATCATTATGTTTCACAATAGTTGTTTTTGTTTACTAGTATCGTAGTGACATGCTTTTTTAACCTACATCTTTTGATGGTTGAACAAAAGGACACGACACTGCGGAATTTGTTTCTACTCGTATAATACTATTTTAATATAAAGTTCAAAGTTCTTTTATATTAACGGTACACGCAACAATTTTGCTACGCTTTTATATAGGATATTAATTTACATGTACTTTATTTGAGTATTCAGGGCTTACCTATATAAGCCTTCAGACTTACTTAAAATTGTTCAATCAAACACTTATATAGCTTGCGTCATAAGCAATTTTACCAAAAAGATGATGATGGTGATGATGATGATAATGATGATGATAATGATGATGATTATGATGACGATGATGACGATGGTAATAATGATGACGATGCTGTTGTTGTTGTTGTTGTTGATGATGATGATGCATGTATAATAGAAATGGAAACTTACTTTTATGACTTGACTAAGCGTCAAAAATGTTGAGAACAAGAACTTAGGTTAAATAAATATATACATATAGAAAATTAAACAGATAGGTTTACATTGTTTCCCTTTTAAAACGTAGTTTATTTTATGTGAAATTTAAGATAAAGGCATTTAACATTAAAGCGACAAAAACCCTTCCCACTGACCATTTATAGCTTAACAATGAATATATGAGCCGCGTCACGACAAAACCAACATAATGGGTTTGCGACCAGCATGGATCCAGACCAGCCTGCGCATCCGCGCAGTCTGATCAGGATCCATGCTGTTCGCTTACAATTCTATAACAAGTACAGAAACTGATAGCGAACAGCATGGATCCTGATCAGACTGCGCGGATGCGCAGGCTGGTCTGGATCCATGCTGGTCGCAAACCCGTTATGTTGGTTTTGTCGTGACGCGGCTCATATATTTAATTGTGTTTGTAGAAAAAAAAGAAAAGAGGATTCTTTTAGTGTGGGAAAATATACAGATTGGTCAGTGTAATGACATTGTGATTTTATTTTTATAGAAATGAGATGATTTAAAGAAAACTTTGGTTGATTTTTCACTAATTTAAGAGCCCCCTTTATTTATCAATATTAATTTAAATCACTTACACCAAATACATCAGCCGACACTGTTTTTCTTTTAAAAATGGACGCAATAATTGATACTATTAAACATTTATATATAATTTTACAAACAAGTACAATACAAAAAGTAAATAATTTACATAATACGTCGGCAAATAAATAATAAGTAAAGCAATGTATTCAAATTTGAATGATTCAAAGCTATTTTGAACAAAACTTTTAAGATTTTTTAGGCTAATTAGGTGCGTGATTTCAAACTATAAAACGTCAAAAATATTTGAAAGCTTAGTGGATAAAATGTGACAGGGAGCTTAACCGAAGGTCTATTTACAAGAAATTAACGCTCCGGAGTTCAATTTTCTTACGCGTAAGTCAAATGGAATAAATTTGTAAAAAGCGGGAAATTATACGCCAATTAACGCATTCAGCTATCGTCTTCGTACTTCGGCATTATAGTAAAATTATGAACATGCGAATTTGATTGTGTTTCTGATCGCTATTAAGATGATTATTCAATTAGAGGGGTAAAATGTTGACGCGTTAACAGTGCTTAACGTCAACGTGACTTTTATATTGACAATTAATGGTAGCGAGACGGAAATTGTGTTCCAATATTCGATTTAATATGTCGATAAATGTAGGCTTATACGCTAACATTATAAAAAGAGAATAAACTAGTTATATCAAAAGAATTTATACATGTATAAATGCACATTCATTCATTCATTCATTCATTCATTTATTCATTCATTCGCTATTTTGTTCATTTGCTCGCATGCACGTTTTACTCATCCGTTCGTTCATTCATTCATTCATTGTTTTTAATTAATTAATTAATTAATTAATTAATTAATTAATTCATTCATTCATTCATTCATTCATTCATTCATTCAGTCATTAATTAATTAATTAATTCATTCATTCATTCATTCATTCATTCAGTCATTAATTAATTAATTAATTCATTCATTCATTCATTCATTTGCTGTTTAGTTAATTCGTTTGCTGGCACGCTAGATTTGCTCTTCCATTCGTTCGTTCGTTCGTTCATTCATTCATTCATTTATTTGCTCTTTCATTTGCTCTTTCGTTTGCTCGCACGCTCGTTTTGCTCTTCCGTTCGTTCGTTCGTTCGTTCGTTTGTTCGTTCGTTCGTTCGTTCGTTCGTTCATTCATTCATTCATTCATTCATTCATTCATTCATTCATTTGTTCTTTTGTTCATTTATTTATTAAATATTTTAATTATCATTCGTAGATATATTTTAGTTACTAATATTTGTCTATGAAGTTTGTTTAGTGACATTGCATCGTATGAAATCTTACAGCTATTTCTTCGTTAAGAGGTAGATCTACAGTTTAAAAATGAAGAGGAAAAAAACATAACTTTAATTTAGACTTATCTCATTTTAAAGGACTAGAAAATGTTCATATTCATTTTGTACTATATCAGCGGCGAGAATATTGAAATCAAACAATTCGCCGTACGATAACAACCCATAGCTCCAATCAAAACAAACAAATATCGTGCGTCTATAACAGTAATAATGTACCCAAAGTTTATCTAATAAAACAAAAAAGAGCGGTCCTCATTTTTATTTTTTAATTTACTGCCCAATAAATCGGTTTATAAATCAGAGTACTGTATTGAAAACACTTTATCTAATATTGCGCGTGTAATTAGTTCGATATATTAGATCTAAATATCGATTGGGCACTTCTGTGGATAAAACCACACCAGCGCGGTTTCTCTAATTCAAGGCCCAGGAAACATTGGTGCCATTGATTTTAGTTTACTTTTTTTATTTTTTTAAATCTCGAATTCGGTATAGCTTTGTGGTTATCCTTGATACGCGGTTGATATAAATATTGACTTCTTTTGATTTATTATACAGATTTAAAGTCATCAATCGGAAGTGCAAAGATTTATAGGGGTTTAAAATAATACAGAAAAATTAAATGACTTTAGAATTCATTTGAGATATAAAAGGAGTAAGCCTTGGATGTTAATTTTAGTTGGAATAAAAATACAGAAAGTACAGTTCAAAAGTAAGTTATGTTCGTCTTATTCTAAAATATGGAAAATAAATATATACATGGGGAATAGATATTGTATTATGAATTTTCCTGTTCTTTTTGTAGAAATAAATGTTGTCTTTTTTTCTTTCAACTAATTCATTTGTTTCTTTTATTTTTTTTTCTTTCGAATTTATTATCACTTTCTATTTTGAAAATAGATTGGTTTTTGCTATAACTTTAGTTTGTTATATCATAATGATTAAGTAAAATGAGCCGCGTCACGATAAAACCAACATAATGGGTTTGCGACCAGCATGGATTCAGACAAGCCTGCGCATCCGCGCAGTCTGATCAGGATCCATGCTGTTCGCTTGCAGACCCTATAACAAGTAAAGTAACTGATAGCAAACAGCATGGATCCTGATCAAACTGCGCGGATGCGCAGGCTAGTCTGGATCCATGCTGGTCGCAAACCCATTATGTTTTTTTTGTCGTGACGCGGCTCTTATGTGTTTATTTTATCATTTATAATCATATAATTAAACTATTTAAACCCTAACCATGCTGGACCAGAAAGTGCATAGTATTTGTGGCCAGAAAAGAGCCAGGCTAGACTATACATCCGTACAGCCTTTTCAGGCTCTATATTTACTGGTGGCTGACTGACTTTTATATTTTCATCGCTGTAACTCACAAAATCAATGATGGACAGTTCCAAATAGAAAACGGATACGTCCATTTAAAATATTCTGCCGGTTAATGGTCAGCCATTAGTTGTTGCTGTTGTTGATTCTGTTGTTGTTGTTGATTAAATTAATTTGAAGGAAAAGGATGACCTTATATGCGCTAGTATTTTTTTATTTATTTTTTTTAGGATAAGAACAGAATTTATTATTAGTTGAAAATTATATATTATCTACAATACATTTCATTACATGTATAATAGTTTCATGAACAATAAATGAGTAAAACATGTATTTTGGAAAATAAAAGAAATGAAATTTTGCCAGCAGTAAGTTTTGTCAACTAAAATTGACACAACTTTAAATTAGGTATGTGACAATTAGGTATATAGAGTTTGTAAACTATACATTTTTATTATATATTCCACATGTTCATAGAACACAAATTTGTCGTGTGTTAAAAATAAAAAAAAATAAAAATAAACATTTTTTTTTAATTTATTTATTCATATATTTTGGGGGAGGGGGAACAAAGGATAAATATTTACATACTCAATGCCATACATAAAGCAAAAATAAATAAATATATTCAATCTGATTTACATTTCTAATAAAAAGGTGTTAAGGTATTGTAAAGAGATTTCGCAAAAGTTCTATTTTTAGCTTGATTAACGCTCTTTAAAATGTAAACTTCGTTACAGTTAGAGAATCATTTACACGGTAACGTAAGTTGTAAGAATCGTAAGTGGAACATTTTGACGTGAACATTGTTTGAACAATAAATTTCTTAACGTGTGTCTGCTATTTACCTATACTGATTCTTATTTTGTAAGAAATCAAATATATATACTTGTATTATTGTAAGGCTGATAGGAGGATGCTCCTCGACCCCTATTATGCCAATGACGGGGAAAATAAATGGGGTTACCCCTTAACTGGGCGCCCGAAAAAAGAAAACAAATAAAACAACTTAGTCATACTAAAACTGAAACGTTTTTTTTTTTGTCGTATTTTTTGTGTGCTGATAATAATAATCAAAACAATAATAAAGGAACTCCACTGGATCTTTTTAAGATTGCGTAAATTTGATGTAGGTCTGGACCAATAATTTGCCAGTGTACCATCTCTTTTGTGAGATGGTTTTTTTTCTGGTTTTTCTGGTTTCGAGTACCCGACATGAAGGAAAATTGTTCAGTGTGATTTGGGCATATCTACGTATTTTCTCATTTGTTTTCTGAACGTTTAAACCAGAGCCTGTTGGTGGCAACAGAATCTATCCCTGCAACCAGTGCAGACGAAAATGAGAAAGTTTTGTTGAGTATTTAGTCAGTATGTGTATTCTGAAAGTTTATAAGAGTTTCCATAAAAACTAACGACCAGTATTGTCAAAATTGAAATTGGACGAGCTCTTATAAAAAATTTGTTGGAATAACTGTGGCATGTTAAGTGAATTTGTTAAAATCACACTGAGTCTATTTATTATTGCAGGTGGCGGTGTAAATCTACTGTCTAACAAGAGATTTAGCTAAACAAATATCACAACATGTGTAAGTAAATATATTTTCTAGTACCTTTTTATGTTAAACATGATTTAGACTATCTCCTCTCTTTGACTTCATTTTTATCTTTAAAGAGGTATTTTATGTTTAAAGACTTGATGTAAGATTGGGTCATCTCTTGATCTTACGAACGTGGTTAGCTGGTTTAATTAACACATAAAAATATTTGGATGTGAAACCCTCCATTTAGATACAAATACAATTTCTTTTGCCTTACAGAAAAAACGATCTATTTTTTATTTTTATTTTAGATGTTATTATATTGCATTAGTTCGTTTAGATTCATTTCTAATAGGGCCCTCTTAGCTCAGTAGGGAGAGAATTCATCGGGTTGTAATTGCTGGGTCGGTAGTTCGATCCTCGGACGAGGCATAATTTATTGGAGACAATTAATCTCGTGATCACTTGTCTTTCACTGTAGATTCATATGGTGATTTAAAAGTTCCCCGCTACTTTTTATAAACTTTTATTAAAATAGACGCTATAGGCCACCATAGATTCAGAAATAATTTTAATTGATCTTTTAACATTTCAGCGTGCGCCAACCCTCCTCCGTCAATTACAGGTGGCACGGTAATCACGAGCGGACCATATCCCGACACAAGCGTTGCCGTTTACCAATGCATCACGGGATACGCTATGTCGGGGACGGCATATATCACGTGCTCAACGGGCGTGTGGTCTACGTCACCCACGTGCTCCCTACAAGACACGAACCAAGTGACAGTTAATCTGAATGAGGACAGAGATGGTAGGCATAAACAAGTAAATTTATAAAAATTGAATTGTATGTGCTTTGATGATTTGATTATTTTTTTAAAATTCTTTAATGGCAGAACAAGCAAAATTTTTATATGTTCGTGTCATAAATTGGCTGTTTAATCGTTCTTGACAAATTTTGCGCGGGAAATTAATGGGCATAAGCTGAAAAAGGCAGACACATGAACGTAAAATCACAACTTGTGGCCCGTTTGTGTAATTGCTTATCAAATACGTTTATTTTTATTTTCAGATTTTCCATCATGGCTAAGCTATGTCATAATTACCGTTTGTGGTCTTTTAGCCTTGCTCATTATTGCTTGTATATTTGTCGTCTGCTGTCAGCTGCTCGGGTAAGTGTAGAATAAATAGTGAATAGTAGTAGTAAAATAAATAGCAAACTATTGTCCGGAGTGTCCATTGTCCGAAGTGTCCTATCAACCTAAGGGTTGACGGCGTCTTATGAAGTAACAGACGCATCGAAGTCATTATGTTTTTAAAGTTTAAATTTCACACCAACATGACTAAGTTTCCTCTTGTAAATTTGCCCTTTTTTCGCAAATATGACATCAGAATATATGTGCCTGATTCAATACGTGTTTTTATTGGTTTATAGATGGTTACTAGTATAATACGGTCTGTAAATATTTCACTGGTGTAAGTGGACATTTTCAAGTGATGGACTGTTTTCTTTTTCTTAACTTTTCAATTTTGTTTTAATTTTTTTTTTGTTATTGAGAATAACAACTTCTTTAAAGAAAATGATGGAGGTTTTCATGCGATGGATAACACACACGTTCTCCGATGTAAATTAGGCGTCTACGATGTTTAAAATTTATATACCTATGCTGTCACAGCTGTCAACAACAACAACAAAACTGTTCAATGTCATCTTTAGTACCTAGATAGCATGTCTCCAGATGAAATAATAAAATCAAGCCTGAGAAAAATGTTTTTAGGAAAAGTAAAAAGATCCGAGAATAATGTAATATTTTACTTGTTATGTGCAATTACTTATTGATTTTTCAGTACTTATCATTATATTTGTACTGCGTTACTAAAGCAATAAAGGCTATTTAAAAAAAAATTTTTACCTCGGTTATTAACATATATTATGATGATGTAAATTTGTAAATTTTTGGCAACTTCACAATGTTTTTCTTTTGAATAAAATTTCAAATTTTCCATGAAAATTAGAGAATCAATGAATCTGAAGGCATGTTTTATACAATTATTATTAGATATTTGTTCCACTTATAACATAGAACATAAAAAGATTTATTTGATCATTACTAAATTTAGAGAGAGAGAGAAAAAAAACTTTGTCCTGTGGAACTTGTGAGTGGGCCCGCAATAACGTAATATTTTTTATTTTTTTCAATATTTTTTAGGACCATCCCAAATTGAATGAATGTTGTTTTGTTTTTTTTTAATAATGCATTTAAATATGACTATGATTAAATAATGACTTAACTTAAAAGTATGTGCATTGTTTGCACAATAAAATATTATTAAATTAAATGAAGTATATAGTATTTTTTCTGGCTTTTAAGCATACAATATGACATATTAAATATTATTGACCAATTATAACATTTTGAAAATAAAATATTGTAATATTTGAATTACGTGATTAAGTGCACATTCCGTCGCTTGTGATAAAATTGTCTTTTTAAACTTTCCAATCCTTGTGCCTTTTCAAATTTAAAATGGTGAGAGAGAAAAACTCTTCGATGAATAATATGACGTCACAGAGCCATTTCATTAATAGATAAGGTCAAGTGCTCTATGATAAAATATTTTTATTATCAAAATTTTCAAGTGGAATCAGTATCAAGTTATTTGATTTCTCTTCAATAAAGCACGTGGAACCCGTGCCAGTATTACGTATTCAATTAAACAATTAAGTAATAAGTGTATGTAATATTTGCTCTCGGGAGATAAAAACATATGAGCCGTGTCACGACAAAACCAACATAGTGCGTTTGCGATCAGCATGTTCGCTTACAGACCCTATAACAAGTAAAGAAACTGATAGCGAACGGCATGGATCCTGATCAGACTGCGCGGATGCGCAGGCTGGTCTGGATCCATACTGGTCGCAAACCCATAATGTTGGTTTTGTCGTGACGCGGCTCAATTATAGTGAATTGGGTGCAAACAAGTTGATCGAACTTTTCATTTTCTGGGCAAATGAAAATAAAATGAGGTTTTCGTCAAATCCCCCGAGTCACGATATGGAATGTTTCCGGGTCGATAATAAATTCCATTCACCATACACGGCAGCGTTCAGTGAGCGTTACTGTTTTCATTTTTTATGTGTGTGTTATGCATTCCATCGTTAACAAAGCAATGAGATGGGGGGGTCGATTTTGCACTTTGCCTGTCTTTTTCAGTTTTATCTACTTATTTGTTGCTACTTTACCGTCTGCATTTTTCCTCTACCACTGAATACCTAACATCGCAGATTTGAGACCTCAACCGACAATATATATAGTCTGTTATCATGCATGCTAGAACATGTATAATGGGGTCATCATTGTAGTATATTGATCCATGTGATCTTAAATTTGCATTTCACTCGGCTGGATTTTACCAGGACAGGATCTCACCAGGTGCGGTACCGGTAGTGCCGCGTGAGCTCCGTTCTAGTAAAATCCATGCGAACCAAGTATATTTAAAAGAACAAGATCCCTTATAATAAACCATCTTATTATATACATGAATTTTTGCAAACACATAAAAAGTCGAACAACAACATTATGCCTACGACATTGCTTGCAATTTATTCCAACAAAATGAAATAAATTGCAATAAAATGACCAAATTGCAATAACTAACTAAAAGATAATTAAAATTTAATATTTTTCACTTGATAGCTTCGTAACGAATGTGACGTCAAATAAAAAAACTAATATCCGTTAATGTGCCAATATGGAACATGTTTTCATATACATTGGAGAATTCAACATAACATGCATTTTATTAATAAGGCAATAACGTAATTTGTATAACACCAGCGACGTCATTCGTCATTCCAAATCCGGGTGTAATATATGTACGGGTATACAATAAAGTTTTTAATCATATATTATATTATATAGAATGTAATTAGCTCTTTCTTAATATAGGTATTTATTGTAAATGTCTTTGGAATTTTTCTATAAGCACGCGATAAACGGAAAAGATTACATTATTAGATTAAAACCGCAGTCAAGTATTTAAAGGCGTGGGGACGGAAAAAGGTTTTCAAAGACAACTTTCATTATCTAAGTACAAAATATTATCGAAACAGAAAAAACTTCTCGGTTTCAGTAATAACACATCAAAAATCCGCAATTTTCCTTATCAATCAAAATCTTTCCCATTAAAGCTTAAAATGTCAAAAAAATCTAAAGCCGACTTTTAATCAAATATCTTATTACATTTAAAATTAATCTTTATTCCCTATAATTTTTCACTTATTCCGCTTTTCAATTTTTCAGTTGCTATGGAAAAGGGAGTTTATTCGGGGAACACCAGCCGTGCAATTCATTTTGTTGCACCTGTTGCAGAAAAAGAACGAACAGGTAAAAAGCTAATAACGTCATTTCAAAAATCAAAATTCTTGTTTTTTTAATCTTTAAGGACACCGTAGAACCATAACTTCATATTTAAACTAAGAGTGTTCCTAAACAACAGTATTTCATATTGTATAAATACATTATCCCAGTAAAAACTCAAGAAAACTAGATTATGACATTTTATTTAAAATATAAATCCTCGTTATTTCAGTTACGACCCACATAAACGTTTATGTAGAACGTTTCCCCGGCGATATGAGTACGACGAACACGGTCGTCGGTACCATATTGATGATATTGGCCGACGGTGTTACTACGAGCACAAAAACAACCACACGACTAAAGTGGTTAGCTATGCCGATTCGGACGCGCCCGAGGTAGGCCGATTACTAATTGTTTATTTACATTTAAGAAAAGATCTTTTGCCTTCTATTAAGACCCTACAATTGCATATATATGTTCAACAAACCATTTCGGAAACCAGCCACCATATAAACCTTTTTTGTAAACTAAAAAAACGTCACCCTCGAAATTTATATAATTTTAACAATATTACTGACTTTTCGAAGAAAAATTGAAAAACAGGCCTCCAGGGTTAACATGACATTGCATAAGAGGAATTAACTATTATATTTCATTAAAATGAAATATTCAAGTTTAGTCGAACAGGCTCTAAGCATGTATTTTTCGCAACGTTATTGGCAAATGAACTTATTCTATGACCATATGGAAAAATAAAAATAAACCGCGCCCATGTGTAATGCATGAATGAAAATATTCATACGTAATATAGGTAAGTCAAGTCGTCAGAGCATGAGATGATGCGAGGAATAAATCGAAATAGAATAACATCTGATTCATAACGTCAAAAAAATCTTAGCACCTAATGCAAATAATGGGCACTTTAGACAGCTTAAATAGTTTTACAGCTAATGATATTAATATTTAATGAAATATATACCCTCTAATGAAAATCAGAACAATACCTAACAGTGCGATATCAGCGATTATTGTGGACTTAAATAGACTTGTAATATTTGATAAAAGTGCTAATCTATTAAATGAGCAAATACACGCCTTCTTCAAATTTGTTGAAGTCTTAATTAAACCATTTGCCACCGAAAGTTTGTTCTGCATTATTTAATATACATGCAATATAAATGATCCTGCTATAGATATAAATATTAGAAGTGGAATCATTAAATCAAGATATTAGAAGTACACATTATCTTTTGACATTTAAAAAAAGAGAGAAAAAACGATGAAAATATCTGTTTGTCTACCATGTAAAAAATACCAGCAAATCTGTTGTGTGACAGTCACGAAAATCTATATATCAACGGAAACCAAATACCCGATTAAGTGTTTAATTAATTTTCAATCGATTCCAAATATAAGATATGGTTTTGAATGTTTAGTGAAACGGTAACCATTACTTCATGTTTTCAATCAATCTACCACTTTATGTCAATGCAGCTTTTTGTGGGGTCAAAACGCGACAATTTTATTAGCAGACGATAATTATAAAAGAACGTGTTTTTTTTCTACTAAAAGGTTTCCCGCTAAATTAATGGGGCAAGCTTTATTGTCCTCGCCAAATGAAGGTTTCCTATTGAATCTTGTGAAAGACTTCTCATTGCAGTGATCGTAAAGTTATTTCTAAATCTCGATAATCAATTCATTTAAAACAGAACAGAACAATTTGAAATGTTATTATAATACGGCTATGTGTTTGATAAATAAATAATTTATGTAAGGATTTCAGTAAAATGTTGTTACGAAAATACTTAAATGGCTGTAAATCACTGGTTTAAGTATTCGATACGTGTTAAAGCCGCACACCTATAAATCTATTCTAATTTTCATTAAAATTTTGAAAATGTTCCAAATAGTAATGGCATGGTGAAAAGTAAACAAAAACAAAGTGAATAAATGTAACGGCATTCTACAATACATATATAGTACATGTGTCAAGCTATGCTAAAATAGTCTAATCCGTTAGTAACGGAATAGAAAATAAGAAAAGCTCATAAATACAGCCATATCTTGCATTGTACATATACTGTACTAACATATTGTGAATACATTTTGTCATGTTTTTATAATCTATAGATCACTATTCATATTAGCATGAAAGGATGCTAGCAAATATAAATTCTAGTTCAATAAAAAACAAAACAATATAGAATTGATATAATTTATTGGCCGTGATACCTTACTTTAATTTTCTATAGTATTTAGTCGTATCTGAGAAAAAGACAAAAAATGATTAATTCCACATCGCGGTAACCCAGGCTATTTTCTAGTATCGGTATATAAATATATACGGAATGTATACCGTGGGTTCCGGCGGGAGGAATATCTCAGCTAGCTCACTTGTTACGCCTTCTTTTTTGTGTTTCAGTCGAACCATACCAGTACACCACGTGGCACGTTTGTGACGACAGTTAACGAGGTTATAGCCGACAAGAGATCACAGCCGGCCAAAGAGCTAAATTCCTGGAAACAACACTCACATCCGGTTAGGACCATCAACACCAGCACGAAATAGTTCCCCAAACTTTCCGTATTTTATAATAAAAACATTTCATATTTGAATACAAGGGATGAGTAATTCCGGAGTGTAACAGTTAAAATAATTTTGATATAATTTCAGAATGTTAAGGTAAATTTATGTGAAAGTAATATAATGTATATATTTAACTTATATAGTTATTGAACATTGACTTAAATGCACATAAAACATATGTAAGTATTTCTACATTTAATTTGCTATTGTTTCGAAATTGATTATTTATAAAAAAAAATTTATTAAAGTGACATTATTTTCATTTTTTTTACTGTCAATTTGAACTGAATTTACTATATATTTCAAAAGATTGAATGTTATAATGGTGATTGACCAACAGATGATATTGGAAAATGTTAAGGATAAAAAATCAATCTGTATTAAACAAATATAAAAAGACGACCGATTCCGATTGGTATATTTACAGAAATTTCCTTATTTTTCGTTCACGCGAAGTAATAAAATTCTATAATAATTATTGCAAAATGTTTACAACTTATTTGGGTTTTCATTTATTCGCTCATTATATAACTTTGGGTGGACATAAAGTCATTTAAACTGGACAATATTTCATTCTTTTTAGCAAAATATACATTTTCGTCGGTGTTCATCTTGTCGTGCCTTACGTTTGTAAGGTCCATTTTCATTGGAAGAGCGTGACGGTTTATATCATCTATATACATGGCTTTTACCAATCTTTGAACTAAGTTATATTCCAATTAAAGAAAGCAATAGTGCAGTATTTTAAATACGTTCGTTATCAAAACCTTTCACAAAATATATGGTAGTTTGGACGGTTGTTTAACTTACATAATTATGTTACATTCGCTTTTTTTTTGTTTCACGGGGAGAAAAGCACTAATTAAGAATCATAATAAATCGTATTATTCATTAAATGGTCACATAGAAATATTTTATTCAAACCTTCAGAAATTCATACCGTTTTTCTTTCTTTAGAATGGGCAAATATGTGCCTGTTACTCAACAAGTTTGACGATTACCACCTAATGAAAGTAGCGGTGAAATGCGAAATAATGTCATATAAACAACGTTACTATTTTGCAAATGAGAAGCAGATTATGGCTCGGCTATGTGGCCAATTAGTTACTCTTTGGAAACCAACATGACATAAAAACAGTGTTTTCTTATAAAATAAACGTCATATAATTTTTGGAAGCTGAATGTGTTTTAATCATGATAAAATACTGTAATTCTAGACATGGGATTACAAGCTTTCAGATGCCCAAGTAGCGATCATTCATGTTAAGAAAAATATTCATAAGTTCTTATACTATGATCACGTTAGTATTCACTGCCAAATGGACTAAAAGGAACCCCACTGTAGTACAAACTCCTAAAATAATAAAATTTGAAATTATTTCATACATTTAAAATTCAAAACTATGCAATACATATACCCCGTAGTAAATTTATAATCGATTTAGCCGATTTGATTTGAGTGAAAAATGTTGCAACGTTTCTCATTTTGGGGTCAATTTGCACGATAAAATTGATTGTTCCCCCCAGAAACTGAGTAAGCGAATTAATACTAGTTATTGGTGTAGATTTACATCCAATACTACAAAAAAAGAAAAAAAACAATAAAAAAAATTAGAAAATATTTTTGTTCCATTCATGTAAAAAACAACAAAACAAACAAACTCAGTGGAGTTCCTTCAAACACAATGTTGCAAGAAGTACCTATATAGCATTTGCTTTCTAATTAATGGGACAAATGTCTCGTCGTATTCTCCGTTAATGTTGTTGCTTTAGTGCTAAAATTGTGTATGATGTCAATGCGATGATGTTTAATAATGGCATTGAAAAAAACTGTGATACTTTAGTAATAAATAGAAATATCTCTAACCTTACTTTTTGCGTTTTTTATTTACTTGACATTAAGTGTATGGCCTGTGAAATGTGGTAGATAATAGAATCTCACCAGTATTGTCTTCTTTACTTAGACCTTACTTGTAATTTTTGCAAATTTTATACTCTTGTTTTTTCTAAGAGCCATTAAAGATATGAAAATGTTTGTTAATTTGTTAGCTTCTATGTTGTTGGTGTAACATTTCCCCAACATTTTAATGTTTGTAAAATTGAAGTCGCACTAGCACTGTTATGGCTCTGTGGTGACTTTCTACCTCGACCATGGTATATGTTTCTTGTTAAACTTTAAGTCACAAGACATAAGGCGATTTTCCAGCTCTACTGGTGCAGGAAGGTCTCAGACGTCCCTCCGTGCATTTTTTTCGGGCACGAGCCACTGACGCTCTGTTAGCTAGCAGGATAGCTTCCACGTACGAAAGAATTCATAGTCCCTAGCAGCACCCAGGGACAAGTGGTTCGATGTCAACGGCCTAAACCACTTTGCACGGATTCCCTACCCTTCTGATGGACTTAACCTGTGCTACGATATGATGGCACGGTCAGGGAACCAGGCAGAACCAATGACCTTTCGGCCGTTCGCTCCCTATCGTGAAGGCATTTACTATAACTGACAGTGATCATGGTCAAGGAGGTAATTTCAACCACACTAGTCTCTCAGTCGCCAAAAAACTCATTTTATATATGTAGTCTATACTATTTCACACGTCTTCACATACAACTTTGTTTTCTCAGTAGATATATCGAATATTTTACAATCAGGGATAATGGATAATGTATCTCGTTTTTTTTTCTATGTGGAAAAGGCCATACATTATTCATGTTTGCTATTTTAATTGTTTTTGTAGCGATCGCACATTCAATATTTTATGCTGAGGAGATTTGAAGAACAATGCAAATTACATGAAATTGCCATAAAACTGGAGTTTCTGCCTGCAGAAAACCTAGCTGCCAAAACAAAGCTAGATATTCTTCCTTTTTAGCTCACCTGTCACAAAGTGACAGGGTGAGCTTTTGTGATCGCTTTTCGTCCGGCGTCCGTCCGTCCGTCGTCCGTAAACTTTTACTTTAAATGACATCTCCTCATAAACCACTAGGCCAATTTCAACCAAACTTCACAGGAATGTTTCTTTGGTGGTCACCTTTAAAAATTGTTCAAAGAATTTAATTCCATGCAGAACTCTGGTTGCCATGGCAACCGAAAGAAAAAAACTTTAAATATCTTCTTTTAAAAACCCCTAAGAGCTAGAGCTTAGATATTCGGCATGAAACATCTTCTAGTGAGTGTCTACCAAGTTTGTTCAAATAAAAGCCCTGGGGTCAAAATTGGCCCCGCCACAGGGGGTCATTGATTTTCCCTATATGCATATAGTAAAAACTTAAAAAATCTTCTTTTAAAGAACTCAAAGAGCTAGAGCTAAGATATTTAGCATCAAACATGTTCTAATAGGTGTCTACCAAGTTTGTTCAAATAAAAGTCCTATGGTCAAAATTGGCCCCGCCCCGGGGGTCATTGATTTTCCTTATATGTGTATAGCAAAAACTTAAAAAATCTCCTTTGAAAAAACCCAAATAGCTAGAGTTTAGATATAAAGCATGAAACCTCTTCTAGTGAGTGTCTACAAAGTTTGTTCAAATAAAAGACCTGGGGTCAAAATTGGCCCCGCCCTGGGGGTCATTGATTTTCCTTATATGTGTATAGCAAAAACTTAAAATCTTCTTTGAAAAAAACCCAAATAGCTAGAGTTTAGATATTAAGCATGAAACATCTTCTAGTAAGTTTCTACAAAGTTTGTTCAAATAAAAGCCCTGGGGTCAAAACTGGCCCCGCCCCAGGTGTGTCATTGTTTTTAACTATATGTGTATAGTAAAAACTTAAAAAAGTCTTCTTTTAAAAAGCCCAATGAGCTAGAGCTTAGATGTTTAGCATGAAACATCTTCATATTGGTGGTCTACCAAGTTTGTTCAAATAAAAGCCCTGGGGTCAAAAATTGGCCCCCGCCCCAGGGGGTCATTTGATTTTTCCCTATATGCATATAGTAAAAACTTAAAAAATCTTCTTTTAAAAGAACTCAAAGAGCTAGAGCTAAGATATTTAGCATCAAACATGTTCTAATAGGTGTCTACCAAGTTTTGTTCAAATAAAAAAGTCCTGGGGTCAAAATTGGCCCCGCCCCGGGGGTCATTGATTTTCCTTATATGTGTATAGCAAAAACTTAAAAAATCTCCTTTGAAAAAACCCAAATAGCTAGAGTTAAGATATTAAGCATGAAACATCTTCTAGTGAGTGTCTACAAAGTTTGTTCAAATAAAAGACCTGGGGTCAAAATTGGCCCCGCCCTGGGGGTCATTGATTTTCCTTATATGTGTATAGCAAAAACTTAAAATCTTCTTTGAAAAAACCCAAATAGCTAGAGTTTAGATATTAAGCATGAAACATCTTCTAGTAAGTGTCTACAAAGTTTGTTCAAATGACAGCCCTGGGGTCAAAACTGGCCCCGCCCCAGGTGTGTCATTGTTTTTAACTATATGTGTATAGTAAAAACTTAAAAAAGTCTTCTTTTAAAAAGCCCAATGAGCTAGAGCTTAGATGGTTAGCATGAAACATCTTCTTATTGGTGTCCACCAAGTTTGTTCAAATAAAAGCCCTGGGGTCAAAATTGGCCCCGCCCCAGGGGGTCATTGATTTTCCCTATATGCATATAGTAACAAGAGCTGTCGGTAGGACAGCACGCTCGACTATTCTAAGTGCTTGATAGTAAAAGAGCCTTGATAACGTAAAATTTAGAGCTTTGATAATGTTAAATTTTCTAAGTTCACAAAAGGGCTATTTTTTTTTATAAATTCATGTTATAGGCCTTAGAGACAGTCTAATTATACAGTATTGGCTTGACTATTCAGAAGGTAATATTGAGTAAAATAATACTAATTACCTATGAATACATAAAATTGACAGAAAAGGTACAAAGGCTTGTTATTAAGATGTTTTATCAAGTAAATCACTGCTTTATTATTATGAATGCATATAATTGTCCCAAAAAAGGCACAAACCCTTCAGTAATTATAGAGATACCAGCTTACAAGCAAAACTTTACCATGAATTTCTAAGTTGAAAAAGGGGAGAAAAATCAGCCTAAATGCAAGATAGAATTATGGATCTTTGTCAGTGACCTACAATTATGACCCTAAATGCATATGTGAAGTTTTAAATAAATATCTTTAATAGTTATTGAGATATGTAAAACTTGCATGTAAACATTAACCAAGAGACTAAGTAGAAAAGGGGATATGAATCAGCCTTAATGCAGGATAGAGTTATGGAACTTGGTCAGTGACATACAATTATGGCCCTCAAATTATGACCCTAAGTACATGTGTAAAGTTTCAAGTAAATATCTTTGAAGACCTTTAACCTTTAACCAAAATTTTCTAAGTTTCAAATTTAAGGGGCAAATAGTTCTGCAAATATTGCAGACAGAGTTATGCAATTTTGCAAACTGATGTACATTGTTACTATAAAAAAGTATTTTAAATTTCAATTGAATATCTCAAGCAATAATTAAGATATTTGACTTTACAAAAAAACTTTAACCAAAATTTCTAAGTTAAAAAGGGGCATAATTCTGTCAATATTGTAGGCAGAGTTATCCAACTTGTCAATCTGATGTACCTTGTTACTATAAATAAGTATTGTAAGTTTCAATTGAATATCTCAAGAAATAACTGAGATATTTGACTTTACAAAAAACTTTAACCAAAATTTCTAAGTTAAAAAGGGGCATAATTCTGTCAATATTTTAGGCAGAGTTATCCAACTTGTCAATCTGATGTACCTTGTTACTATAAATAAGTATTGTAAGTTTCAATTGAATATCTCAAGCAATAATTGTGATATTTGACTTTACAAAAAACTTTAACCAACGCAGACGCCGATGCGGACGCCGGGGCGACTACAATAGCTCTCATATTCTTCGAATAGTCAGCTAAAAACTTAAAAAATCTTCTTTTAAAGAACTCAAAGAGCTAGAGCTAAGATATTTAGCATCAAACATGTTCTTATAGGTGTCTACCAAGTTTGTTCAAATAAAAGCCCTGGGGACAAAATTGGCCCCGCCCTGGGGGTCATTGATTTTCCTTATATGTATATAGCAAAAACTTAAAATCTTCTTTGAAAAAAACCCAAAAAGCTAGAGTTTAGATATTGAGCATGAAACATCTTCTAGTAAGTTTCTACAAAGTTTGTTCAAATAAAAGCCCTGGGGTCCAAACTCGCCCCGCCCCAGGGGTGTCATTGTTTTTAACTATATGTGTATAGTAAAAACTTTAAAAAATCTTCTTTTAAAAAGCCCAATGAGCTAGAGCTTAGATGTTTAGCATGAAATATCATCTTATGGGTGGGGGGGGGGGGCTATATACAGGTGAGCGACCTCAGGGCCATCATGGCCCTCTTGTTTTTGTATGTGACCAATCAATTGGCAATAATTCTGCCAAAGAAAAGATCAATACACACTATTATCAAACTATCTATATGCTCTGAGAAACAAGAACAAGGTGCAAGCAAGTTTTAATACAGTTGTATTTTTTTTATTATTTCATTCATGTATTGTACATGTATATTTGCATTCATAAAATACAATTTATGACATTAGTAAGTACAGTAGGCTATTTTCTCGACCATCTTAACATAAACATGAACAGACATCATACTACATAAAAAATGTTGTTTTTTTCAATTATAATACTTATTAACAATAGAGCACATACATGTAAAATAGTTAAGCTAGATGTAAAGGAAAATCTCCAAATATAGGCAAATCCTTACAAACTTGTAAGGTTTATATTTTGTGTCCAATTAAACCTATTGTGCATACTTTAAAGAGTTACTTCTTCATAATATAATAAATTTTAAGTTTATTTTTAAAAAAAGTTCCCTCTGCATAGTTTTTAAACAGACACATGGCTTCAGATTGGTCCAGTAACTAAAAGGTTACTCGAGATAATTTTAATGATGAAATAAACATGTTAAACTGTCTCTGACTCTTTCTTACTTATCATTTCACCCAATAATTTTATCCTTACCATGTTAATATTTCTTAAATGGACTTGTCCATTTTTCAATCTGGACAAAACCATTCATAATTTAAAGAGAAATTGACAAGATATGTTCTGTCTGAATAGGAAACAGTGCAGACCATAATTAGTCGGCACATATAGTCAGCACATATGTGCCAGCTGGTCTTGTTCTGCATTGGTCACATGGGTAACAATCCGTTGGCGTCAATAAGCTTAAAGGATAGAATCATAAAGACTTGATTTGCCAGTCTTCATAAATGGTAGCTGACAAATCATCAACTATTGTTCAGTGTACAAGACAGCATATTTTGATTCTAAGTTCACCAACAACCCTTGTACTATCATTACACTTTGTGACACAAATATAAATGTACTGTGCCACCAAAATTGAGAGAAATGTCAATAATAAAAACCAGATATCCTAATTTTTGTATACTAGGGTGGGGTATCGATATCTGCTCCAAGGTCTAATCTTCGGAATTTATCGAGATTGAAAAAACAACATTTCACTACACGGCCACCAAAATATCTTCCATTCAAATCAATTATTGCTGAAAGAGAAAGGAAAAACCAATAAATTTCTTTAGATGATGATTACATATATTTATAATTTGTTTATATCAACAACAAATGCCATAACTACCCAACAACGATGTGAACATTGCTTAGACTTAGTAGAAGGACACTCCATAAGCCCCAGCTTGTGTTAAAATTGTTTACTTATGGACTAGTTTCTGTCAAACAATGATCTTCGACAGAATAAAACCAACAAAAATTGAGACTATGCATCTTTAAGAAAAAATTGTGTATATGTACCTTAACTAGTTTAGTTGAAACACATTTATTTAAGCTCGATTGCGAAACAAGTTCTTGCAAGTTGTATTAATCAGTTTCGAGTCTGCTTCCTGGAACTAACCAGTTCTAGAAACATGGTCATGACCCAAGTAGGGCTCGAACCCATGATCCCTGGGTTAAGAGGCAGACACCTTAACAAATAGCCCACCACTTTCCTTCATTAACATTGTAACCATATTCATTTCATTAAACTCTTCAAGTAATATAACTGACATGACTTATCCAGTCAATATTGGTCAATTCAAGGGCCATAACCCAGAAGTGATTTCCCTCTCCAAAGTTGTTTTGTAGATACACTATGCTCATCATCATAGGGACCAAATTTGATAAAGATCAGTTTAAAATCAAATTTTTAGGAAAAGCCTTCATAACTTATTTACTTAGTGTAATCAGGTACCGGGTATGTCTCTTACACAAGGGAGACAATTCCTGAAGAAAAATCAGGTAAAAAGATTAGTTCATACCTTTAATTGCTGAGTCTATTCTGTCAAACTCTACAAAAATTCTTACAGCCTCATCATCTGGGTTGCTTGGCATCTAAAAAAATTTAAACAAACCTAAATACCTTGGTGGATAATCAAAGCACTAGTTGTGTACTTACTTAGACCAACTGCCACTATAGATAAATGACTAATAAAATGAAGAGTTCAAAATATCTGATGAGATTTGAGTGAACAACAATATAAAAGGAATTCAAAGCCAACTATCATAATTCACTTATTGCTTGAAGCTAATGAAAAAGTAATAACAGTTTTACTTAACTCTCTTGTAAAGGAAAAAGATACAATTTATTTTAAATGATGTCAATATTACTGTACAAATGATAAAGGTACATTGCAACTAGGTAAGTTTTATATTTAGTGAAGCTTACCTCAAAAATGAGACATTTGATAACTTTGCCATATTTTCCACATTCCTCAAATGTTTCTCCCTCTAGATCTTCATCAACTTCTCCAGGGCCAACCATATTCTATCATACAAAAATACAACTATTAGTACAAACACATTGGTATTTTTATTTTATTTTATTGATGTCTTTTTTGGTGTTGTTTGAGTTCAACCTTCACTGTCAAGGTCATACGGCAATATTCAAGATTTACTTGTGAAGGAGACTTAACATGCCCTTCCAAGCATTATTTCAGGCATGAACAGACACCAAAGTATGAACCCCTGACTTTCTGTAAGCTCTGAAGTCCCTGTTGGGATTCCAACCAACAGCAGTGAGATGCAACTGGTTTTAAGTCAGAAACCTTAATCACTCAACCACAGAGTGAAATATTCAAAGCATATAAAGCTAAAAAAAAAATCACCTTTATTTCCTACTCAAAAATATTAAGCTTTACTTAGTAAACCACATAAACCATTTTTTTCATTGCACTACATCAACTTATTTCATGAAATAAGAAGTTTTGTTGAAAAACCTTGAACTAAGATGACTTGGGGTTTAGTTGCTCAATGATAAATAGAAATGATGTACTTGTTGTACTACTAATTGATAGGAAAAAAATAAATTTTATTCTTGTATCATCCTACCCTGTCATTTATGTATATTTACTTACTTCTATTAAGAGAGAACACTTGACCAAAGTGTCTTATTTTATACTTTCTACTAAATATAAATCCCTTTTCTTTTTATCTTAAAAATTTGTATTTGCAATACATTCATTCCCAATGAGCACTTCATCAAAAAGGATATGTATTTTTATATTTCAGCTGTTGTTTACATTTACCAGTTACCCTTCAAAATGCCTTTACCGAAACCAGACTAATTTTATGTAAATCAGGGACATGGTTCTAAAATGTAATACTATGCTTAGTGAACAGGCAATGTCACAAAGTACTGTGACACTATGTACTTAGCGCTGACAATCTGTACTATAACCAGGTACTTACCCTTAATAAGATGACCTTTGTTGGATTTCGTAATAAGTTCGCATTCGTCACTGACTCACGTGGGGTATCTACGATTTAAAAGATAGAAAAAATTTGACCACAAAATACATAACATCATAATGTAAAATTAATAATTTCTTCAAATTAAAGTGCTTTTTAAAAAAAATAAAACTTTTAAAACTCTCAATTATGGAATATTTTTATTTATAATAAGCCCAATTATAAAGAACCTTAAATCATTAAATAAGGCTTTTTACAATCATTAAATGATCCTCAAAAATTGTCCTAATGCACTTTTGTTTAAACAAACTATATGTTTAAACAAACTATAAACAAACCATTTAATCAATAATATAAATCATCACATAAATTAGCTATTAACAAATGTGAACTCCTGCGTAAGCAAGTAGAGGATTGACATCATATCAAAGTAAATATAAAGCCACAAAACATATAAATCATTCTTATCATCAATTTTAAAGGATTTCAAGTTTTGCACTTTATTTCTTTTTTATTCAATCAACCACTTAATAAAAATACTTCATAAAACACTTAATATCAAGTGATAAACATCAAAACAAGTATCAAAAAAATAAAATTTGTAACTTTTTCATTTTTTTTATTGAATTGAAGATTTATCATGACCCCAGAAAAGCAGAATACCTAACTTTAAATCTCTGCTGTAATTGAAACAGAAAGACGGAGAGTAATTTTGAGAAAATGGAAAAATTAGGACTTTTTTATCTGAAAATGTTTATTCATCCATTTTAACCCCTCCCTTTCTTTCTTTCCAACAGATGAATATAGTGACTTTTCAGATTTACTAATGACAAAAGTCCTCAGGTGTGCCTAGGGGCTTTATTTCAGGCACAAGCGGGCACCTGAGTAGGACCACCAAAGCTCTGTAAGCTAGCTGAGTAAGCTTCTTCACAAGAAATAATCAAAAATCTTTTGATGGGATTTGAACCTACAGCAGTGAGGGGGAAGTGATTCAAAGTCTATGACCTTTACCACTCAGATGTAAATTTGAAATTTAATAAACTTCTGTTTTCATAATAATCATTTACTTTAAATAAAATACCTACAGTTCTCATGGAATATTACTTGTAACCTTACAGTATGGTCTTGTCAAAGAATAAAGGTATCATCCAAAAATCTTATCAGATGAAAAAGGGGCAATAAGTATGTCAACAAGAACTGCACTTGACTATTCTCAGTTCTTGATAGTTAAACAAGAGCCTGAATAATGTAGGAATAAAGATCATCTTTACAAAGAGGGAGATTTCATTCAAAATACATGACACAGTTGTGAGTCTTGGATAGAGACCAAGAAATTTTGTAAGTTCACAAAGGGACATACTTCATTCAATATCCATGCCAAAGTTATAGGCCTAGGACAGACACAAAATTTATCAACCCCAAAAAACACATATAAATTTCAAGGGGAAAACTTTCCCAGAAAATAAATGAAAAAGGGGCCCTAAAATTAGTAAACCGGGAAAACCCAAATTTTTGGGGCCCTGGAAAGTGGGACCCCCAAAATTTAATCCAAAGACTTTAAAATTTTTTTTTTAAGTAAATTTTCAGTAGTTTTGAAGTGCATGTCAAGCCAAGCAGGTACTTTGTAAGTTCTGTAACTTCTGAGTAGTAGGGTAGCCCTTCTATTCTTCAAAAAATCAATCTAAAAGTTAGTAGTTTATAGCTGGAATCAAACCTTTTGTAGATCCCTCGATGAAAACCATGTTTTTAACAAAATCAAAGATGTCACATGGGGCAATAATTATGTCAACATTTATTTGTTTGTAGATGACATGGGGTCAACTAAATTTTAATGCTAATTCATCATTTCTTTTCAAGTAATACAAGGGAATGAATAATGCAAAAGATTTAGCATTTTTTTGGCAAAATCAAAGAAGAAATAAGGGGTAATAACTAGGTCAAAATTAGTGGTCAGTAGCCTGATTGAAACCTTTTTTGGTAGACCAACCCTCTTTTTTTTTTCTTAAAAAAACCCCCATTTTTTTTATGCAAAAGCATAAGGTGTAATTAAGGGGGGAAAAATTTTGTGGTTGTAGGCCCAGCTCAAACCTTTTTGGTAAAATCTTTAATCTGTAAACCATGGATTTTTGGGCAAAGGGGAAGGTAAAAAGGGGGCCAATAACTACAGCCTGCATTCCAAAAAAAGGGAGTTTGTAGTCTGATTCAAACCATTTTGCTAGAGCCTACTCTAAAAAGCAATTCTTTAAGTAAATCGAAGGGGCAATTACAAGGTAAACAAGAGCATTCAACATTCCAAAGTGCTTGAGTAACTAGAACTCTGCGATTATCGGAGTGTCCCTTTCTGAACAATGTTAGTTTTAGGAGAAATGGCCAGGACAAAAATTGAATATGAAAAAAAAAAACAAAGGCAATAACTGAAAAAATAATAAGTGCAAGAGCAGCAGTTTCTGTGCAACACGGCACTTCTTATCAATAAGATCTTTCATTCTATGATGTTTCAAGTCCATAGCTTTCATACTTGAGGAGAAAATGACCAGGACAAAAATAAAGTAAGAAAATCAACAAAGGGCCATAACTCAAAAATTAAGAAATGCAGAGTACCGATTCTTGTGCAACTGCACTTCTTCTTAATGAGATCTATCATCCTATGAAGTTTCAAGTCCATAGCTTTTATATTTAAGGAGAAATGGCCCGGACAAAATTAAAGTATGAAAATAAACCAAAGGGCAATAACTCAAAAAAATAAGAAAATGCAGAGTAACCTGTTTTGTGCACTGCACTTCTTCTTAATGAGATCTATCATCCTATGAAGTTTCAAGTCCATAGCTTTTATATTTAAGGAGAAATGGCCCGGACAAAATTAAAGTATGAAATTTAAACAAAGGGCAATAACTCAAAAAATAAGAACTGCAGAGTACCGGTCCTTGTGCCCTGCACTTCGGGTTATTGAAAGAAGCATGCATATACAAGTTTGAAGTCAATCAGACTTATAGTGACTGAGTTATGCTCCGGACAAGCTTTAGGGGACGCCGACAACGACGCCGCTGACACAGACGCCGCCGACCCCGCCGACAAAAGTAACCCCTATATGTCACCTTTTCAAGGCGACACAAAAAAGAGCCTGGATAATGTAGAATTTTCTAAGATCAAAAAGGTCAATCTGTTAAAATCTACGCTAAGAGCCTTAGACACAGACATATCATGCTCAAAATAAGTGTGATAACTTTCAACCTATTCCCTTCAGTAGTTTTGGAGATACCGACTTGCATGAAAAAACGTAACCAAAATGTGACTGGGATGCTGACGCTAACACCAACGCTACATGAGTAGAATAGCTCTCCTTTAAGTAATAATAGTCAAGCTAAAAATAAGTGTTATAAAATTTAATTCAAACCTTTTGGTAAATCTCTCTCATGTATAATTTTCCCTCCTCTTTTACTGGTCTTCTCCACAAATAATGCTGTACTCATGCCTTGTTCTGACTTCCCAAGTCCTTGACCTTCTTTATAACCATACTTTGCCATGATCTTTGAAGCCACTGACAATCTGTGTAAGATGTATCAAATAAATTAAAGTGTATTAAGCTATATACATTGTATCTGCTGCAAATCTGATTGTTTAAATTTTGGAAAATTATTCTTTAAAAATTTCTCTTTGAAAAAAGGTCCTCATAATCAAATGGCACAAAGATGAAATCGTTTCTAAATGGTTAAGATCACTACTTAAACGACAGTATTGGCTCGACTATTCAAAAAGTTGTCACAAGGGTGTTTTATTTAGTATAATAATGCTTACCTATGCATACATAAAATTGACCGAAAAGGTACAGAGGCTTGTTATTCAGATGTTTTATCAAATAAATCACTGCTTTATTATTATGAATGCATAAAATTGTCCTAAAAAAGGCACAAACCCTTCAGTAGTTATGAAGATAAAAGCTTACAAGCAAAACTTTACCATGAATTTCTAAGTTAAAAAAGGGGAGAAAAATCAGCCTAAATGCAAGATAGAATTATGGATCTTGGTCAGTGACCTACAACTATGATTCTAAATGCATATGTGAAGTTTTAAATAAATATCTTTAATGGTTATTGAGATTTGTAAAACTTGCATGTAAACATTAACCAAGAGACTTAGTAGAAAAGGGGAGATGAATCAGCCTAAATGCAAGATAGAGTTATGGAACTTAGTCAGTGACATACAATTATGACCCTCCAATTATGACCCTAAGTACATGTGTAAAGTTTCAAGTAAATACCTTTGAAGACATTTAACCTTTAACCAAAGTTTCAAAGGGGCAAATAATTCTGCAAATATTGAAGGCAGAGTTATGCAATTTTGCAAACTGATGTACATTGTTACTATAAACAAGAGCTGTCGGTAGGACAGCAACGCTCGACAATTCTTAGTGCTTGATAGTAAAAAAAACGTAATAATATGTAAAACTTTCTAAGTAAAGAAAAGGGTAAAAATTTTCTTTAAATCCATATTACAGATATAGGCCTTGGAGAGAGTCCTATTATGCTCTCAAATAAGACTATAAAATTTCAACTTGTTTCAAAGCCATATGCCAATGGACTTTGAAAATATTTGAGGTATTATAAAAACTTTAACAAAAAAATTCTAAGTCGAAAAAGGGGCATAATTCTGTTAAAATGCTTGATACAGTTACCTCCTCCTGTCTACAGTTTGGGGTCATGATGATGAATAAGTGTGCAAAGTTTCAAAGCCCATTTGTCAATGGACTTTGAAAATATTTGAGGTATTACAAAAACTTTAACGTAAATTCTAAGTCGAAAAAGGGGCATAATTCTGTCAAAATGCTTGATACAGTTACCTCCCCCTGTCTACAGGTTGGGGTCATGATGGTGAACAAGTGTGCAAAGTTTCAAAGCCATATGTCAATGGACTTTGAAAATATTTGAGGTATTACAAAAACTTTAACGTAAATTCTAAGTCGAAAAAGGGGCATAATTCTGTCAAAATGCTTGATACAGTTACCTCCTCCTGTCTACAGGTTGGGGTCATGATGGTGAACAAGTGTGCAAAGTTTCAAAGCCATATGTCAATGGACTTTAAAAAATATTTGAGGTATAAAAAAAACTTTAACATAAGTGGTTACGCCGACGCTGACACCAACGCTGACGCCGACGCTCGGGTGACTACAATAGCTCTACTTATTCTTATCGAATAGTCGAGCTAAAAAGTATTGTAAAATTCAATTGAATATCTCAAGTAATAATTGAGATATTTGACTTTACAAAAAAACTTTAACCAAAATTTCTAAGTTAAAAAGGGGCATAATTCTGTAAATATTGTAGGCAGAGTTATCCAACTTGTCAATCTGATGAACATTGTTACTATTAATAAGTATGGTAAGTTTCAATTGAATATCTCAAGCAATTATTGAGATATTTGACTTTACAAAAAACTTTAACCAAAATTTTTAAGTTAAAAAGGGGCATAATTCTGTAAATATTGTAGGCAGAGTTATCAAACTTGTCAATCTGATGTACATTGTTACTATTAATCAGTATGGTAAGTTTCAATTGAATATCTCAAGCAATAATTGAGATATTTGACTTTACAAAAAACTTTAACCAAAATTTTTAAGTTAAAAAGGGGCATAATTCTGTAAATATTGTAGGCAGAGTTATCCAACTTGTCAATCTGATGTACCTTGTTACTATAAATAAGTATTGTAAGTTTCAATTGAATATCTCAAGCAATAATTGAGATATTTGACTTTACAAAAAACTTAAACCAATGCAGACCCCTTGGTGCATTATGTCATGTTTAAATGAGCACCTAAGTAGAACCACTGACATTCCGTAAGCTAGCTGGATAACTTCATGGCATGAAAGAAACAAAGTCTCTGGCTGGATTTAAACCCACAGCTGTGAGGGGCAAGTTGTTTGAAGTTGAACTACTAGGCTAAAGGTGCCATGCTGGTGGGATCTGAACCGACAGCTGTGACGGTCAAGTGGTTTCAAAGTCAACAACCTTAACCACTAGACCACTGAGTGACGTGTCTGAGATAAACAAATGTGAAAGTTGGGGAAAATACTTCATGCACTTACCCTCCTGTTGGAATCATACCACTAATGGAGCCATCATTGTCTAAAAATAGAACATAACATGTCATTGTCTAAAAATACATAACATGTCATTTTAAATATTGCAAGTAACAAACAATTTGATTACAAAAAGTTCTCATTTCAAATGGTTATCTTCATGTATCAATTAAATGAGAACACAGGTAACTTCACACTAGACTCACTGACATTAATTATCTCTCTCTATATATAAATGACAACAATGACAAGAGCATCATTAGCCATCTGCAAATAAAGCTATCAGGCCTATGCCACACGTATACAGCTATGTCAACCTGCATTTCCATGCAAACTGATCATACCCTATACTGTTAGCAATTCACTTTTGGTATTTTGATACTAAAATAAAAAAAAAACAAAAAACAATGGTCTATTCCATTACAAGTGAATTTAAAAACCGACTTCAGCAAGTAATAATAATTATTACATGCATAAATAACCTTTGCAACTTTTCAGTTTAGTTCTCATATAGATCAGAGTCACAGTAAAATGTCCAAAATTAAAGCAATTGTAACCTCCAGTCCTTGATGCTTAATACAATAATGACATATGCCACTAGCAAAGACCTAGACCTGTCTGCACATCCATAACCAGACATTGTATTGATAACTACCTTTGTCTATAATTTCAATTTTGAAGCTGCCTTACTACTCCATGTATTACTAATTTAAATTAAAACATGACAAGCCCATTTCATAACACTGGAAGGTTTAGAGTTAACTCAATGATAATCACTAACCCTCTGGTTTGATTGGAGGCTCCTCTAACAATGACATTGGTGGTGCTATAGCTGCTCCTATCTCAGATTTTTCTGTTTTTAACAAAACAAAATTAAACATATATAATTGGAGGATAATTCATGGCAATCATCTATTTAACAGTCAAATCTGCCTATTCAAACTACCAGTAACATAAGGAAATGAAGTGTTTTTTCAGGTTTTGAAAAATATTTTCAGAGTCACTCATCCTGCAGGACGAGTAGCTTCTAAATCCAATGTGCAGACAACATTTTTCTACTTGTCCTGCATCAAATTCTCGAAAATTCTATGTGTGGACAAGTGGCATTTTAGATCTCTTTTTTTCAAAACAGGTGAAAATGTACAGGTAAATGTTCAGGTAAATGTTCAAAGTATCAATATCAAATGTGTCTTTGGCACTTAGCCAGACAGCAACTGATGCAACCAATACAGACCATCCCTACAAATTATGCAAGATGTCCTACAGACTGAAAGATGGACAAGTCCAAGGTAAGAGTTAAATCTGGACAAGTCCATCAATAGAACTAAGTAGAGATAGGGTTAATCAGAGCTCAATTAAAATTCGCCGCACTTACTTCTTGCAGGTCGTTCATATTCGTCTTCATCATCTTCACGTCTTCTTCGTGCCCTTTCTAACTCGCCAACGTCACGATCCCTGTCCCTATCTCTGTCACGCCTTCTGCTATAATAAAATAATCTAGAGTAATCATTTAAATAATTGTTGATATGTTCTAAACCTTGTCATAATTTGCATTGAAAAAACAATATTGATGATATTTCAGTATATCGTACAAGTTGTCTACCGGTACATGTATATATCTAACAGAGAGTTAATGTACATGCAATCAACATAAGTAGTTAGTCTGGTTAAAATAGCAAGATTTTGAGCTTCTGATTTTAAACACAAGTTCACTAAATTTAAAAATTCTATTAAAATTTTGCTCTGAATACCAGAAACCAAATATAAACATGTATGTTAAATAATGTTAAAAATTCCATTAAAATATCGATTAGAATTCCAGAAACCAAGTATAAACATGTATGTTAATGTACATACTGTCGATCATCTCCTCTGTCCCGGTTATCTCTCGGTGAATCACGGAAATCTCGTATATCCCTCGTGTCCCTCGTATCTCTTATATCTCGTGAATCACGGGAATCTCTCTTCCTCTCCTCTTCGTCTCTTTCTTTCTGTTTCTGATCCCGCTTCTTCTTCATTATCTCCTCGTAATCGTTCGGTCGCAGAGGGTTATACTCGTCTTTTACACCAGTCAGAGACGGCACCGGATCTGACGCAATAAACGGAGATCCACCAAGTGCAACTGGTGTATCTCTTGACATTCTCTCCTGAACTGGTACATTCTCCAACTGGTAAGAAAATGATAGTTAGACCAATGTAACCAATGGCACTTATAATTAATCTACACATACATTAATTACTAAACCTTACTTAAAGGCAAATTATGTCTCAGAAATTAATAAATATTTCATTCTTTAATTAACAAGAGATCAAATATTCCACTTGTCTGCTCGTAATTATAAGTAGAATTTAAGAGAACTCAATACAGGACGAGTGACACTGAACATATTTTTTGATTCCTGTTTACTAATACAATTAGGTATTAGAATATTACCTTGCCAGTGATCATATTAAATTTGAGAGGACTATCTGTTGTGTCAGCCGTTCTTTTAAAGTCAACAACAGGTGCTAATGTACTTGACTTTCTGTGACTCTGAAAATGACAGAAATAAATGAAACCTTTTATATTTACCACAAAATACACAGATATCCTAGCCTAAACTGTTATCTGACATACATACAAAAACTATTTCTTAAAATAGATTTAAATGACACATTCTACAGTAAAAAAATTGTTTTTAAATTGACTATACAATATGCTGCCAGTAAATTGTCTGCACTTGTAAGTAAAGCAAGAGCCTACATGTAATAATGTAGAAATTAAAGGGACTCCACTGATTTTTCTTAACAGGACTGGAAATATTTTTTTCAAGATAAATTTTCTATCTGATGTTGAAAAATGACCCAAAATTGAATAGTGTAGCAATACTTTGTACCCAAATCAGTCTGAGAATATCACTAAAATACAATTCTTAATTTATTTTTGAGCATATTTCGTAATCATCCTTTGAACAGCTTTCTATTTTAAGTGTCCCTGTGGATCTACATTAGAATTTCAAATTCTAAGTTTTTAGGCTTTCTACATAACATAGCTTCGTGTAAGAAAAATAAACAACACAATATTCATTATATCATCTTACAACAATTTTTACTTTAATTTATTAACACAAATACTAGTCTTCCCTTTGAAATAGCTTCAAGCTGTGTAAAATCCACTGCAACAATTGTAACTGTCAACTCAGCTTCTATCATGGCTGAAACTAATATACATTTGTACTTGCCTACTTTAAATAATGACCAAACTTTTTAAAGCAAAATTAACACCACTGCTGTGTCAGCTTTAATAGATTAATACATTTATTATCTTACCTTAGAACTGGACTGTATAAGTGAAGCCTTCTTCGCCTGCAGCTGAGATTTCATCAGTTTATAATTAGAGGACCAGCCAGCTGAAATACACAAATGTTCCCTTACAGATATACAACACACAATACAATATATCATTGCTGTCAATGTCTATATATAGTATGGCAATATACAAAATTATATATAGCTTTTTATAGTATGGCAATATACAAATCAAAAACATGTATAATAATTAAAATCACAAAGATAATTGGTCGCTTCTATTGTCAAATATAAGGTTTCCCTCAAACTCTTGGGATTCTGACTCCCCGTACACTTATGACTGGATATTTAAGTTGTGTTGTACTCAAAATTTGTGTGAAGGGTGATCATCTACATAACAATATATAGTTCCAAAACATTGTCTTCAACTGCAGACACACCTTACACTTCTTAAAAAAACAACAGCTGTTTTAAATCAAAACAATTAATCTATCAATATTGATACATGTATATAGAAAAGTTAATAATACCTGCAACCCCTCCTTTCTCCTCCTTATCAATGTCAAGGTCATCATACAGGGACATCTTTCAAGATCCACAATCAACAATCCTGCGATAAAAGAAGAAAGCCTAAAATCCTAACATATCATTTATAGTATATTTGTATAACAAGAATTTTCTGTCAGCTGCATGCCTCAAGGGAGGAAATATCTGACATAGAGGAAATTAATAATTATACCAATTATTTGATATCAGTATCTGTAGTATTTATAGCGAGCTCGACGAGCTGGCCCAAAGGGCCTGCTCGCAAAGCGAGCTTTACGGTAACGCGAGTACCTGCTAAGTGATGGTTTTGAAAACTTTCGTCCAAAGTACCGAATTGGACACATCGCAACCTTTCGAATTTAAAGATAACGATAAAAACTGAGGAATTCTGACTGAAAACGGATGTGTAGACTGGTCACCCGCGCACGTTTATGGGAACCATAATTGGACAGGGAACCAGAATAACGGAAGCTGTGTATAAAAAATGAAAATCGAAGGCGCCATTTTGTTTGAAAAATCTGATAAATAAAAACAATTTTTTGTCGAATTTTGTTGTGAAAACTATCTAGAATGAAAGAAAATGGTCTAACTAAGAAAATGAATCCGAACACCAATATCTTTTATTTAGTCGTTAACGCTGTACAGACGTTTAAAGTATTGTTTACGTGACGTCACAATGTAGCGCCAAACAGCACGTGCAAAACAATCAAATCAAGTACGCTATTTAAATGTCGCAAACGTTTTAAGTTTTACATTTATTTCACCTTTATTAATCTTTATTTCGCTTGAAAAATTATAGAATGAAATGAAATAAACTAAACAAACAAAGTTTTATCAACGTTTTCAAAACTCGATATTCATATAACGACAGGGGCGGAGCCATATTTAACACAGTACGTGTGACGTCACACGCACTCTTCACTGCATTTGAGATTACTTCATACTATTTCACGTTCAAAGTAAATTGAGCTCGCTTTGAGGCTTTGCCTTTTTCATATTAATTTAACAAGGTATCAGAAAGATGAAGTTACATGTACATGCAAGACATTGACCTACGTTGATTGTGGAAACTGATTAGAGTAAAGGCATATAATTTATGTACTATATTTAGAACATCTTTGTTGACATGACATGATTTAATACTCATGATAATTATGCAAGATTTAATTTTTATTTTCTTTTCTTTATAATTTTTCAGTACTTATAATTTATCAGTACTTAAATAAAATAGAAGAATATAAGTCAGCAATTCATGGTCACTTTTGATGTATTAACCTGTAACGGTCAATGTCGTAATCACGTAGTCATGTGAATTGTGATCAAACATTTTGGCCCCCTGATGAACAATTGTTGTTTGGAATAAATTGAGTGATTGTGTTGCCCTAGCAAAGACAGTAGATGGCTACAATACAGCCGTATTCCATTTGGAATTACTCCTCTCTTCCGTTGCCTATATGCTGAAAGGCCCTGAAACGTATGACTATCATACTGATCAAGATCCAGAATGGGTTAGAAATTTAGACATTATTTGGAGAATATGTCATTAGACTATCAGAATTTAGACATTATTTGGAGAATATGTCATTAGACTATCAGTTTATGCATTTCTTTAAGGAGTTGCATGTTTTTTCGTAAACCTATATGAGAATTATTATTCTTAGGACCTGTTATCATCAATTAGGTTCGTGGCGTCGATCGAACCAAATTTTCCGAAAGATTCGTCCGAGTACTAGGGCAGTTCAGATCCCATAAAGTAAACCCGCTCTCAAGCGGATATATGATAGATAATTGAATACTTTCACATATAACCATACTACATACATCAATAAAACAGAGAAAAAAGAATACCTTCTTACTTTATTTGTAATTAATTCGTGAAATATACCTTATTGATGCTTTTTGTTGTTGTTGTTCTTGAAATGTGTGATAGTTGTACACGAATGGCGAAAAATATCACTGTCGTCACGCTATTGTTGAAAAATATTTTTCTTCCGATCGATGTTGTAATTTATTGTGTTGAGAAAAAAGAAACACGCATAAAAGAGCGGGATTCATTTGGAATATATCCGGTTTTATTCTATATCTATATTTAAACTTTCTATTCTATTCTATTCCGCGAAACGTTTCGGCCCTACTATAGATTATTGCTTGATTGATTAACAACAATTAATTTAATTAAAATTAAATAATTCTGACACTTTAATTCTTTAAATAATTATTTAGTATCTTTTGATCTATTGAACCATTTAGATATATATACGTTTATGTTTTTAAAGGTGTAACAAACAATAAAGACAGGTTAATCCATAATTTATAAAACAAACCGAATATACGAATACGAAAAGTTTATTTGTATAAAGCATAGTACAATGCTTATAACAAGTATAAAATTGTAATATATACAATGTTTGGAGATCAAAACCTGGATTTTTCAGCAAACATAGGATGATTCATTGAATATTATTGTCAATATATTTAATATGTTTAATATATATGTTGCGCTTGCTTGCATAAGTTTCAAATAAACAGACATAGAATAGTCTGCACTTAACTTATTCTATCATTTTCTAAAATATAAAGACATGAAGAACACTAAAGTCCTATAGACTAAAAGTAATATCCACTGTTGCAAGTCAGTTCTTTTTGAAAAATTTACATGCAAATGCAAACATCTTAAACAATAAATTATGGTTCGAATACAACATTCTTATACAATATGATTAAATACATTTATCAATTGATTCATTTATTTATTTAAATGCTAATTAACGATATACCGTTTTAAAACACAGTACTTATTCTGGGGCCGATTTGGTAAATGGCCGAAACGTCTGGGGCCGAAACGTCTTGGGTAATTTGGGGCCGATACGTCTTGGGGCCGAAATGTCTCGAAATCCTTCTATATCCTATCCTATCCTATCCTATTCTATCCTATTCTATTCTATTCTATTCTATTCTATTCTATTCTATTCTATTCTATTCTTATTCTTATTCTTATTCTTATTCTTATTCTTATTCTTATTCTTATTCTATACTTATTCTATTCTATTCTATCCTATCCTATTCTATTCTATTCTATTCTATCTATGTACCATTTTGTTCTGATACCTGAATTGAATAATAATAAAAAAAATGATTATATATTCAAAGTACTTGACACATTTTATGAAACAAAAAACACTTACTGATTGATGATTTATAATATACAATTTTATGTATTATCTAGATATGCACGATGTGTACTTTAAAAGCTTTATTGAATACCTTACATTTGACCTTTTTAAATTATTTAAAGTATTAGTCTAAAAGTGTTGTTATTGTTCAAGTTGATTGTGTTAAAAACTATGACTTGTAAATAGTAAAATATTACATGTCAAGTGAATAAAACGGGAATTTCTATGGACCCCATTGGAAATAAGCTTTTAGCTTAATGGACTATCCATAGGTGCATAGTACGTCTTATTAATTTTTATGATAAAAGTGTGCTCTTTATGCTGTTTTATGATCTCATTTTATATATGGAGATTTATATGTTAACTATCTCTTAACTGTATGATTTTATTACTGTATCATGTGATATGTTCCTGAATGTATAAATAAAAAATATAAATACGAATTATTTTGAATAAATTCTATTGTGAGCAAATGATGATGATGATGATGATATTGATGAATGATGAATGATATAATGATGATGATGATATTGATGAATGATGATGATGATGATGATGATGATGATGATGATGATGATGATGATGATGATGATGTTGTTGTTGTTGTTGTTGTTGATCCTCTGAATTGTCAAAAATGAACAATCAAATTATTCAAAAATACTCGAAAAATCCTAAGATCACTTTCAGAAAAACTGGAGTCTTATTTAGTTTAGATCAATTAAATACGTCTTATTAATTTTTATGATAAAAGTGTGCTCTTTATGCTGTTTTATGATCTCATTTTATATATGGAGATTTATATGTTAACTATCTCTTAACTGTATGATTTTATTACTGTATCATGTGATATGTTCCTGAATGTATAAATAAAAAATATAAATACGAATTATTTTGAATAAATTCTATTGTGAGCAAATGATAATGATGATGATGATATTGATGATTATGATGAATGATGAATGATGAATGATGAATGATGAATGATGAATGATGATGATGATGATGATGATGATGATGGTGATGATGTTGTTGTTGTTGTTGTTGTTGTCGATCCTCTGAATTGTCAAAAATTAACAATCAAATTATTCAAAAATACGGGAAAAATCCTAAGATCACTTTCAGAAAAACTGGAGTCTGAATTAGTTTAGATCAATTAAACACATATAGTTATATTGGGAATTGATAATCTGCAAGATGTGTCAACATATTAAAATTGATTTAATCTCACTCTATTTAGTTTTTATTACATCCTAATTTTATCAAATCAACAAAATTTTTATTATGCAAAAGTAAGCTATCATCTGCTGTTCACTAATTTCCTATATTTTAATAATATTATGAATCTCCATTGTATTTAGAGGCGTTCAGCCGAAGGATGGTACGAAAATTTTGAGTACAAAAAATGGAAGTTACCTCCCTTGATATCGCAAGGGCGGCGGATGTAAACAAGTCTACTTCCGGGTGGAAAATTAACATTTTGTTTTGTAATTTGATAAACAGATTTTTTTTGTCTTCTTGTAATTTATCATGTTTTTTCGGCAGGGCCATGTTATTCTTGTTCTTAGGAACATTGCTTACAACAGGCCTTGTGAAAAACACACTGTCACCAGACAGGTGTCGAAGTTGTTTGAAATATCCAAAGCTAATTTTCATGGCACAAGCAGTGGCTGGTCAATTTTTCATACCCAACGAAAACAGCAAGTGTACACTGATGTTCCTGACTTTGGACAGCCTATGGAAGCCTGGTTTTATGATGTGAAGAAGGATGGTAAGCTCATGGTGAACTCAGCCATTGATGTCCATGTGCAACCTCTTGATCCACAAAAGCATCCATCTATGAACAAACTTTTCATTAACATCCTGTATATGGGCAAGGACAGACTAACCAGCTCTGAGCTTTCTGCCCTTACAAAGCAGTATATTGTAAATGTTGATTTGGACGACTCAAATGCAGAGATGGAGATATCTATCAAGCGGAAGTCACGTCTCTTTGTGCCAGCTCTGTGCCATCTTCAAGTTCCACTTAAATATGGTATGTATGTGTAATATGAAATAGGCAAAGCCTATGCACAGGGAAGTCGGTTAAAATAATTTTACATTTTTTATTTTACATTTTTCTTTTTCAGTGTCATTTGATATTTTATGTACTGCTTCTGTTTTCCCTCAGAACCCCTTGACTACTGTAACCCAACGAATATTCGCGACCAATTAATATTCGCTTTATTCGCGGATGGCCACTAAGCGCGAATATTTGTTTGCGCGAATAAGTCCGCGCGATTTCGCGAATAAATTGGAGAGAAATTTTTATTTTAAACGTTGTTCATGCAAAGCTTCTTGACTGGATATATTCGAATTTTACGGGCACCTGTTAGGAAGTAATGAATTGTTACAAACTGGCCTGTGTTTTCCCCTGGTACAAAAGTTGTGGAGGCAGTAGAATACCGCTTTTAGTACAGGTGAGAAGTGCAGTAATTTGCCTTTTGTCCTCAAGTCCGGTGACCTCGACCTGTTTGGACCCTATAAAATAAATGTTTGAATAAGTGGGAAAACTATCGAGCATCACAAAAGGCTATTGTTTTTTGGATCCTATAAAATAATTGTTTGAGTGAATTGTTAATACAAAGGTGGTATAAACCTATCGAGCATCACAAAAGGGTATTGGGTGTATTGCGGACTCATAACATAATTATCTTGGCGTGGTTTCGATCCCTAATTGGAGAAGGTATTTTTTTTATGAAACGCTTAAATTGAATTTCTGAAAGACTTTTCTAGATAAACTGTGGGTACAAAATACGAAACATCCTTGCGTTCTGAGAGTTTATTTTTTATCAACCATCCTTTTAACGACATGTTTAAAAATGAAGACGAACGATGCGTTCATGTACATATATAATATATAGAAAATGTTTTGCTGAATTGTGATCACAATTCACTTACCAATACAATATAAGGTTAGCGTATTGTTAATCCCATTTAAGACACCAACAATGACCTAAATTATTGAAGATTAATAGTCGGCTAATAGATTTTACGGCCCCATCATACTTTCCAATCCGCGAATTTTTTTTTTTCGGAAATCAAGAAAACGCGGAAATTAATATTCGCGAATATGTCCGACCTTGGCAAAACGCCAAAATTTGTATTCGCGTATATAAATTGGGTTACAGTATTATTATTGAGATGAAAAGTTGCAATTGTTCTGTTATCGGTATACAAATGTACTCTGTCATTTATTATTGAGTAATGTTAAAAATTGCGGAGCCAATCTAGAATTCATACTGAAAATTTCACTGAGAGGTATAAAATTTTATATCCTTTTTAATTGTTTTTTTTATTTGATTACCTGTTTAAATACACATGTAGTCTCAGAGATCTGCCGAGGACGCGATTTTGCGCCATTGGCGCTAAAAAAATGAGAATGGCGCAGGAAAATCAGCAGTAAAGGGCCATGGGCGCATCTAAAATCTGTGCCAGACTTATAAGGAAACAAAACTGTCTGCTGGGTTATTTAGTCATCCAGTCAAAACTGGTACCAACAGCAACATGTTACCCATGCTCCTGTAATTACGCATATTCTTGAGTTTATCCATTCCCCTATAGCTTTTGTCCATGTTATCTACTTACCGCATTTCTTCTCATAATCCCTTTCCCACACAGATACTCATTTCTACTACCGTAAATTTAATCCAATAAAACAAACAAACAAACTATACAACTACTTAATATTTAAAATGATTATCGGTAACTGAAAAAAAAAGTGTTGCTATTTTAAGAAATGCTGTAAGTTACAGTATAATCTGACAGGTGTTCAACTTGATCAACCCTAAGGTCACGCAAGTTTTGGCTGATGAAGTGTAAAAAAAAGATGTATATTTCGTCATCAGAATGTTTGACAGGGTGATTAACCAATCAGAGAAACATTGTGCATGACTTTTTTCATGATCAAAAGGTCTGTCCGCAAATGTCTTTGATGTATGCTGTCTACACAGAGGCATACAAGGGGCAATAAAATTCGTCAATATACAGTGGTAAGGGACATTTGGTGCAAAGTAGGAACAATTAAATGGATAATGCACAATATAAGACATTACAAGTAAGAACCAGCAATTATGTGAATAAATTTGCATATCAAATTTTTGAGCAGCCATTTAAAAAATATTTTCATTTTTGCCTGCAATTAATATTAGTTAGAAAGTTACCATGTAGGCATAATTTTTAATTATTGGTAAAGTACTGAATTATAAGTGAACCACTTGTCATAAAATATAATTTATTACCGGGGCAATTCAATTATCAACAAACTTTTTAACAGTTATTTTGGTCAATGTTTACTTATTTTCCTAAGGCCCATACTTTGGTAAAAATGGCCCATCATTTTCAGACCAAGTGGGCCCAGGGCCCAGTACTTTCAAATTCTTGGCAGATCTCTGTAGTCTATAGCAGGGCAAGCCCCGCTTTGCGGTCTAGCCTTTGATTTCCCCATATAAAAAAATTATAGGAAAAAAAAATGTAATTTGTCTTACTATAATTTCATAACTATAAATGTTTTTTTGTTTGTTTTTACTTTTGACACAGAATATCTAATGTCATCAGCGACAGTGAAATATCACCAACACATTAAGATTTAAAAGTTTGCTAATAGGGATCAATATAATTTATAGAGCCATTGGTCATGAAGGATGAGTGACTGTTTCATTCTACTGGTCTTGAATGTTACACTACTTTTCCTGCATTTCTTGCCTGGTATTCAAGATTGGCTGTGCATGCTGCTTTAATTCATTTGTAAATACATGTATCTTTCTTTATTAAATGAAAAATGGATGTTCTCATTAATCAATTGGTATGAAGCTTCTATTGTTAAGTTAAAGACCATTGGCACATAAACAAAGGAAAAATGTGTAAATCCTAGCCGATAATTTGGGGTATACATGTATTAAATGTGCATTACATAGATTGGTCAGGACCATGAATTATACATGTCTCTAACTATTGATTTCCAGTTTTTCTTAATATATCCTAGATATTGATTGACATTACTTTGTATATTGTCCTGTTTATTTTGCATCATCATTAAAGAAAAAACTCAAGACTTAGTCTTAATGAACAGGAAAAACTATGATGTACCGGTATTACAATGTCTCCTAATTGGTGACATGTGCAGGGAGGAAATATCATGGAGGAAATTAAACCAATTATTTGATAGCAGTATCAGAAGTACATGTATATATCAAGGTATCAGATAGATGAAGTTACAGATAAGCTGCCTTGGAAATCTGTATTGATTGGTTTTAGATTAGCCTTCATTCATTAATTATTTCCCATCTATGATTCTGATCTCACCAAATCAGACTAATATGTTGGTAAACCAATTGGTCATCTACATATCTTAATACTTTACACTGATTTTCTGTAGTTCATATCTTTAAAGACAATGTCCTAATATGACTATATAAAAGACTATATTAAAGAAAAAAAGGTTGAAATGATTTTATAAGATAGTAATGATAGTTACAAAGTTGAGTTTTTCTACAAATTTTCATAAAGCAATATTCTGCAATGTTTTATAACTTATGAACTGATTATATATTGTAAACTATTTACATTTGTATTTAACATTTTAAAAGCAGACTAAACTAAAATAAGAAAATAATGATGATGTGATGATGATGATGATAATAATAAAAATAATAATAATTATGAAAAATAGAAAATGAAAATAATTGAAAAGAAGTACAAATGTAAATGAAAATAAATTAATGCAAATTAAAAAACAATTACATGTAAAAGAATCATAAATGATGATTAAGAAATAAAAAGAAAACAATGATAAAAAAAATACTGACAGTAAAAAATAATGAAAAATTAAAAAAAAAAAGATACAAAAAAAGAATAGATCTAAAAAAAAAAAAACAACCTAAAGTAATAAAATGTACCAAAAAATAGAATTAAAAAAAGAACAATACAATTGGAGAAGAATAAATAAATAGATGATGATAATACAATTTAAAAACAAATGTCTGTTATTATAATTAAGTCATTACTTTGTTATTAATAAACAGATTTAATTAATATTTAATCAAAAAGTGGAAAAACTCAAAATGACATCAAGCCAGATATGCCAGGTATATTTAAGTATGACCTTGACATTTAAATGACATTAACATTTAAGGTCAGATATGAATTTTTTTCTGAATTCTATAAAAATATATGATGTTTTTTTGCTAACCCTTCACCACATTGTGCTTCTTTAAATTTGTGAACCTTTGGAAAAATGAAAAAGTTGAGCGATACCCAACTGTTCACTGTTGCTCAGTTCTTGTTAGCTTTCTTGATAACGAAACCCCTAAGATGCTGAGATAAAAATGGGAATTTCAAATTCGAAGCACAACAAGTACATTTTACAAATTTAGGAATACATAATTGCTTAGTGTTTTATGTATTACTTTCAGGGATAGAGGTTTGGTGCACTAAAGATGGCTCAGCATCCTTGGAGAATCTGGAGAGTGAGAATATCAGAGTTCGTACTAACAGGGGCGACTGTAAATTCAAAAGTATCAAGGTAGTGAATAGTTTATCATATATGATTTTTTCACGTATATATTATTGCCTTAATAATTAAATTGACAGTTTTTTTTAAATACGGTTCAATAATTTATGCATCATTTTATTACATAAAAGCACCTTATTTGAAATTTAAATTGTTTTTGGAATATTTTTAAGGAATATTTTTAAACACTTTGTAAAAAACAAACAAAACGTCAACTTTTAGCATTAATTAAAATGATTTACCATTAGACTCACTTATAAGTACTTTTGAAGAAATAAATTAAATACAATGACTCTCTCTTATTACTTATTAGTATTTTTGAAAAATAAATACAATGACTTAAGTTATTTTTTATTTTCTTATTTCTAGTAGTCATAAAATTAAGGAAATTGAGTATTAAAATGTAGTTGTTAGTTGTATTTAAAATAAAGATCAGAATGAAAATAATTATAGGCTTGATGGTTTTACAGATAATTAGAGGCATCAATTCTAGGGGTCATTTTTTTGCATAAAACATACTTAGAATTCAGATTAAGAAAATTACAATATCATTAGTTTTTTTTTATGCACAAAAATTTGATTAATTACCATAAGTTTGTTGATTTTTTTTTAGCAAATTTTCCATTATAATTATGGGATCTAACTAATTATTATAGTTAATTATGCTAATGAATTGTTAACCAATTTTTTAATTTTATTTATTTAACATTAAAGAAGTTTTCTAGATGATGCAAAATGCATATCTTCTCATCATTACTATTTTTCAATTAAAATAAGATTGAAGTTATAAAGAAAACATGGTTATCATGTTTTACTTTCCTGTACCACAAAAACCTAATTAATAGTAGTGAATTGCACTTAGAAATTATCGTGTTTTTTTTTTTTGGTTTTCCTTTCTCAGTTGCCATGTGTGTCAACCATTAAATCATATACTCAGTGAACTGTTAATCATATACATCTACATATACATTTGTACTCAAGAGTTGTTGTTTTTTGTTTGGGGGGGGGGGGACAATTTTTTTGAAGGTCATAAAACAACTACATTGTATCCAGCTTTAATTGGTAGAGGAAGACTTCAGGTTAGAAAGTTAACCTAAGTGGAACCATCAACATTATGTAAGCTAGCTTAAAGAGAGCTTCCTCATATTTTATTATGCCTCGCAGGGAGGCATATTAAAATTGCACTGTCTGTCCGTTCGTCCGTCCGTCTGGGGCATGCATGCGTCCCCACTTCATTTGTGTCCGGACTTTAACTTTGTCATACATTCAGGGATTTTGAAATAACTTGGCACAAATGTCTACCACAACAAGACAATGTGTCGTGTCCAAAAACCACGTCCCTACCACAAAAGTCAAGGTCACACTATTATTTTGAGTTTCACATTATCGCAATAAGAGTAAATAGGTATGCACATTCGTGAACAGACTGTAACTTTGTCATGCATCGAATTTTTTTAAAATAACTAGGCATAAATGTCTACCACATCAAGACAATGTGTCACGTCCAAGAATTACGTCCCTACCTCAAAGGTCAAGGTCACACTAACATTTTGAAGTTTCATGTTATCACAATTAGAATTAATAGGTACACACAATTGTGTCCGGACTGTAACTTTGTCATGCATCAAATGATTTTAGAATAACTTAGCGTAAATGTCTACCACATTGGGATGATGTGTTGCGTCCAATAATCACGTCCCTACCTCAAAGGTCAAGGTCACACTACCATTTTGAATTTCGTTTTATCACAATTAGAGTTTATAGGTGTCCGGATTGTAACTTTGTCATACATGGAAGGATTTTAGAATAACTTGGCATAAATGTCTACCACATCAAGACGATGTGTCACATCCAATAATCACACCCTTACCTCAAAGGTCAAGGTGACTCTACCATTTTGAATTTCGTTTTATCACAATTAGAGTTTATAGGTACACACATTCCTGTCAGGACTCTAACTTTTTCATGCATTAAAGGATTTGAATATAACTAGGCATAAATGTCTAACACATCAAGATGACATGTGGCGACTAAAACCCGTGTCCCTACCTTCAAGGTCAAGGTCACACTTATAGTTTGAAGGTACTCATTCTCTCAAGAAGAGTATATTAACACATATAGTATGGCCGCTGACCCCCTGTGCTGTTGTGTTAGAATATTGGTCATTAAAATATTTCTGAGACAGCCCATTTTGTATTTAAGGCAAATATTTTTTTATTTTATCATATACAACATAGAGTGTTTTCAAAGTATTTAGGCCACCCAAAACGATTACAACCCAGGGTTAAACTCTAGTTTGTTTGTATTCAGTTATCATATTTTGACAAAAGTTTGATCTTGATCTTAAAAAAACAACCTTAAAATTGATAGATCTAGTTTGAAATTTAATGCGGAAAACAGTAAGAAATAATTAGTGAATAGGAAAGATAGAAATAGATAGTTCAAAATTATACATTTCAAGTATAAAAAATTGGCGACAAACCAAGTAAACATGTATCAAGTTTCATGTTTATAACATTACAAAAAAAATTGTTTAAAGCATAGACAAGAGATTTATAAAAAAAAGATACGAATGAAACTTTGCTTTTACGAGTGAATCTATTTGTTATGCATCACTGCTTTTTACTTCCAAATTTAACACTACTGAATATTTATGTAAGAAATGAAATTTAAGAATTGAAAACTGAGTATGCAGAGATGTCAATTAAAAAGGAAATTACATCAATTTCATCACAATTTTATGGGTTTTGGATGAATATCATTACATCAAGGCTTTTGAACCACTTGGCTGAGATATCTTGGGTTTAAGCTAATGGGTTGCTTTTTTATTCTTCATTAAATTTTATTGCTTAGTTGGCTTACAGTATGAATTAGCAAGTGTAAATTTAAGTTATAACTCCCTTTTTTCATAACATTACTGAAAGTAATGAGTAAATTATTGTACAAATAGAATCTTCAACTTACAATGAGATATAATTAAAACAAGAAAAAAAAAGAATTTAAATGATTTTAAAATAGGTTTAACGAATAGCACTTTCATATTTTTGTTCAACATGAATATCTTGAGTCTAATAAAAGTCATCTGTCATTTTGAATCAAATGGTTTTACCATATTTCTTGAAATTATGTAGAGAACTACTGAGAAAAATTGAACGTTAATTTGCACTTGTGGTCTGAGACCTTGATTTATTGTGCATGTTGACAATTTTAATTTGTTCATTCATTTACAAAGTTTTTTAACAATAGGCTATAGATAATTATTTTCATGAGGATGCAATGAAAAATACCTTTATCATTTTTTGGGTCTTACAGTATTTGCACTGATATTTAATTTCATATAAATATGTTCTTTTTTGTAATAATTGGTTTTATTTTCAGCGAAGTTAGCCAACAGTGGAAGACCATACAATGTATAAATTAAGTCTTTGGTTGTATTCAGAGTGAGTTTGGGTACCAGTATCTAATAAATGATACTGTTGTGTCAGCAAATAAAAAAGAAAAAAAATGACATGAAAGTTTGCATGTATTCTACTGCAGATAATTTTGATCTAAATCATATCTTTTCTATACCCCCTGCATCAAAAGATCAGAGGGTATATTTGTTTTTGTCCTGTCTGTCTGTCTGTGTGGGTGTTAAAATTTGTCTCTCACCTTAGCCGTTATATCTTTATTCTATGACCTTTAGTTTGATTTGATGCTGAAGAGCTCCATTTACATGTAACTTTATTGGAATATGACCTTGACTTAAATTGACATTGATCATCAAGGTCAAATATAAATTGGTCAAGAGGTCCAATTGAAAACACTTAAATATGACCTTAACCTAAAAAAAGATATTGAACATCAAGGTCATTTATATTGGCCCAAGAGCTCCAGTTTAACCCATTGAAATATAACCTTGACCACAGCCTGACATTTATTATTAAGGTCAAATTCTTAATATTTTGTAAATTTCTTCATACCTTGAATACATTTGCTTCCTACTTGATGTTAAACTTAGCTACAGCTTATCTGTGGATAAGAATTGTGTTTTCACATATTGAAATGTGACCTTGAACAAGAAAGGACCTTAACCTTTAAGGTCAATTGTAAAAAAATTCTGGCCAATAAATTGTAAGGAAATGGGAGCATTTGTGTTGCATAAGCACATTTTATTTATTGCATTGTAATTTCTCATGTTTGAAATTATATGAATTCATCAGATGAAAATTTCTCTTTCTTGTAGATTCCTTAAAACATGCTTAATGCATTCTTTGTTAATAGAACTGATATATTTTCATTAAAATATAAAAGAAGAGACACTGGAGTTATTATAGATAGAAATAATCAGATAGTGATCATTTATAATTTCCATTTGAATTACTTGAAATTATTAAACTTGATTTAACTTGAAATGTTAAAATTTTACAAAATAGAATCTGTTATCAATGTAATACATAAGGATATGTAATCTTTTATTTTTAAACAAGTATGTATTTAAAATTTTTGTAAGAACAGAAGGTTTATAAAGGTTTTTCTTGTTTACAGGGATTTAACATTGATGTGAGGAGTAAAGAAGGAAATGTTGTTAGCACAAAGGTTCTTCAGGGGAACACCAGTGTTGTTTGTGGTGGAAATGGGGTATGAATTTGGTGCTTTTTAGCTCGACTATTCGATAAGAATAAGTAGAGCTATTGTAGTCACATGAGCGTCGCCGTCTACGTCGGCATCGGCGTAACCACTTAAATATGTTAAAGTTTTTGTAATAGTTCAAATATTTTCAAAGTCCATTGACATATGGCTTTGAAACTTTGCACACTTGTTTGCCATCATGACCCCAAACTGTAGACAGGAGGAGGTAACTGTATCAAGCATTTTGACAGAATTATGCCCCTTTTTCGACTTAGAATTTACGTTAAAGTTTTGTAATAGTTCAAATATTTTCAAAGTCCATTGACATATGGCTTTGAAACTTTGCACACTTGTTCACCATCGTGACCCCAACCTGTAGACAGCAGGAGGTAACTGTATCAAGCATTTTGACAGAATTATGCCCCTTTTTCGACTTAGAATTTACGTTAAAGTTTTTGTAATAGTTCAAATATTTTCAAAGTCCATTGACATATGGCTTTGAAACTTTGCACACTTGTTCACCATCATGACCTCAACCTGTTGACAGGAGGAGGTAACTGTATCAAGCATTTTGACAGAATTATGCACCTTTTTTGACTTAGAATTTACGTTAAAGTTTTTGTAATAGTCCATTGACATAAGGCTTTGAAACTTTGCACAATTGTTCACCATCATGACCCCAACCTGTAGACAGGAGGAGGTAACTGTATCAAGCATTTTGACAGAATTATGCCCCTTTTTAGCTCGACTATTAGATAAGAATAAGTAGAGCTATTGCAGTCACCCGAGCGTCGGCGTAACCACTTATTTTAAAGTTTTTGTAATAGTTCAAATATTTTCAAAGTCCATAGACATATGGCTTTGAAACTTTGCACACTTGTTCACCATCATGACCCCAACCTGTGGACAGGAGGAGGTAACTCTATCAAGCATTTTGACAGAATTATGCCCCTTTTTCGACTTAGAATTTATGTTAAAGTTTTTGTAATAGTTCAAATATTTTCAAAGTCCATTGACATATGGCTTTGAAACTTTGCACACTTGTTCACCATCATGACCCCAACCTGGAAACAGAAGGAGGTAACTCTATCAAGCATTTTGACAGAATTATGCCCCTTTTTCGACTTAGAATTTATGTTAAAGTTTTTGTAATAGTTCAAATATTTTCAAAGTCCATTGACATATGGCTTTGAAACTTTGCACACTTGTTCACCATCATGACCCCAACCTGTAAACAGGAGGAGGTAACTCTATCAAGCATTTTTTTTACTATCAAGCACTAAGAATAGTCGAGCGTTGCTGTCCTACCGACAGCTCTTGTTCGACTTAAAATTTTAGCTCAAAGTTTTTGTAATAGTTCAAATATTTTCAAAGTCCATTGACATATGGCTTTGAAACTTTGCACACTTGTTCACCATCATGACCCCAACCTGTAGACAGGAGGAGGTAACTGTATCAAGCATTTTTACAAAATTATGCCCCTTTTTCGACTTAGAATTTATGTTAAAGTTTTTGTAATAGTTCAAATATTTCAAAGTCCATTGACATAAGACTTTGAAACTTTGCACACTTGTTCACCATCATGACCCCAACCTGTTGACAGGAGGAGGTAACTGTTTCAAGCATTTTGACAGAATTATGCCCCTTTTTCGACTTAGAATTTACGTTAAAGTTTTTGTAATAGTTCAAATATTTTCAAAGTCCATTGACATAAGGCTTTGAAATTTTATACTCTTCTTTGAGAGCATAATAGGACTCTCTCCAAGGCCTATAAACTGTAATATGGATTTAAAGAAAAAATTTGCCTTTTTCTCTAATGAAAAAAAATTTACATTTTAATCAAAGTTTTTTTTATACTATCAAGCACTAAGAATAGTCGAGCGTTGCTGTCCTACCGACAGCTCTTGTTTATGCCCCTATGGATGCTCTTTTTCATTCTGTGATGTTGTGGTCCAGTCATACATATGTCTGTCTAGGCATTGCAAAAGTAATAGATGGCCAGGTTACTGAAAGCAGAACAAAAAATCACAATGGTATTTATTCTGTAATAGTAACAATAAATTTAGTGGCCTTGGCCCTTTTAACCACAAAAGAAAACATTAAAAATATTTGTCAGTCATTTCCATTCCTTTGCATGTCCTGATGTCTTCTCTGATCAATTACTTTAGAAGGTATGAGCCATGGTTTATGTTACTGATATACTGTTACCATTTAAATTTATGGTTAAATAAATGCGAGAAAAAAAGAACATTTAGAAATTTAACCATTATCTTTGGACCAAACTTAAAAAGTGATAAAAATAATAAAAGCATTTTAGCTATAGCATTGAAAGACTATTTGACTAGTTTGTTACACATGCTGTTAAACAATTGAGAAAGGTTTGAATAATGATAGAATAAGAATAACTTTACTTATTCTGTATTTATTTAACAGTCCATTGATATCGGAAGACTTCAAGGTCAAAATGTGACCTGTAATTCTGATCAGGGTGATATCAATGTCAAGGCCATCTATGCAGACAATTCGACCTTCACCTCGAACTTAGGTAACATCCATCTTGGAAGTTGCCACGGTGACAGTGAAGTCAGAATGAAGGAAGGTCATTTCAGAGTTGGTATGTGTTATAATTATCTCAAATAATTCATATCGTACCTCCGGGTATTTTATGTATTGAGCTTTGAAAAAGTGTCCACTGGTCTAAATGGTATAAAACATTCAGCATTTATTTAATACTTGTTTAATACATGTTTTAGTTTTGTAGCATAGGCTAGACATAAAATACTGTTACCGTCAATGTGTTAATACTATTGTATTCTAGGTCCTTATCCAAAATTTCATGGAAAGGGCAGAGAAGTTTGATTGCAAATAATCATGACTGAATAATCGTTTCACTGTTGACACTAAGTTAATTTTTAGCTCACCTGTCACAAAGTGACACTCTAGTGAGCTTTTGTGATCGCTTTTTGTCCGGCGTCCGTCCGGCGTCCGTCCGTAAACTTTTGCTTTAAATGACATCTCCTCATAAACCACTGAGCCAATTTCATCCAAACTTCACAGGAATGTTCCTTTGGTGGTCACCTTTAAAAATTGTTCAAAGAATTTAATTCCATGCAGAACTCTGGTTGCCATGGCAACCGAAAGAAAAATCTTTAAATATCTTCTTTTAAACAACCCTAAGAGCTAGAGCTTAGATATTTGGCATGAAACATCTTCTAGTGAGTGTCTACCAAGTTTGTTCAAATAAAAGCCCTGGGGTCAAAATTGGCCCCGCCCCAGGGGGTCATTGATTTTCCCTATATGCATATAGTAAAAACTTAAAAAATCTTCTTTTAAAGAACCCAAAGAGCTAGAGCTAAGATATTTAGCATAAAACATCTTCTAGTGAGTGTCTACCAAGTTTGTTCAAATAAAAGCCCTGGGGTCAAAATTGGCCCAGCCTCGGGGGTTATTGATTTTCCCTATATGCATATAGTAAAACTTAAAAATCTTCTTTTAAAGAACTCAAAGAGCTAGAGCTTAGATATTAAGCATGAAACATCTTCTAGTGAATGTCTACCAAGTTTGTTCAAATAAAAGCCCTGGGGTCAAAATTGGCCCCGCCCCAGGGGGTCATTGATTTTCCCAATATGCATATAGTAAAAACTTAAAAAATCTTCTTTTAAAGAACCCAAAGAGCTAGAGCTAAGATATTTGGCATGAAACATCTTCTAGTGAGTGTCTACCAAGTTTGTTCAATTTAAAGCCCTGGGGTCAAAATTGGCCCCACCCCAGGGGGTCATTGATTTTCCCTATATGCATATAGTAAAAACTTAAAAAATCTTCTTTCAACGAACCATAAGAGCTAGAGCTTAGATATTTGGCATGAAACATCTTCTAGTGAATGTCTACCAAGTTTGTTCAAATAAGAGCCCTGGGGTCAAAATTGACCCCGTCCCAGGGGGTCATTGATTTTCCCTATATGCATATAGTAAAAACTTAAAAAAATCTTCTTTTAAAGAACCCAAAGAGCTAGAGCTAAGATATTTAGCATGAAACATCTTCTAATGAGTGTCTACCAAGTTTGTTCAAATAAAAGCCCTGGGGTCAAAATTGGCCCCGCCCCAGGGGGTCATTGATTTTCCCTATATGCATATAGTAAAAACTTAAAAAATCTTCTTTTAAAGAACTCAAAGAGCTAGAGCTAAGATATTTAGCATGAAACATGTTCTAATGGGTGTCTACCAAGTATGTTCAAATAAAAGCCCTGGGGTCAAAACTGGCCCCGCCCTGGGGGGGTCATTGATTTTTCTTATATGTGTATAGCAAAAACTTAAAAATCTTCTTTGAAAAAACCCAGAGTTTAGATGTTAAGCATGAAACATCTTTAAGTAAATATCTACAAAGTTTGTTCAAATAAAAGCCCGAGGGTCAAAACTGGCCCTGCCCCAGGGATGTCATTGTTTTTAACTATATGTGTATAGTAAAAACTTTAAAAATCTTTTAAAAAACCCAATGAGCTAGAACTTAGATGTTTAGCATGAAACATCTTTTTATGGGTGTCTACCAAGTCTGTTCAAATAAACAAATAAAAGCCTGGGTAAAAATTGGCCCGGGGTTGGGGGGGGGGGCCTATATACAGGTGAGCGACCTCAGGGCCATCATGGCCCTCTTGTTTTTATGATGAATGACATTTGTGAAGAACTAAGAATAATAAAGTAGTGAGTTTCAGTTTTTGTTCATGATTGTTTTTGCAGACACACTTGATGGTAATTTGAATGGATCAGTTGAATATGGAGATTCTCACATAGCTTTGTCAAGGGAAGGAAATGTTGACTGGGAGGTTGAAACTGGTAATCTGTCTTTGATATTTGAAAAAAAATAGAAAGATTATCATAAAATTAGATTATATTGTATTTTCATACTTAAAAAATATATTTATAAATTTCATGTTTATATTTTACTTAAGATGCATCCTGCTTCAACCATGACTGATTTTTATCATAAAGATTTGAAGCTAAATTTTGACAGTCATTTCTATAAAATACTGAATAATATTACAATGAAGCTCTGTATGTGTGTGCATGCATGTGCGTTAACAATTGCAACTTTATGAGGGCATGCTGTCTGAGCATTTGAATTTTCAATTTCTTTTGAAACTCATTTATTATGATACATAATACATTCATACTCTATTTCAATGGGTTAAGTTCTAACTAAATGCTGACTCAGTCAAATATCATGCATGTGGTGGCTCTTGGGAGAGCTTTGTAGTTCCCAAACTTCAAATCACTTTCCCTTCACCATTGAGGGTTTGAATCCCATCAGGTGATGAGATTGTTGATTCTTTTGAGGAAGCTATCCAGCTAGCTTACAGAAGTTTGGTGGTTCTACTTTGGTGTCCGTTCATGCTTGAAATAATGCACAAAGCAGAACCCGAGGTCTTTCTCCATCAGTAAAGCTGGAATGTCATCATATGACCTTTACAATGTTGGCTTGACATAAAACGAACAACAACAACAAAAAACAAAAAAATGTAAATCCAACAAAATTATATGTGCTTTATAAAAAGAACAAATTATATGTGCTTTATAAAAAGAACAAATTATAATATGTGCTTCATAAAAAGACATGGTTATGATCTGTTGCAGGTGATATTTCTTTAAGTGTGCCAGAATCTCTAAACTGTCGGTTAGAAGTGAGTGGGACAGATGTTGACACAGGGGAGGTCACCATTCATAATACTGAAATTTCTGAGGAAAAGAATCTCACCAAACTTACAGGTACATAAGAATTTTTTTAAACTGATGGAACCAAAGGATATTAGCCTTTGCTACCAATTTAGAGCCAGGCGCTAGTGCAGTCTGAGCAGGCCCGATATAAATACTGTTGGTAGTGAAATTTTGTATTTTTATTTGGTAATCCCTTTTATTTTAAATGGAACTGTTCCATTACACAACTTAAGCAGACTAAAGGTTAGTTGTGTAGCTACTAAATGCTTGGCACTTACAGTGGAGGTTTTGTAGTTACCTAATTGATGTGACAAAAATTATAAAGTTACTGTGTTACATATGTGTAAACACCTATCTCATTTACTATGAATACAAGGTCTGATAACTTTTATGAGGGAATCTGAAATCTCCATCATGCAACTATTTCTTTTTGTCAGTGATCTAGAGTGTTGTGTTTATTTGCTATTGAACATGGGTTATGAGTTCCAATCCTATGTAAAGCAGGGTATTTTCCAGATTTATATGCATCTTTGTCCTGAATTCTTAAGATAAAGTACACGTTATTCTAAGTGTGATTATTAATGTATAAATATATTTAGGATATTGAATGAGTGTAGGTTTAATACTATATTTATTGAACTTGTTGAATAAAACAACATTATGCTTTCCAGAGGCCCGCATAATATGATTTAATTCAGCTCGAACTTGAATGTACATGAATATAATATTCTATTTATCACATACATAAAATAAGAACAGTAAACTGTGAAAAAGAGTAATTTTTCATTGAGGCGCCTATAGTGTAAAGCTAACATAAGTGCGCTTCATGCTATGTTTATATATAGAATGCAAATGACTTCATGTCAAAGTGTTATTACTATAGTGTATTATCGTTCTTATTAAATGGCTTTATTGCACTCCTGTGCTGCGGTTTATCTGATAAATCTCGTTTAATTTTCATGTTGTTTTAAATTTCAGGTAACCTAAGCACAGAGCCAAGCAAAGGAAACATTGATACAAGAACAAACAATGGAAAAGTAAAGCTCGCCTACTATAGTTGGTTGTCATCGATAAACCTTGGTGACAAATAAATGTTATATCGCATGTTTATCAAGATAAATTTCTGCAATTTAAATCTCCTGTGTGCACTTGCCAAGTGTTACTACTACCATGGTAACTTCCGAATAACAGTTCTGTTTTTGAAGGAACACAAGTCGAAAGTTTCTTGTTGGTACACATCTTGAAAGCAAAGGGAAGAGAATTTTTTGGGGAAAAAAATCACTGACAGAGAGAGATGTATTGAATGCATGTCCCAAACAAACATAAATGTTAATTCCCAGGCACAATAGATGTTTGAAAGCGGGTTGTGTAACACTTCAGTGAACAATAATGATAAGGATGAACATTTTGGCTACACAAAATCGGTGATGGAAAGGTTTAAAGATAAAAAAATTGTTATGTATTTCCATATCTTGTTCTAAACATGACAAAAAAAAAGATATTTAGTTTGTTTTGTTAATGGCAATAGCAGTTTTGAACTCCCCTCATTCAAGATTTTTACACACATCAAAAAGTTTTAGTTTGAAAATTTATACCTGCATCCTTATAATACTGGCAAATTGGCTGTGAAAAATAAAGCACTAATTATGCTTTGTGGTAAAAGTTAAAAAACAGATATCATTCCATGTGTTATAGTAATGATTTTCTAATCATTCTTCTTGTATTATGATGCCCCGGTGCACCCCATTTAAAAAATACAAAAAGTTGTGTTAACTTTATATTCATATACATGTTAATTCATTCACAACTCTTGACTTTTTGCCACTCATGCTCAACTGTTATATGATTTAAACACATTTTTTTCTTGCTTGTGAATTTAGCAACAAATGTATTAAGGCATTATACTATTTAAATATTAAAGGCACATTATGCCTCAGAAATACATATTATTTTTTAATTCATCATGCAGTAATGTGTTGTAAAGGTAGCGAAAATGTAAACATACTAGTAATTTGATTTCCATACAAAAAACTAATTCGATATATAATGAGCAAAAATGAGCAAAAGATAAATCCTCTTTATTACCTTATTCTTGTTTTTGGAAATTGTAACAAAATACCAAACATATAAGTTTTTAAGAAATATAAATGGTAGCATTTCTGAGGCATAATGGGCCTTTAACAAATTTGTGTTGTATGATTTATAATGTATCTACACTATTTATATTTACATAGCACATGATTACGTTTTTTTCCAGTAATTTTTCTGAACATAAAATACTCAAGTTATTTTAGTATAAAAGTGAGAGATAACTGTGTACTTATATGTAAAAATATGGTATTTGATTAATAATAAATGTATGTGCAAGATATTTTATTTTTGATTAAATATGTTTTTTATGATTTTGAAGTTTTATGATTTTGAAGTTTATTTTCTTTATTTCATACATTTTTTTTCCCTGAAACATTCACATATTTTGCTGAATTGTTACTTACTTGTTGTAATAATTCATATTACAGTCAACCCTGCATTAAGTTAACCAACTTTGAAGACCACCTATCTAAAGAAACAACATTTATCTTTATTTTGATTGAATTAGTATGTGAAAGCAGTTACATGTAAATAAATTTCTGGGTCATTTGTATATTTTGTCAGTAAATAAAATGTGTGCTTTAATTTTAAATTAAGATTCTTGGATCGTTTTTAGATTATATCAGTTAGATAAATTCTTTGTCTATTTTTAGCTGCTGTTTTTAAAATGGTGTTTCATTGCCAAGACTCACTGTATTTTTCTAACAAAAGTGTTTACAATATACTCCATCCAATTAGATCTTACATTTGTAATCATCTTAAATTACTTCTGCCAACTTTTTGTACATGATATTCTGTTTTGTTATACATACATGCATGTGTATATTTTGCTACAAAATTATACAGCTTTTTATTTCATGAAAAAAAACACATGGCAACACAGAAAAGAAAATCTGTATCACACACAATTGTAACCCAAATTTGGTTTGATGTTGCTGAAAATAATTTCTGTACTAGAACTGTGTATATAGTTAAAGTATAAGAAAATATATAATGTATGGTAAAAGAATCGCTGTCTAGTGCATAAAGTATTTTCATCTGACGCCTGTATTTTTTTGTCATGTATTTTACTATCATATACTTCTCTGAGATCACACTTGAAAATTTCTGGTGCAGAGTACAGATTTTATGTAGACATACATGTAGTTGAAAAATTGATAAGGCTTACTTGTTAATGTGTCCTCAGACTTAAAGCCCAGTGGTCATGGGTTTGAGCCATACTGGGTTTCCTTGTATGACACCAGTGGAAAGACTGTAGAATGTTTAGCATGGTTTAAATAACTTGTAAGTTTTCTTCAGAATTCAGCTTAAATGACTAATGTTTAAACTAGTACAAGATAATAACTCTATTAGATTATGTTAAAGGAAAAAGTTTTATATTGTTTGTTATATTGATGACTATTTGATGTTTATATGTAAGATAGTAGACCAAATTTGTAGCAATTTCACATCTTGATATGCCTGTGTTACCGTTAAACTTGGTATATTGACCTAATTCTGATTTTTACTGCTGATTCTGCGACAAATAATACTTTTTTTATAATAACGTGGAAGATCTATATATCAGGGGGAGATAGGTAGTGAAATATGTATTGTTAAAATCGTTGTGAAAAAAAGTAATCATGATTATATATGACAAAAGCATAAAGAATGACAATATTTGAAGGAACCTGTACATCGATGTAGCTTCCTTCCGTAAACATGGCAAGCTTGTACCAAAGATTTTGAATTTTCAGGATTTTCTGTGAGCTTGCTTTGTTTATTTTATTTTCAACTTAACTAGAATTTTGTAGATGTTTTTTCATCACATAAGGTTAAGAAAAAATTTACAAAAGCTTAAATGTTTCCATTTACTTCATATTGTCCAGGATTGACAGTTAACTGGTTATAACTTGATGAAATTTTAAAAATAAGTTATGACAGGGTTAGAATAAACCCTTAACCCTGTGTTGTAATATTTAGTTGTTTCAAATGAATATTTAATGAATCTCACGTTTATTTTAAGGGCTCTCAATAAGTCAAATATGAAGGATAGCTTCCCCATTGACAATTATATAGTTAAACATTTGTTTATAATTTCCTATTCAAGTTCAAAGTTCATTTTCTGGGTGGTGGCTGTGTGCCTCTAGTAACACATGTTGCTTTATTTTTTCTTTCTAAAGCAAATTTTACATTTGATCTTATTCATAGTCTGTTGCAGTTTGCTTTGATCTCTATGAAGATTAATTAATTAATTAATTAATTTTAGAATGATCGAACAAATAGACATACTTTTTAAGCCATATTGGCGTAGTTTTTGATGTTGCTGTTACAATTTATTTCTTTTGTTTTTAGAAATACTGTACGATGACTGTATCAGTCACCTGTGGTTTCGAATATCAAGGAAAACAACAGTAAAAGGTGGCGGGCAAATATAAGTAAAGCAATCTTTCTACGAATTTGTACATCATTTTAAAATCCTGATTCTTTTCCTTTTATATGAAAATTATTTTTGTAGAGTTTAAATCTGTCATATTTGTGAAGACATGAAAGCCAAAAAACATAAGCATATTTATTTCAGGCCTTGCTTTTCATTTTTTTTGGAAATATTTTCTGATTTAAGCATGTATACATGTTTTATACGTAGGTTTATTAGGCAGTAGTAACCAATGCCAGTGTCAACATACAGCCGTAGAATGAGGCCAGTTTGTACAACTACATAGTCTTATCTGACACTGTACCATTTGTTGTTTAATGCACTAGTAATTTGTTGATTAAACCCCATAAAATTGCAATGGACAGATCCAAAGCCTATGCAAGGTTAAGTCCATTTTACAAATTTAGTTATGTAAGGGTTAACCGTAAGCCTCCTGACTTTGTGCAATGGATTGGCTGTGGGTTGATTTTGGAATAGTCTATTTAAAGCCTTTGGGATTTCAATATCAAATACAAAAAAAGAACTTAGCTACCAACAATATAGGGCCTTAAAGTCTTACAGGTTGGCAGGCTGGCCTGGCTATACTACTGGTGGCTAAAAGCTGTTTCACTTCAGGTTCAAGCACTTTGCCAATTAATAAATAGCTGTTAAAAGTGTACGTGTATATGACATCTTTCTGCATGTTAACTGATGTTGAAAGTTTACTATACTAATAATATGTATATTTATATACTACATGTATATAAGTTATTATATAATAAAACAGAAATATACATGAATATATTTCATATATACTACAAGAAATGATGATTGATGTAAGTAGATTAGGATTTTTATTGCTATGCTCTGCTTAACAGAACCTCTTTGCTGTCTTCTGTTTGACTTTGTTATTTATGAAAAGAAAATTTTAAATTAAAGTATTTAAAAAAAAAAGATAGGTTTGTTGTTTTTTCTCTTTGTTTCAGCCTCCTTTGTATACACATGTAGATTATTGATGAGTGGTATTTGATGGAGAATCCAGAAATACTAAGAGGAAATTGAATTGTGTTCAGATTTAAAACTAAAATTTATTGAAAGAGATGAAAAAAAGAAGATATTAAACGAGCCTCTGGCAAGCATGATATTGTTTTATTGAACAAGTTCAAAAAATTTATTTTAATGAAGCTACACAAATATAACATTCTTTTTATCTCTTATCCAAAAAAAGATTGGTTTATCGGCCTGTGTGATTAATTACAAAGCATTTTGAAGGATAAACCATGCATTATTTATTATACTAAATTAATGCAAGGAAAATTAATATCTATTTCCATTCTTACAGTCATGCTATTGATAAAAATATGTTGAGCTTCATTTAGAGTGGAAGTCATTTTCTTGATATAATTTGGTGTAATGACATAATTTCTGATGTCACATGACATGTAAGCATATGCATATCCCTTGTAAAAATGCACTTGATTGCCCTATCTGTTTGATTATAAAACTCACCTCCTGAAACAATCATTAATTAAGTATATGTTAGAAGATATTAAGGCTAGAACTAGATTGGATATGTCCTTGGTATGCTATTCCAGTATGGTAAGTTCTAGAAAAGAAAAGTTCAGGTGGGTAATAGGTAAGTATATAAGGTGTTTTGACGCTGCTGAAGTAGTCATGCATAAGTCACATTTGTTGCTGATAGTAAAATGCTCACAATTATTTAATTAAAGTTGGTAATCTATTTTCTTTAGATTACCTTTATTCCTTTTTTTTCTATTGAGATAATGTATTAGGTGTGACTGGTTTGAAAAGGATTTAGATGTGATCAGCCTAAATAAATTTTAGCAGTATACTACCTAAATTACAACAAGTCTCACAATAATTTAAAATTACAGGTCGCCGCAAGGAAGAAAATAAAAACAAAATATTACGAAACCCAGTTTTTAACTGTTGTAGAGATGAAAATTACTTTATAGGTATTTCTTTTTTGTTAAGAAATCAAAGTTTTTCATATTTTTTAAAACTTTCTGTGTCTTAAATGTTGATTGTAATGTAAACATGAACTCTGATAAAGTGTAGGTTTATTCGGATGTGACTACTTGTGAATATGAGTCATAATTTGTAAAAAAAAATCTAGTTCAAAGTGATATTAAGGGGCCTAAATAGGATATTATTTTATAAGTCAGTACTGTTTGATGAAAAATTCTAGGAGTTTAATATGAAAAAGGCAAAGCCTCAAAGCGAGCTCGATGTACTTTTTATAGTATGAAATAATCGCTCATTTTTATTTCAAATGCAGTAACGAGTGCGTGTGACGTCACACGTACTGTGTTAAATATGGCTCCGCCCCTGTCGTGAAATGAATAACGAGTTTTAAAAACGTTGATAAAACTTTGTTTATTTTATTTCACTCTATAATTTTTCAAGCGAAATAAAGATTATTTAAAGTAAAATAAATGTAAAACTTAAAACGTTTGCGACATTAAGGAAGCGTACTTGATTTGTTTGTTTTGCACGTGCTGTTTGGCGCTGCATTGTGACGTCACGTAAACAATACTTTAAACGATTGTACAGGGTTAATGACTGAATAAAAGATATTGGTGTTCGGATTCATTTTCTTAGTTAGACCATTTTCTTTCATTCTAGATAGTTTTCACAACAAAATTCGACAAAAAAATTGTTTTAATTTATCAGATTTCAAACAAAATGGCGCCTTCGATTTTCATTTTTTATACACAGCTTCCGTTATTCTGGTTCCCTGTCCAATTATGGTTCCCATAGACGTGTGCGGGTGACCAGTCTACACATCCGTTTTCAGTCAGAATTCCTCAGTTTTTATCGTTATCTTTAAATTCGAAAGGTTGCGATGTGTCCAATTCGGTACTTTGGACGAAAGTTTTCAAAACCATCACTTAGCAGGTACTCGCGTTACCGTAAAGCTCGCTTTGCGAGCAGGCCCTTCGGGCCAGCTCGTCGAGCTCGCTATTAAAAGTTATAATGATTCGTCCCAGGTGGTAGACAGACGTTTCACTATTGAGACGGTTCACACCCAGACAGTTCACACCAAGACGTTTCACTCCCAAATGGGAGTGAAACGTCTTGAAGACGTTTCACTCCCTTTTTATACCAAAATTATTTTGATACTTATGATATACTAACATAGACCTAAAATATTGAATTGAATTGAACTAAAATAGACCTTAAATTTAATAAATTAAAAAGGAGGATTTCAATTTTTTTTCAATGGCTTAAAACTCAGTTCTTTAAGTTCTATCATTTCAGTTATCTTATTTTCTTCATTGTTTTGAAATAAGGTGTTTTTCTATTCTTTGAAAAAAATCCAAATGTGCAATTATCAGTGATTATCACATTATTTCATTTAAAGAAAAAATATTTTTGATTAAAATAACACTTTAATATAACTAAGTATTTGATCTTTTGTAAACATGGAATCAATAGGCAATTTTAATTTAAAGCATAACAATCTTGTGACAAGAATTAACATTGAGTAACATGTTTTTTGTTGTTAATTTTAAACATCCGATCAAAAATTGTTAAAATATTTTATGCTAGTACAGTAGAGTGCATTTGCGATATATTTCAAAAAATTTAATGGCCATTGAAATCAGAAACATCTTTAAATAAAATTTAAGCATTAGGACTTTTTCAATATTTGTCATGTATAATCATTTTTTGTGACTAAAATCAATTATTATATACTTATGGAGAAGTTTCTGTGTTTAAATTGGCTGTTGTCAAAAAATATTTTAATGGTCTAATAAACAACTGATTAGTAAACTGCTGTGTTTATACAACTGATTTAATAGTGTCTCAAACTGTTAGTTGATTGTCTCAGTGTTTATACAACTAATTAGCCAATGAGATAACACCACATTAATTACTTAAGTTTTTTTAATGGGTTTAATAAATTGATGAAGAAAATAATTTTAAAAAATAATTTATTTTATAGTTTTTATACACATGTTTTGCATTTCATTGTTTAAGACTTACAAAAAATAATCATTACATAGTCAATATATTTAATATATATCGATATTTTTTATTATTTGAGTGATACATGTATTTATTACTTTACTGGTAATGATTTCAATATATTTAAACTGATACTTATAATATAGATGTTTTTGTTGTTCTTTCTATGCATGTTATTCTATTTTTTATATTTACTATAAATAGAATTTGCTCATGTTGTTACACTGATAATAAAAGTGATATTTCACTATCATTTCAGAAATGTGTCTTTCATTTACACCTCTTATCACTCAACCCATAGTTAAATGATACCATTGAATTCAACAAAATGAAACATTAAATTGAATTTCCTTTTTACACTGTTTAATATTAATGAAATTAAAATTTGTTAACTTTCCTAGTAAACATCTCTAAAAATTGGGAGTGAAACGTCCATACAATTGACAAAATGGGAGTGAAACGTCTAGGTGTGAACCGTCTTGGGAGTGAAACGTCTCAATAGTGAAACGTCTTGGGAGTGAAACGTCTGACATTCGTCCCAGGTAATGCATAAATAGCTTAGTGCAATACCAATAAATGTTTGGGTAGCCTAATTAATTTGGCGTGAACGGTTTGACCAATTTTATGTACTTTTTTTTCATACTGTCAAACTATCCAAAATTATCTCAATGTCTCTTTGACAAGTCTTATAACTTGTTGGACAAACGTTTGAGCACTATTAAGTGGACACTTATTAAAATCTACTCCGCTGGTGTTAATAGGGTATACCACAACTATTTTTACACCTTATATAAACACTGTTGGATGTAATAAAATAGTGACCAGTTTCTGTTGCCAGAATGAAAAATTGTTTGGAATTTTTTTTTAAAAATATTGTATGGTGACCAAAGCAACTGGCAGCGTGAGCCCTAATTTTCTGTGATGCTGAAATTTTTTGTAGTCAAATAAATTTCAGTACTGACCTGTGAAACCTGCAAAGTTTTTGGTATAATTTAAGTTCTTAATCTGTAAATATATCAGTGAAAATTAAGGACACAACATCCTAGATGATCAATTAGTATATTTAGTAGGTCATTACACATTGACAAAAATCAAAAATGTGTGAGTGTCATATTAGTCAGTAGGCTCTTTGATGATTTAGTTAAGTAGCATAGACATACATCAAAGGTTGGGAGATTCTTTTGAAGAGCCAATTTGGTACCTGTCAGAGGTCATTTTATGCGTGAAATGAATAAGGCATTTTTCTAATTGATTATTGTAATATTTAGTTGTTACAACTTCAAAAAAGGAGATATTGCTTTTTAATAGTAAAATGAATAGAATTAAAAGAAAACATCATAGTTAAACATTATGTTTAACCATCTGAGTAAGTGATTATAAAGTTAATACTTATACCAAGTGTACAAAGTTATCACTGAACATCAATCAAATTTACTATTTGTAAGACTAGTAGATAAATAAAAATGGCATAAGTGTTATTTTTTATGCTATTTAAAACTCTTGGAATTTTCAATTGATACTTTTCAGTTTCTTTTTATTTTAATTTAAATCACTGTATTGATATTTAACTGTATTGTATAATTTAAACAGGAGATGAACTGATTAGTGTAACAAGTTATGGAATCTGCGCTTAGATTCAGGCCAAATGGCCCAGCATTCTTATCATCAGGAAGTGCTGGCATGGCAACTGAAAATATCACCAAAAATGGGAGTGACCCAATCGGCCACCTTGTTTCAAACCTCACCACCACTCCAGGTAGCATTACATTTGCCCCAGAACCTTCTGTCATAAAAGAACCTGTGTGTCAATGGATTCTGTATGAGGATATTGCTGAGACTAGGTAAATTATTAAAAATCTCAGGTTTTTTTTAATATGACCTATTCCCATGGAATCGGGAATTTCAGTGATGTTTTGTTAAAAATTGGGAAAAAATGCATTATTCAAATTTTGTAGTGTTTGAATGAATTCAAAGACTCAATGTCTAGGATGGCATCTTCAAACATTTAAGCACTATAAAAGTGAAGAAACCCTTATTTTCAAAGATTTTAGAAGTTGTTATTCAATTATTTAGTTTTTAACTTTCAGTTTGGAATTTTTTCCTATGGATTGGGAAAATGATATGCTATTTTGAATCGTGAATATGACCAAATATTGGCTGTAAAATAAGTCCAAAAATCATGAAATCTTCTTTCAAATTCTTTGAAAACTACTCAATGGTTACATGTATATATGACAATTGTATTAAAATTCTTCAAAATCTACTCTGTATTGAATGTTTTTAGTTAATATATAAAAGCTCAGTTAAAGTTCTTGGCAAACTATTAAGAATTGAGTAACAAATGCTAATTAAAATGAAACTTATTTCAAGTTCTTGGAAAACTAATGTTTAGACTTGCACATTGCATTGGTGAGCGAAGAACTTACATATAGAAAACACTCTTTACTGTATATGATTAACCAAAAATGACTGCCACAACTTAAAATGGATTGTCACATTAATTTTTAATGACATGACTCATGATTCATGAAAATTGTTAAAAACTTTTGCTTTAATTTAAAAATGAATTTTTCATTTGTAAGAAGCTAAAAAAGAAATTTAAGATATACCATTACAAGAACATTTTTGTAATTATGCTTTGGCAGACTAAAAAGTAATTGGTGATGTCTTGATCTTTATGTCTGTTACAGGGTCAGAATATGGGATCTTATTATTCTAATACCAAATGCATTGTTTATGATGTTTTTGCTGTGGAACTTAAAGTTGGCAATCAGCAAACTGAAGCAGACCAGCAGTCCTATTTTCATGGCTTTCTATATCCTGGTAATATTTTAAAACTTTGACTGTATTTGTTATTTGGACCAGTCCATTATCAATATTAGATATACTGTGTCATAATATTTGAAAGTTGGCCTGCCACCAGTACAGTGCCTGGTCAGATTTTAAGGATGTGGAGACTGGCCTGGCTCTATAGACTAGATATTTGATAACAACTTTGCAGGTTCAGTTCAAACATTTTACAGGCTGTTTCAGTATTTAGCTGTTTTCTTTAGCTACTGATATTGCATTTATGGTAATAAGGAATTTATACAGCTTTGATTTCTAAATTTTGTATGATTGTTTAGACTGACATTGATCACATTAACTTTCAGGTTTGCAGGGTTTTCTCTTTTAGCTGGTATTACCATTTTTGTTTTAGAAAATTGCTTAGTTTGCAATATTTACTGAATCGTTCTTACTAAAGAATTATATGAACTTGATACATATATTAAAGCAATTGTATTACAGGTATGTATGGTGTCAGTAATAAGTGTGTTGAGGTGTATTGTGGGAATGACGGTCAATGCGTCTGTGTTAGCAGGGGACATAACTGATAAGGTATGATATTTTTTTTTATAACTTTGCTATGCTTTCACTTAAGATGTTGCTTTGCAATGCTTTCACTATCATTGAACTTTAACAAAAAATCAAAAACATTCTGTCAAGTATTACTTGTAAACATATAGTTGAAAGACATAAAATTATTCATACTACAGGGATAAAATATAACAGTAATGATTTACTCAACTTGTGAGTTCACTTTTGAAAGATGATTAGACACAATTTTTAGACAGCATAAATGACAAGATGTATATGTAAAGTGTGTGTTGGAAAAGAAGCTTTTACACTGAAAAGCACCTGAAATTAATGCATAATATTTGTGTTCAAAATGTTAGTAAAGGTTGAAAAAAAAATGTTATTTTGATGAACAATTGAAAACTTCATTGCCTCTGAATAGATCAAAGAGTTAGGAAATTTCAGGTCACAAAATTAGTCAAATGATGAAAATTAACTGATAAACATAAATGGTTTTTGGAAATATCTGCTATATAAAATTTTACTGTAGTTTAATGATGTAATATGTGAACAAAGGTTTACCTATGCAGTAAATAATAGGAACACATGACCCATTTCCTTGAAGGCAAATCGCTTTGTGATGTTTCTTGGGAACGATTTCTTGGATTCGGAAAAAAAACAACATATATGTTACAGATCTGACCAATTAGATAGGTAGAAAATAGCATGGAACTCATCATGATTCTCTGCATTTCGCTTTAAAATTTACTTTGGTTCACATTGAATATTTTGTCAATAAAAGAATATGTTACAATGTCGCATAATGGTCATTGGTTTTTAGAAAATTGGTTTTAACTTGATTGTTACACCAGTTTGTACTTATTATTGCTTATTTGTATAACATGAACCTATGCAATAATTGGGCATATCAAAATGCATGTATTTGTATTGTAAGAAAGTCAAGAAATCCCTAAACTTGATAAATTTACAAAATGTATTTTTGTTTTTCAAGGTACTATGGTTGGTGTTGAGATTTTTCCTGCTAGCAACAGAATTGTCTGTGGTTGTTTTTGGACTGGCATTTGGTAAGAACATATAATAGCATGTATATATATATATATTTTGTATTTACTCATTTAATGAAAATACTGTTTTCCAAATTTAGGTATAAGCATATAGACACACTCTTAAATCTATTCCTGGAAGCAACCGGTACTGAGCAATTAGGGTAAAGATTATTGCTCAAGGAAACAACAGTTAGCCTCTAACAGGATTTGAACCCATATGCTAGCTTTCCATAAATTATGTATTAATGACTCAGTCATGCTGCCTATTTTGGTGACATAGGCAAGTCTTCACTCCCATTCATATGCATTTGGTTAATTTAACAATGGCTAAATTAAATTCAAACTTAAGCAAAGAATTTGTGGCTACTATTGTTTTTAACTTGTTTATGAGATTGACAATTTAGAACTGTGAATGTAAGATGATTCCACTGTGATAGCTAACATTTATAGGCAAGTTAATTTATTATTCAAAATGTATGTATGGCAGTGTACAAACAATTCTTTGCATCATGTTGTAATAGGGATTTCTATTCTTGAAAGAAGCCAGTTTATTTCTTAAAGTTGGCTTGTGTATGAATATCAACCAGGAAAAATGTACAAGAATATTAACAAAAGCATCTGTGTGGTCCATATCATGTTGTAGGGGATTTGACATGTTACAAATGTACCGTATTACAAGGTCATGATGAAAACCCCTGTTTATTACTTTGAAAGTCTCATTTGATACTGATATTTTTTTTTCATTGAAGGTCATTTGGACAGTAGAACGAGTATAAGACGAGTCTTGCTGGTCACAACAATATCTGCATTTGTTTATTCCTGTATACAGGTATGTTAAAAATTTGTAAACCTTACGTTGCTCAAACTGAAAGTGATTAGCTTGTGCCATCAGTATAGAGCCAGGCTAGCCTCCATATCTGTGTAGTCAAATCAGACTCTTTATTGCTAGCTGACCAACAGTAAATAGAGGATATTAAATAAGTGTAGATTCAATGCTGAAATAATTGAACAAGTTTAATAAAATTACATTATGCTAGCCTGTGGCGGGCATAATATGACTTTATTCAACAAGTTAAATAAAATATGTTACAAACCTATACGAATATAATATTCTATGTATCATATATCTGAAATAAGAACTTTTTTCGGTAAAAAAGAATCACTTCTTCATTAAATTTAGCACATCTTTAAGCTTTGTTTTTGTAACGAAACTGTTGTCACATTTAAATATATGTGCACAGCTGTGCATAATCCTTTTACTGAGTTGCAAAAGTGGCATGGGTATGTGATAAATTTTTATCTTGATATCCGTGACAATTTTTTGTCTCTTTGGTTGAAAAATAATTTTAAATAATGACTCAGGTCTGATATTATAACTGCTAGCTTCCTCTATTTGTATAAATTCAAATTCTTTATTGTTGTTTTCTAAGGGAACATTGGAGTTCATGTATCCCGATCCTAAATTTCACGTGGAGAAAGGTGCTGTTACAAAAAATTACGATATATTTGCACATGGTGGCATGATATTTTGGATTACAAGTTCAGCCTTCTTCTTTGTCGTAAGTACTTTCTCTTAAATTTACCTAATTTACCTATTTTAACCCTTTAAGTGCTGGACCCGAAAGCATTAAGTCTTTGCCACCAGTATAGAGCCAGGCCAGCCTGCACATCTGTGCAGTCTGACCAGGCTCTATACTGTTGGCTGACAAATTTTAAATATTCAAATTGATATCCCTAAAATTGATAATGGACAGTCCCAAAAATGGAAGTGGGACAAGTCCGTTTAAGATATTCAGCATGTTCAGGGTTAACCCCTATCACACTAATTATCTTAAATAGACTTGCCTGTTTGTCAATCTGAAGGAAACATTTTTCGGGAAAATTCAAAATATATATATTGACTGAATAGCAAACAATGCAGATCCACTCATCTTGGCTATACATCTGGCATGGGTAGAGTCTGTTGCTGTCAGCACCTTTAAAGCCTTTTTTACTTGCTTTATTTACAAGAAACTCTGCTTAAAGGCACAGTATGCCTCAGAAAGGAGGAAATTTTTTATTCTTTAAAAATGGTCATCATTAGTTTTATAACACTTAAATAAAGGTTTTAGAGCATGTTATATGCATTTTACCTGAAGAAAATAGCTTTGAAAGTGAAATTATTTGTCATAAAGGTAGAACAATGTAAACAAAGTAGTGTTTTGACTTCTTTACAATATAATAAGTTACTAAAATAGTATGAATTGCCAGAAAGCTACAGAGCAAATGATGGTTCAGTAATTGGCCAATGTGTACATTTATGGGAATTATAACTGTATAACTGGACACCAAGAATAAAAAGCTTTTGAGAAATGAAATTATAGTTTTTCTGAGGCATAATGGGCCTTTAACAAAATAAGTCATTAAAAGTGATTTTGCAAATTGCAAACTGTAGACTCAACTAGTGTTAACATTTCTTAGCATCTTTCTTTTTCAGATATATACAGGAATTTTTATCTTACCCCGGACAAACTTAAAAGCCAAATTAAACTTGCCATGTAAGTAAATATGTGTTATTGAGTCCAAATGATTTTGTCATATTTTATAGTGTCAGTGACATTAATCTTAGTGTAAATAATTATAATTCTCCATTTCATTATATTCATATTGTATATTCACATATTCAATTATATATAAAATAACTCAAAAGAAAAGAAAACTACAAGAAACCTGTAAAAGCTTTGCCAGAAAATGTTAAAGCATTATTACACTATACATAGAGTTTAATTAATGAAAATTGGAAGTACAATCTACATGATTTCTGAGAGAGCAGCATTTGTAAGAAAAATATTTTTTATTTCTTTATGTTGAATTACTATAAAAATTGTGTATTCAATAAATCATGTACTTAAAAATGAAAGCATAAATGAGGCGCGTCATGACAAAACCAACATAATGCGTTTGCGACAAGCATGGATCCAGACCAGCCTGCGCATCCACACAGTCTGATCAGGATCCATGCTGTTCGCTATCAGTTTCTCTACTTGTAATAGGGTTTGTAAGCGAACAGCATGGAACCTGATCAGACTGTGTGGATGTGCAGGCTGGTCTGGATCCATGCTGGTCGCAAACCATTATGTTGGTTTTGTTGTGACGAAGCCCAAATAATTGTGTGAAAGCAATTTGATTAAATTTATATAGTTCATATTTTGATGTTTGATATCTAAATTCTTATATGAGATATATACAAATACCTTTGACCTGGATACTTGTATGATTTTCTCAAGTGTTGATTAATTTATAAATTGGTTTTATTGATTGATTGTATATCTGCATTAATTCTACTTTCGACAAAGTTGATTTATAAAGTGATTGATATAAAGTCTTTATTAGTCTTAATTGCATATGTTTTCAGCAAAGAAGTCATTTTACTACTATGCATTGTTTCTGGCAGTTTTGAACTGTGCACAATCAGTAGGGAGCGCCCTGTTATACACAGGTGTTCTTCATGGAATGTGGTACGTTGTTTCTTTCTATACTTCTTGTTAATTCCGTTTTTTGTTACCAAAATACATTGTGCTGGTAACTAGGTATCTAAAATAATGTTTGGTGGGACTCTGACAAATAGCTTTTATCTGCAATGTAACTAGAATGTTAAGTATTTAGGAAATAGATACCAATGCCAAGTGCATTGTTGTAGTTGTTGTAGAATAATGAACTGTTCAAGTGAAAATGCGTAGGAATATAATCACAAAGGTTGAAAAACTGTGCATTAATGCATGAAATATTAATATCTATTTCCATTCTAACATAACTTATAAAATGGAGAATTGATAAAAATATGTTGAAGTACATTGAGCGTAGAAGTAACTTTTCTGACATCATTTGGTTTATTGATGTCATATCTGATGTCATGTGACATGTAAGATTCCTTTTTTATGCTGTGCATATAATTATTATGTAATAATGCACTCCTCTGCCCTATTTGTTTGATAGGCGAATATTGTGAAGCATGTTAGAGTTATATGTACTTAATTGCAAGGAATATTGTGTTATGATTTTTTATAATTTACTAACTGAATTGTAGTGTCATTGACTCATAAAGTACAGTGTATATATTGTTCTTTTTTATTTCAGTGTTGTTGATACTACAACCTATATTTATTTTACCTGTTTCCATCCACTGGTTTACGGAACCTTTCTGAGAGATTTTTTCAAGTAAGTTTTCAAGTAAATTAAGTTTTTACAAATTTAAATGAATGTTCTCCTGAATACAATTTGATACTAAAATGTTTAACTGGAGATTATTGTTTATTATCATTGATAAAGTAAACACAGCTATAAGAATATTCAGTGTTAAATTAGAAACAGGCCTTGTGTTCACTAAGATTAAGGGAACATGATCAGGAGCAATATGCATGTTTATGTTCCAAATTTCTTCATTGTTTATTATCATCAATTGAATATTTGAGCAGCGCCATGACAAAACCAACATAATGGGTTTGCGACCAGCATGGATCCAGACCAGCCTGCGCATCCGAGCAGTCTGATCAGGATCCATGCTGTTCGCTATCAGTTTCTTTACTTGTTATAGGGTCTGTAAGCGAACAGCATGGATCCTGATCAGACTTCGCGGATGCGCAGGCTGGTCTGGATCCATGCTGATTGCAAACCCATTATGTTGGTTTTGTCGTGACGCGGCTCATTTTATATATACTTTAAAGTGGACTCGAAATGGTTTAATTGTATTGATAATTTTTATCCAAATTGTAATAAATGTTCAAGAAATGCTGTAAAATGTTGAATTAACATTTAGCTTGATCCTGAAAATGTTCCTTAATTTGGTCATCTAATTATATTTCTTAGTTAAGTTAGTATTATTATTCCTTATTTTGATCCTGAATTAAGTTTGGTTCTTTGCACATATTTTTTTTCTTCAATTTTCAAAACAACCTGTGGCCTCCTGAATGGGAAAATATAGCATACATGCCATAATTTTTGATAGTCGATAATTGGGGGGCTGTATATTGTAAACTTGTAAGTGTCAACGTTCCTGTGTATTATGTGTACCAGGTCAGAATATGTTTTACAATGGAGAGGTGAAATGTGCGAGATTTGATTTAAGAAAATTTTGCAAAATATCATAATTTATTTTTCCGGGATCAAATCGATGCCTGGGACATCTCCAGGACAGACATCTGATTTCCGGTACAATCCCGGGCATCTGGAATGTTATGGCATGTATGAAATATAGCGTGATAAATCAGAAAACCTGAAATCAAATTCCAACAATTGACACATATTGTATAAAATTTTCAATTTAACATGCATGGTACATAGTAGAGGCTATCTTTAGGGACAGCTTTCTTTCAGTCAATTTAATTCATCAACAAACTGACATAAGTCAGCTGCTGTTTAGTCATGCTTCTGGTGAAGAATGTGCACAAGGCATTTCAGGGGAAACTATAGCATTATTAGGGGAAAATATACTTGTTTTAGGCTAGGAGAAACAGTCTCTATTTAGCTGTAAAATATACGGGGAAAACAGTTGCAAATCAGCATTTTTTTTTACATTTTGTTTATGTACCATATAATTTAAGCCTAATATGATCAACATAAATAAAATTAGTATACTTAAATCCTGATCCTGATATATATATTTTTTTTTGTGAACACAAGGCCTGGTGTACAGGGTTGCGTTTCATGGAAAGTCCAAAGTCCTAAAATATGTCTTAAGACCAAAACTGAGCCGCCAATTTTCGTTGCAAAGAAAATGTCCTAACTTATAACTCTTATGTTAAAGCTGCATGCCTACAGATGAGCAAAATTATTTCAATAAAATCAAACCTGAGAAAAATGTACTAAGATTTTAGGAAAGGTATAAAGATTCAAAATTCTAGTAAAAATTTACATGTTATGTGAGATTAATTACCAGATTTTTCAGTATGCATAACTATATTCCTACTGCGTTACTAACACAGTAAGGGCTATTTTTGCATATTTTGACCTCTTTATAGTAATTAACATAGGTTGTAAGTGTCATTGATAATGTGTAAATTGCATTCTTTTGGTAACTTTACTGTTAAATACATTTTCAAATTTTCATGAAAATTGGCATAAATCTTGAGGTGCTGCTTTAAGACTCTTCAATTTCTGAATAGCGATGCTGATGGGCATTTACACATTGTAGATTGGAGCACATGCCATTGTATTTTGTAACATTTCTTTTAAAATGAATGAAATAAACATTTACTAAAGATGAAAATATTCATTGAAAATTTGAAATGGTTAGTCCTATCATTTGTCATAAGTCCTAGGACTTAGGATACACTTAGGACTTTCTATGAAACACAGCCCAGATTGACCAGTTAATACTGTAGGTATATTGTAACTTCTTAGTTTTAATACTTTCATAACACACATAAACAATGGACTATTTTAAATTCTATAAAGGATGAGTCCATTGTACAAATTTAGTAGGGTAAGGGTATATTATCTCATATTGATATAAAACTTGTGTAAAAGCCTTTATATTTGTAATATTAAATACATTTGTTTGAATATTATTCAAATTTCCTTTTAAATTATTATGGGCCTGACAAAAATATTTACAAATGTTACTGCAGGGTGACGTCACAGAGTATACCGTTTTCGTACAAGTATCAAATAGATGAAGGTCAGGAAGAGGACACCGTTAGTTTGCCATATCAGGCCGTGGAAGATAAATCTACGCGCGATAATATAAGTGACAGCGGTAGTTTTGACAGTACACATTTTGACAGACATGGTGTGAGTTATGCAACCTCGGGTAGTGTCAATGCCGATGTTTATGTCCATACGGGATCTTACCAAAATATGTGAAAGTATTGTGAAAATTTTAGTCAGATTTTTATTCTTAAAATCATATATTATCATTTGATGTATCAAGTGTTCAATTTATCATCTTGTTGATTTATTTTATCTCTTTGCTATGATATCATCATTATTAACGGTAACCAGCTATAACCAAAAGTGATTATCCTTTGCCACCAGTATAGAGCCAGGCATGCCTGCACATCCATGTAGTCAGGCCAAGCTCTATATTGTTGGCAGCACAATATTTTGTATATTGATATTTGAAATCCCTAAATCTTTGAATGAACTTGTCTAAATTAAAACCTGGGTAAATCCATTACACACGTTCAGCAGGTTAAAGGGATAAAATCATGATTGTAATTCTTTGTATGCTAGTGCCAACACTGACTTTCCAATGCCCATGTCTGTGCTGTTTGACCAGACCCTTTACTGTTGTCTTCATAGTTTTAGCTTTGTTGTTGTTAAAATACTCTTGAAGTGATAATGGACTGTTCCATTATATATTTACATCATTGTATAAGTTAAGTTTTAGAAGAAATCCATTGATTTTAATAAATAGGGTTCTGCATATTCCCTAGGTTTTGTAAGCTTGCTTTGCATTCTCATGACATGTTTTTATTTGAAATGTTTAAGTTTTAATGCTTATTTATAGTTGATTAACTGTGTATTGATTGGCTGTGATTTGTGTTTATATTCACTGTGTATATTGTTTTAAAATCAGTAAGAACTGTGTATGTGTATGTTGTATTGTGTAACTATGCTATACTGTGAATAAATTGTGTGTTTTTTCTTGCTGATTGAGATACATTTTGCACTATTTGTGTAACCATATTGTACTGTGTTTCTATCCAATTAGGATTGTTTATGAAACAACTATTTTTTTAAGTGTCAATCTGTTGTGTTCTAGGTGCATAGATTTGGTGTATTAATCTATCATGTTCCGTGTTCAGAAAGATTCACTGATGAGTCAGTATATTTTTAACCTACATATATGTATAGATCAACTGATTACGAAATGTGTATATTATAATGAAGGGTATATATATATTATATATCGTCACCTTAGTGCAAAAACTCAATAACTGCATATAGATAAAGAAGCAGATATTGAGTTCTTGCACTAAGGTGACGATATGTACCATTCATGATCATCATGTGATAAAGCCTTTTAGCATTGACTGCTAGCAGTAAAATTGACTTCACTATCATCCCAGTTTAGAAGTAGGCAAACCTGGACAATGTCACGTTTTTTTTACCAGGTTCATTATTGCTAGAGGTTGAATTTAAATATATTAATATTAAAACAAAATTTAAACAAAGCCAATAAATTTGATAACAAAAGAAAATTTTATCAAGTACATTTAACAAATTTTGCAAAAATCACAAAATTTAACCACAGTTATAAACAAGATATGAGTGTAAGTGAAAAAAATGCCATTTGGTTTTCTATTTGTATTGTGTTTGATATATTACTGTTTTGTCATAGCTAGTTCTGAAGACTGCACTGAGGTTTCTTGATATGAAGGGACTGGAAAACTATATTCAACACTTGTGTACCGTTTGTTTGTCTGGAGTCATAAATTGTGTGTGCCAAATTTCCGAAATTTTGAGAATATTTTTTTTTAGTATTATTGCAGACTTTTTCATTTTCAGTGCATCACTTTATCTATGAAAGAATTCCATTTTTGTGGCTTTTTGACCTTTAAGTCTCAGCATGAATTATGTTTTAATTTTCATGGTCATATATCCCAAAATGTAAAGGTGTAACCAGGCCCAGTGTTCACTATCACTATGAAAAGATCGGGATCAAATGAACCTGATTTTATTTTTATTTTTTATGAAACTAAAATTGATTGTATTTTGCTAGAATTGAATTATACTTTTTCAAAATATAAAACATTGCTTATTTGCAAAGAAACAATTTTGGGATAAAATCGACGAATAACAAAACAAATACAAAAAGAATCGGGATCAACATCAACTGTAAAATGACCATATCTTGTGAAAATAACAATAAATGTATTTTAAATAATCATAAACATGCTTTTTCAAGTCGAATTTTATCTAGTTAATATTTATTATTTCATCTATGAGGATAAACAACGGAGAAAATTTAAGTTTTTAAATTTGTTCCTTAACTTGATCTTAATCCTTAAATGTTTGTGAACACACGAAGGGGATTGTCAAGGTTGCATGTATGTATGACATTGTTCTGATTAAATGGCAATGTTTGATGATTTAAACCATATATATTGTCAGGCCTTTAATTTTTATTCTGTGCTCCGATTTTCTTTTTCTATTTTTCTGCTACAAGAAATCATTAAAACACTGCTCCTCAGTTTTCAGCTTATATAAGTGATGTGGTGCTCATATTTTCATTGTCTAGTTGAGCTGCATTAGCTAGATAATTCAAAAAACTGACTGACTGTTTTAATGGTGATTAACCAATGACTGATGGTTTGGCAAATGTTGAGAATGAACCTTGAAAACTGCCTTAGATATAAAAAAAACCCAAACCCCATTGCATCAAAGGATATATAGAGAAATTTGTGCAGGTCATGCAGGGTATGAAGTGGTAATTATAAAATTTAAAACAATCTTTGAAAAATGATTTTTGGTCTTTTACATAAACACTAGGATGAGCATAATGTCACTTTTATTTATGGAGACATTAATATCTCTGTAGAATGATGATCAGATTACCTTTCAGTATATCTCCAATGTTTATTTAACATTCTAGTCAGAGTTTTTAGATACTTTTGCTGCATGTAAAAATATATGATAGAGTAGAAATGAAGTAAGAGAGACAAAGTTAAAATAATATTTTAGTATATTTATATATTTTGAGATTTTTTTTTCAAAACATTATTATGCCGATTTTATTTACAATTACATGTATACTATATTATAAAATTGATGATTTAATGATGAAATGATTTCTTCTACCAACAAAACCTATAAAGTACAATCATTGCAAAGTACGACCCTTTTAAAGACATACTATTTTAGAGGTTACATTTATTATTATTATTCTTCTGTAAAGAATAAATGATTTTATTACCTGATACCTTACTTAAATGTCATTTGGTAGTTTTTACTGTTTTCTAAAATTCCTAAAACGTCCACGTTCGCGAACTGTTGACCAATCAATAGTTTCGACTGTTTCCCTCACATGCTCTGACGTCAAAGAGGATTCCCCTTGGAGCGTCATAAACCAGACGTGAGGTGACATAGTTAAAATATTGTTAAATTAGGAAAGTTTCATTATAAACATATTTGAAAAAACTATTTTCTTGTCCCTTTTTTCTTCTGCAAGTACTGTTAAAACAGTAATTGATCAGGTAATAAACAAGTTATTTCATATGTCAACCAATTGTCCCTCTGTGTCGGGGAAAGTCTTTTGAACTGTTGGCAACAGTTCAAAACACTATCCCCTCCACCTCGGGCCTACAGTTTGACTGTTCCCAAAATCACATATGAAATAACTGTATACTGTTGTACAGTGGTATATGCTGAACAGAGAACCCCTGTGCAGAGGAAAGTGACGATGGAATGTTACCATATGAAATAAATAGTGTTGAACAAAATGCCAGTTTGAGCTTTAAGTAATGGGTAAAACGGTTATAAAATTGGTCATATTCTCCCCTGTTGCCAGAGTTCCTAAATTATGATATTTTGGCTAAATTTCTTTCTAAGAGATTAAATCAAAAATATTTTTCATTATTGTAGACCCTGTCTGTTTGTTTCATTAAATGTCTGTGATATTTTATTATCAAAATATTTGATATGATATTGTTACCTATAATGGATATATATTGTACAACTTGAACATTTTGTAATTACAAATGTAAATAATACTATAGCATAAAGGCGATATGATTTTCCAGTTTTGATCTTCTTTGGTAGTGGCTTCAGTGGGTATCTTTTATATTGAATAGATATTGTCATGAACTTGGCAGATATGGGTTTTTCCCCCAGCTAATCCGAGGGTACACACACACTTTAACTGTTACAGTTTAGCGGCGCACCACCGTTCACAATAGAGTGATAAAATTGTTGCGCTTATAATTGATATCTTTACCAAGTTGTAGCAGTCAAATTTGTTCGATTAGATGGGAAAACACTCCCATTTGCTCTGAGTTCTGGAGTGTCTGGAGTATCTCTATTGCAACTTTAATTCATATCCACCGCTACTTGTTTTAAAGAAGAAAAAAGATTATTGTATGGATATTTGTAACATCTTTATTTAAGTTCTAAAACTAAAGGTTGAATATACATTGTTTTATAAAAGAATTAAAAACATGCATTTTCCCAGTTCATTACCTATAAACAATTTTTATCTAAGCGTTTTTATTTGTGTTTCTGTTCCAATTTCTCTCAGTTGTACATATTTCATTACAGTAATTCTCATCATTTTTCTATAATTTTTATTTGTACATAATATGCGAATATATTTGAAAATGTGATGTGATTTGCATTTCATCTCTTGTGCAATATTTGCTTGATCATTGAATGAATAAAATACAAATGGTTTATTTGAATTGTTTGATTGTATATTCTAAAGAATGTGCTCGGTCGTGCCTGAAATAATGCACGGAAGGGCACCCAAGGTCTTCCTCCACCAGTAAAGCTGGAACGTCGCCATATGACCTATACTGTGTCGGTGTTACGTAAAAAGCAGTTAAACAACAAACTTACATTATACAAGTTATAAGATTGTAACAGGATGTACATGTATGTCTCTCTTGTAAGTAGTGATATACAGCAAACAACCGATTATATACCATATATATGCCATTTAACTTGACAAACAAATTTATAACACATATAAATCACAGCAATTTGTTTTTAGAAAAAAATGAAATTAGTTCATAAATTGACAGCAGGCTTGTATACACTCCTGTAATTCTTCTACTAGAAAATGATCGAAACATCTGTCAGCTTGATTTTGCATACTAATACAGTCGAGACTGTCATATGCGACTTTCCAAGGGATCTTCAGAAAAAGGTCACATATGACAGGGAGTCTCTAAATACAGTCTCAAAAAAAATTAAATTTGAATACCATCTATCTGTCTATATATCATTGTGACTTAACATACATAACTGTGTGAAGGAATAATATCTAACCAATTGCAAATAAACATAGGTAATCGTAAATTTTTTATGTAAATAAAATAAGAATCCATGTAAAACAACTATATATTAGCATGTATATCACATAAAATTTAATTTTATTTTTTGTATTAAGATTTAAATTGAATCTTTTTTGTATTTAATTAACTGGAATTTGATGCATCCATGTACTTGTAAAAGTTAAACATATCCATTTCCGAATTTTCTGGTTTGGTATCCATATTATTTCCGTATTAATTATGCAGCCATAGAAAGGTAAATTAAAAAAATGCTGCCTAAAATATCTTCCGTTGGCACTCTATAATTAAAAAAAAATCTGACACAAGCTTAATCCAGTTTACTCAGGTCATTATATGTACATTACACACCATGCTTCCCATTAACAGACGCTTAGTGACGTCACTCGATACCTGTATACATGTTAACTGTGTAATTGAGACAGGTGTGTAGACTTTGTTTGCTACTGGATTATAATTGGACCTAATTATTTTGGCCCTCTGGGTGTTAAAATAGGTATTATTTATCTGATTAACGGACAATTAAAAGGTGTGAAAGTCGTTTAAATCAGACAAAACATTGCATTGGGACCAGACAATTAGGGTCGCTTGTCACATATGACAGGGAGATGTTTAATTCAGACCATTTTTATAGGAAAATACGTTGGGAGTACTGAAACAAGGTCGGATAAGACAGGGAGTCGTTTAAATCAGGGGGTCGCTAAGGCAGTCTTGACTGTATAACAAAGAATTTGACCCAATTCACCCGACAGAGTAAATATATACATTTGTACATATAGATAAATTAACTTACACATACATACTTATAGTAAACTTAAAACATAAACTATTGTATACGACTATATTATGCACTTTAGGAATTGTGTTTTGTTACAAATACTTAAATTTATATATTTTTACCAAGGAAATGTTATATATTCAAGAATATTTTCAATTTCGTCAGTCGTCATATAAAAGCACAATAATATTCCCTTTATATGTGCAAAATGATTTTTTTAATGTTCTTGCGGATCTGGTAAGTTTTCTTCGTTTTCCTTAGACGAATTTGTTTCTTCATGTTCATTCTTCGACTCTTCAGAAACAATATTTCTTTTCAATCTTTTACAATCACCAGAGTCATCTGAAAATGTGTCTTCCATCTGGTGGAAATTTGAAAACGGCATCTGCGGAGTACTTGTGTCAACCTTTGGTGAAAGACTCCTTTTCGTCAGTTGAAATTTAGCTCCTGTTTCTTACATATCATCTTCAACTATTTCCATTGTTGTTTTCACCTTAAAGTATAACGAAACATGTGATTATTATGTAATTTACATCTAACATACTTCTATCAAAACATCTGTCAAAAAGATTGCTGATGATAAATCTTTTGATAAAAAATGTTTGTTATCTAACACATTTTAATCGAATTTGGCCCATTGCTTCAAGACAATGCCATTTCTTTCAGATCGCAGATACGGACAACAAATAATGTTAGATATATTGTCTGAAAGCTTGTCGTCACAAAAGAACATTTGCAAAGTAATCAAACTCGAAAACAAAAGCTACAAAATCTGACTATTCTGTAAGTTTGGCAAGTGTTTATTTATAGTGACTGATGATTAAAGATTTGTTTAATAAACACATCAGGGGCTACAGCTCATTTTATCTAAATATGTAGAAGAAGCAAACCTGGTCCAAACTATTACTCTTCATATCCTAAAGTGCAAACGTATTGATGTCTCCTTGGCTGGAAACAAGGTCGCTTTGGGAACCTGTAACCCACTCGGGCTTAGAAGACTGGGGAGATCTTGATGTCTGCAAAGAAGGCAAAGACCATCTATGTGCGGTGTTCAGTCGTATTGCACAGTAACAATCCATTTCTCCCTTTATGTTAATCATTCTTTCAAGTCCCTTTGCAACATGGTGATAGTGGTTGTTCTTTGTCAAAGCTGATGATAGAATTTGACGAACATCTGAACGATGCTTTTTGCAGTGGAAATTCAGAGAATTAATGACCCCTCGCCACATTTCTCCCTGAACTCCAGTTGGTCTGTCGCTCTGTACGATCCAGTTGTACAAACCCGAGTCTATAAGATTATACTTCCATAGCCTATCAGCTATGTACTTGGCATTTACATTGGATGTTAGGTTGCAGAGTGCGCACTCGGAACACCTGATACCGTTCTTTTTATTATGTTGAAACTTTTCTTCAATACTTCTCGCCACAGGTTCATTTTGAGACTTTATATGCTTCAAAAACCGTAGAAGGACATTCAAGTCTCTTCCCTTTATTATACTCGTCAGAACACGAACTTGATCTTTACGATCAAGTGTTTTCCGTAAATCAGCACATTCTTCATCTGTAAGGCAACTGTCAGCTAGAAGATCGTCAGGTAACTCACTATCTTTGAACACAATACCGTCTATAAGCTCTTCTACATGCCACTGAAGAGCATCGGCAAGACATTTTCTTTCATCTGATTTTGATAGAGCCTTGTCTAAACAATGAATAAAAAAGAATATAAATATATTGAGTGGCCAGCAGTTCAGATTCTGTTGAAGCTGCAAACTGATATATTGTTATTTGCCTAATTTGCGTTTGTGTTCAGACAGAAAGAAGTCGTTGTTATCCAGTAATTATTCATGAATTGAAAATATAGCATAAGAAAACCATAGATATAAAATACATTTGGTAAATAGTAACATTATTTGACATTGCATGTTCTCAAAGCCAGCCATTTTGAATTGTTTAAGAAAGCTCTTTTTAACTTAATTAATTTTTCTCATTACGTAAATATTTTAGTGTAAAAAAATAAACATTCATTCAAATTTAAAGTTTTAAACATTATATGAGCTGACCTTCGTATCATACATTTTGATAGAAATTGAAACGTTACCAATGTGAGAAAGCAGCTCCTGTTGTCTGTTGAGATCGGTACGATATGCCGAGGCAGGCAGTGTTTTAGTTCTCATCAAACTTCGTGACTTTTCCTTTTCTTTGTGCTTATCGTGGTCTAATTGTATATCCGAACCATATTTTACAAGTTTTTCACCGTGTTGTAAATGTCTAAAAATATCTTGTGATTCTTTAGAATTTGGTGTTGAAGTAAATGATTTAATATCTTTCAGCTGTTCTTCATGGTTTTGATTTTCACTGTCTGTAATGCTTTTAACTAATGTATCGTCAATAATTTCTTTGATTATGTCAGATGCAGTTTTCTTTTTAACTGTTGCATTTTTACTTTCTTTTGTATCAGTTTGAACTTCTTCTTCGTCAATCTCTTTCTTCCCAGGACACAAGCATGTCTGGCAATGACGAGTGTCAGAATTCATCTTATGTTCGTTGAAAATATATCTTATTTTCTCTTCCACGATGTCACCAATCTCTGAACGTATTGCTGGTATAACGTCTGTTTGAATTACTTGTGAAATGCTTGAGTTCATTGACTGGAAATATGAATACGGTTTTGAACGTTAATAATTGTGATCATAGCGTTGAACAAAATTAACTGGATATAATTATCCAAAACCGGCAAGTTGGGTTTATCGTAAGTTCTGTCTGTACTAATGGCGTTATTATCTCTAAATTTATTAATCAATACAAAGATCATGATATTGTCAAGTTATATAACTGTGCCGTTCATTTTATACGCCAGTTTGAAAAACGGGACGTATTATGGGAATTTTAATGAAACTTTATAGCATTGTTCACCTTCATGAGACGAAGTGCCCTACGCACGAATCAGGTCTCTAGGTTATAGATCAAGGTCACACTTAGATATTATAAAAACGCTTTTCCGGAGCAAAACTTCTACATGCATATATATAACTTAACACAATTTTTCATTATTGTGAGACTGGGTGTCACGCATGAAAATCAAGTCCCTGTAACCAAATACATTTTTTGCACTTTGCACATAAAGCCTTTATTTATTGACAGTTGTCTGTCATGTTTCGTAGGTAATAACTGGGATAATCATCTTCCTTTGGATTTGGGGGGCAGTGGGGCAAGGTCAAGAGTGCCAATGATAAACTATATATTTATTCAGATTCGTAGAATATAGCTAGAATCAACAAACTTTACATGAATGTTAATCAGCATTTAAAGCTATGCACATAATTAAGGTTTTGCGTGTAATAATTTCAGTTTTCTGAGCGTTATTGCCCTTGACTTTGTATACATTTGAAATTTTCCACTAGAGTGCGCGTTGACATTACAGGAATGTTGGTAAACATGTGTAGTTATTAACATAAGGGTTTGTTTGTGGATAAATTCAGTATTTGTACCGTTATTTTCCTTGACAAAGTAAAAGATTTGCAATTTGCAATTTCAACTTGCGTAACTCAAATAGTATTTGACCTAGAGCTATTTCACTTTACAGGAATGATGATCACCATTTGTTGTTTTGCATTTTGGTTTTTACAATGTTTTTATTTTATCAAAAGCATACTTTAGGATATGAAATTGACATTCAGGTCAAGGACTTGCATTTGTAAGTTGAATATTTTTCAACTTCAACCAATAACAGACATACCAACTTATATTTTACACAATAACAAAACTTCATGACTCTGTCAAGATATATAACTGTGTTTACATTTTCGCCAATTTTTCTGTTTAGGAAAACCAAGAGAAATCTCACATAAAATACCTTCACTAGAAAAAAAACTGAATTGATTAGAAATTATTTAACTCTGCAGAGTAAATTTTGTTTGATTTTATCTAATGATGGTACTTTGGAGTGAATGTTTCACGCCATGACAATGGTAACAATTTGACTATATCCAGAAAATATCTTTTGACTTATGACTGTGTTCTAACGTTATAAAGAAAAACACAATATATGTGTAAGACGTTACTTACCGAATTGTTTCTGAAAGCTTCCTTACTGTGGAAAGTGTTTGATGGAGGAGACACAAAGAGGTCAGAAACTCTTCCATTTCTTTTCTCGTACTCTTCCATACTGATATGGAAATCATGTTTAAAGGCATATGGCGTTGATATTTCCATAATTTGTGCAGTATTTTTCGTAAAAATATTTCCTGTTTTTTTTTTCACTCAAATTATCAAAAATATCTAATTATTTGTGTAAGTTAAATAATTAATCAAAATAAGTTAAATTTGAAGCGTCATTTACACACTAATACTGTGCAAATAATTATAATATCTCATATGATGTTAAGATTTCCTTTGATAATTGTTTGAAAGTATTTCACAATTCATAACCTACAAACACAATTGTCAATGGTAAGTGGTGGGCGTTTTATAATGAAAAGTTAAGATCCGTGATGTGAACTTTAGAATTTAGTATGGTACTTTTCGTGTTGTTGATGTCAACTTGTCCTGGTATTCATCGAATTTTTGCCCTGTTTAAGTACAAAAAACCTATACAATAATATTGTATAATAGTTTGAGGACATTTCTGTTGACAATTTGTCAAGAGTTAAATCGTATACATATACATGTACTCTGCGTTAACTGGAGTGCAGGTATTAGTTACCCGCGCTCTGGTCCCATTGATTGGCTCATTTTGTCGAGGGTTTACGTAATTTGATAACAGAGAAAGGGATGGCGATAGAAATATCATATTCAGATGCTCATTCATTAGTTACTTTTTATGCTCCCAAAGGGTGAGCAAAACGTTGCCGCTTTGTCCCTCTGTCCGCTTTTCTTGTCCGAGACATACCTCCTAAACAAGAAGAGGTATCAACATGAAACTTTGTAGCTTGATAGATCTCATTTGGTAAATGTGCAGTGTACAAGAACCGTAACTCTGCCCTGCCTGATTTTTGAGTTATTACCCTTTGCTCAATTTTCCATTTTGAACTTTGTCCGGAATATAACTCTAAAACTCTAAGAGATATCAACATGAAACCTTTTAGGTAGATATATCTCATTGGATAGAAGCGCATTGCAAAAGAATCGTAACTCTTCCTTGCCTAATTATGGAGTAATTGCCCTTTGATCATTTTTACACTTTGAACTTTGTCCGGGACATGACTCTGAAACTATAAAAGATATCAACATGAAACTTTGTAGGTAGATGAATATCATTGGATGTACAATGCAAAATAATCATAACTCTGCCTTGCCTTATTTTGGAGTTTTTCCCCTTTGTTCATTTTTACTTTTTGAACATTGGCCAGGACATAGCTCTGAAGGTATAATAGATATAAAGGACACTTTGTAGGTTAATAGATCTCATTGGGTAGATGTACAGTGCCATAACTCTGCCTTGCCTTATATTGGAGTTATTGCCCTTTGTTTTTTTACACTTTGAACTTTGTTCGGGACATTACTGTGAATCTACAAGAAATATCAACAAGAAACACGTTGTTTCCAGATTTAAGTCGTAAGATAGATCTCATCGAGTAGTAGCCTATGTTTGGAATTATTGCATTTTGAACTTTGTCCGGGACATAACTCTAAAACTACAAGAGGTATACTTTTCTGTGTCCATAACCTAATCGGGGAGAATCACCCGGTTCAACCGGCTGTTGTTTTCTGGGGTTTCATATTGTGACAACAGGGAACATGTAATTATTTTTGTATATGATACAAAAGAGAAAGAACATTAACACACAAGGCAATTTGATTTATACTCGGGGGCTACACCTGCTCGTACAAATAAGATAACCTCGTTAACCAATGCTCTTTCTATTACTTGTGTCATAGTTTGGGTATCTTTCTGTTGTTAAATCGTATACATTAACATGCACAGTGTGATAACTGGTGTGCAAGTATTCGTTACCTGCACTCCAGAGCATGCCCATTGATTGGCTCATATTGTCTGGGGTTTACTTATTGTCGACAGAGAAAGGGATAGCGATAGAAATATCATATCAGATGCTCGTTCATTGGTTACTTATTTCTAGGGTTTCATATTGTTACAACAGGGACGTGTTTTTATTTTTATTATTTATAACACTCGGCAGTCTGATTTTTACTCGGGGGGGGGGGGGGGCTATGCCCCTCGTACAGATCAGATAGCCTCGTGTTTCGATGCTCTTTCTAATCATCTCGACCTAAATTATAACACACAAATGTGCAGAACGCACACTCGTAATATACAGGAACTTCGTAGTACGAAGTCAATATTTATCTAAAATACGGCACTCATAGTGTTGTTATGATGGCTTTGCCGAACGTTTTGTGGCCTACGTGTTTATTTATGATTCTATAAAATTTCCTTTAAATTGCATTGTGTATTTCGTTCTTTAAAGCATTTTTCTCTATTCAAATACGATAACTGCAGTAAAATAATAATAATAATAATTATAATAATAAAAATAATAATAATAAAATAATTCACCGCAACAATGACGGTATTCCTCAGTTTAAAGATAGCTAGGGTAGATATGAATCATTTTTATATTAAGTAAAATCTAGAGATTGAATTCACATCACTAAAAGTATATCACTCATATAGTGTTGTTATGATAGCTTTGCCGAACGTTTTGTGGCCTACGTGTTTGTTTTAATTTCCTTTAAATTGCATTGGTTATCTTGTTCTTTGAAGCATATTTATCTATTCAAATACGATAACTGCAGTAAAATAATAATAATAATAATAATAATAATAATAATAATAATAATAATAATAATAATAATAAAATTCACCGCAATAATAACTGTATTTCTCAGTTTAAAGATATCTAGATATGACTCATTTTTATATTAAGTAAAATCTAGTAACATTGAAACACTGACAAAACACTCGCTCAGACGTATTTTTCTAAAATATATGAAGTGCAATAAAATAAAGAGAATTTGAAGGAAAACAATGAGTTGACACATTTTATTTTATCTGTTCAAACAACACTTGATATATTGACCTTGCAACAGGAAACACTTTCAGGACTTACTTACTTCAAACAATTAAACAATAATCACATATATACTTTTGATTGTTATATCATTTCCAGTTTCAAGATTTTTTTTTTTAAGTAATAGAAGAGAATGGAAACAGGAGGCTATCTGATTTCCATGAGGGGACGTACGTAGCCTCCGAGTATAGACCAGATTCTGGAGTGTTTTGATTTTCTTTCTCTTTTGTCAAACTCTTCACAGTGATTACTTCCCTTGGCAGAATTGTAATCACTGCCTTCAAAGACGTCACATGATGAAGAAAGTCACATGACGTAACGTCGAAATTCAAATGTAAATATCGACCGTTACATAGCAAATCTAACGTCATTTTTCTCTTTCTGTTTTATTTTTAACCTTTAATGCCTACGTTCGATATAGTTTATCAAAAATTATCAAAAGTATACAAAATAAAGAAAAATAAATTCCAAAGCTAAAAAATATCAAATAGATCTATCAAAATATTGTCTCGGTAGAAAATATTCTCATAATTTTTTAATTTATCGCTAAATATTCATATCATTTATTTATTTATTCATAAACATAGTTAAATAGATATGAAAAAACTTATCTGATAGATAAAAGCAGTAGATAAAACAATTTTTGAAAAAAATACATTATATCAGAAATTCTGATATACATGTATCGGACTTTGGTGGCAGAGATCTACGCCGAATAATTAAGGGGAGATCACTGCGTGGAGATTGCTCTTTTGTATCATAGGCAAAAATGTTCCTTGTCGTCACAATATGAAACCGAAGCTTGACCGAACATTCCGATTAATACAGCGTAATATCGTACAATAATTATTTATTATATATTTACTATTTCGTGATTCGCGGATTAAAGAAATGATGTCATTGTTATTAAAGGCCCAACGCAGTATTTATGTTATGTTTTCATATATATGTAGTTATGTCTTGATGGATATAAGACGATTCTTGAATGTGTTCAAAAGAATGATAATCTCAGAGAATTTTGATAATATTTTTTTTTAGTATTTTTGCAGACATTTTTCATTTTCAGTGCATAACTTTATATATTTATTTTTAATTTGGCTTTTTGACCTCAGTGGAGCTCTGTTAAGTTTCATTACTTCTATCGTGAAATCATGAATTTTGCTTAAATATGCATGGTCATATATCCCAAATTGTAAAGATATAAAGCAATATGGATAAAATTGCAGGAAAAGAATGTTACGTTGCATTTCTGGTTTACATTGAAAGTAGTTACTGTATTCCTTAAACTATAAGAAATTATTCGAAAATATAAATATCTACCAGTGTGAACGAAGGGATAATCAAGATGGCATGCATATTTGAAATTATTCTGATCAAGTGATAATGTTTGATGATTTTAACCTTATTTTTGTCAGGCCTTTAATTTTAGTCTTTGTTCCGAATTTTTTTTTCTGCAACAAGATATCATTACACTATATTTTTTTGAACAGTGTTACTAATTTTCAGCCTTATTAATGTGACATCATGCTCATTTTGTCATTGTCAAGTTGAGCTGTTTTTGATATATAATTCAAAAGACTGCCTGGTTTTGAATGGTGATTGACCAATGATTGTTAATATGACAAATGTTTAGGATGAATCTTGAAAATTGGTATAAAAACATCCCCACTTGTTTTGTGATTTTAACGTGTCCATTAAATTTCACAGGATATTCGGGTCATGTGGGGTATGCAATATTGATAATAAAATTGAAAACCTAACTTTAGGATGATCATATTCTGACTTTTATTGATGAAGACATTTCTTTCTCTGTACATGTCGTGTGTTTTATGTAATGGATAAAACGTTTATAAAGTTGGTCATATTTAGTCATATTCTGTCCTTTGATACCAGAGTTCCTAAATTATGATATTTTGTCTAAATTTCCTTCTAAGAGATTGAATAAATAGAGGATATTGAATGAGTGTAAGTTCAATACTGAATTTATTGCACGAGTTGAATAAAATTATATTATGCGAGCCTCTGGCGAGCATAAAATTATTTTATTCAACGAGTGCAATAAATTCAGTAATGAACTTACACGAATTTAATATTCTATTTATCACTTACCCAAAATAAAGACCGTTTAAAGTGAAATAAGAGTCATTTTTCATTGACGCGCCTATAGTATAACGCTAACGTTTAGCGCGTCTTTACACTATGTTTGTATAACGCTAATGACGTCACGTCATAATATATGCACGGCCGTGCAATACCATATTTACGGAGTCGCAAAATCGGCACGTGTGTGTGATAAAAAACAATTATCATTATTGTAGATCTTGTCTGTTTGTGTGTTTGTCTGTGATATTTTATAATCAAAATATTTGATGTGATATTGTTACCTATAATAAATATATATTGTACAACTTGAACATTTTGTAATTACAAATGTAAATAATACTATAGCATATAGGTGATATGATTTTCCACTTTTGATCTTCTTTGGTGGTGGCGTCAGTGGGTATCTATTATATTGAATAGATATTGTCATGAACTTTGCAAATGTGGGGTTTCCCCCAGCTAATCCGAGGGTACACACAAACTTTTACTGTTATAGTTTAGTGGCGCATTACTGTTCACGAGTGATAAAAGTGTTGCGCTTATAATTGATATCTTTACCAAGTTGTAGCAGCCAAATTTGTTTGTACTTCGGGAATAGATGGGAAAACACTCGCATTTGCTGAGTTCTGGAGTATCTCTATTGCAACTTTAATTCATATCCACCGCTACTTATTTTAAAGAAAAATGATTATTGATATTTGTAAGATCTTTATTTAAGTTCTAAAACTAAAGGTTGAATATGCATTGTTTTATAAAAGAATTAAAAACATGCATTTTCTCAGTTCCTTACATAAAAACAATTTTATCTAAGTTTTTGTGTGTGTTCCTGTTTCAATTTTTCTCAGTTGTACATATTTCATTACAGTAATTCTCATTTTTCTATAATTTTTATTTGTACATACTATGTCAATATATTTGTTAATGTGATGTGATTTGCATTTCATCTCTTGTGCAATATTTGCTTGATCATTGAATGAATAAAATACAAATGGTTTATTTGAATTGTTTGATTGTATATTCTAAAGACCATAGGTCCATAGTATATGTTTTTTTAATCTCACAAACCAATGTAAAGACATTGTCCAGTGTAATAGTAAGAATGTTTTCTGTTAAAAATATAAGAAAGGTTTATCTGAACTTTCAGCGCAAGTTGTATTTCTAGATATCCTTTATTTACATGTTAATTACTAATGTCTGTATGTATTGATCTATAGCATTCATACTATACTTAACGTACATTATACAAGTTAAAAGCATAATATAACATATATTTTATTAGTCTTAAGCACATTAACAGCTCATCGACATTTACATATAATATGAAACGTATTTATAGCATGCGTAATAATCATTGTCATATTTAAAGAAATATTCAGAAAAAACACATACATCATACACAAAACACAAAATCAATACACAAATGGCTACACAAAATAATAAACGTCGAGAATTTATATACCTTTTACAAAAACAGAAAACTTGGTAAATACGTCATCTATTACTATAATGTTGAAAAGTACTGATTCACTGTTCAAACACTAATTGGTCTCTCAAAAAAAGGATTTTCTGATTTTAAAAGCCTTAAGAATATATGATGCTAGCTTGATAAGCTCATTTTGATTTGTCGAATTTAAAAGTTCAAGGAACTTATAAACGCTTGCATGATTACAATAATAATCACATATATACATCTTTCTGATGTCTCTATATAATTTACATGTTAAAATGATAGTGAATTTGTCTTCATGTCACATAGCATACTCTTTCGCTGATCTCTGGGCACTGCATTTTCAAAGTGTCTTGCCTTTTTCTGTCATTAAATCATGTGATCACTTACGTATCTTATCTTTGCAATTGCTCTTATCTTTGCAATTGCTCGTCTGTATTTCAAGTTATTCAATACTATGAGATAATGTGGGACTTCAAAAACTTGTTTGATATCCTTGTATAAATATATTGAAGGACACATGTTTATATTTATATACCATTCTGTTATATAAAAGTCTCTTAGTGTCTGTTTCAGAACAGGCGTAAATCTTTCTATAACCCTTTCTATACAAACAAATGCTGGGAAAAGCCACATTTCACCAAAACCAATTGCATTTAATAAATCTCTTACTTGTAATAACCAATTGTCAATAGCATTTTCAGTCAAATTTAACAATATTTCAAACAAAGTATTTAAATTTAAATTACTTTTTCTACTGCTCAGTTTTACAAAATATTTATTTATAAGATTGTAACAGGATGTACTTAAATGTCTCTTTTGCAACAGTGTTATATTGCAAACAACCGTTTATATACCATATATATGCCATTTAAATTGACAGACATTTTATAACACATTTATAACACAGCAAACTTCTCTTATTTTAGAAAAAAATGAAATTAGTTAACAAAATTGACAGCAGCCTTGTATGCACTCCTATAATTCTTCTACTAGAAAATGATGGAAACATCTGTCTGCTTGCTTTTGCACACTAATATTACGAAGAATTCGACCCCATTCACCCGACAGACAGAGATTTGTACATATAGATATATATACTTACATATAGTAAACTTTATACATAAACTATTGTATACTACTATATTATGCACTTTAGGAATTACGTTTTCTGACGAATAATTAATATTTATATATTTTCATCAAGAAGTACTGTTGTGTTTTCAAGAATATTTTCTACTTCGTCAGTCGTCATATAAAAACATAATAATATGCCCTTCGTGTGCGCAAATTTTTTTTTTTAAAAATATAGTTCAGAAACTGCTGATGTAAAGTTTCTATCGTTTTCCTTAGACGAATTTGTTTCTTCAACTTCATTCTTAGACTCTACAGCAACAATATTGCTTTTCAAACAATCACCGAAGTCATCTGAAAATGTGTCTTCCATCTGGTGGAAATTTGAAAACGGGATCTACGGAGTACATGTGTCAAGTTTTGGTGAAGGACTCCTCTTCATCAGAAGAAGGCAAAGATCCTCTATGTACGGTGTTCAGTCGTATTGCACAGTAACAATCCATTTCTCCCTCTATGTTTATCATTCTTTCAAGTCCCTTTGCGACATGGTGATAGTGGTTGTTCTTTGTCAAAGCTGATGAAAGAATTTGACAAACATCTGAACGATGCTTTTTGCAGTGGAAATTTAGAGAATTAATAATCCCTCGCCACATTTCTCCCTGAACTCCAGTTGGTTTGTCGCTCTGTACGATCCAGTTGTACAAACCTGAGTCTATAAGATTATATTTCCATAACCTATCAGCTATGTACTTGGCATTTACATTGGATGTTAAGTTGCAGAGTGCACACTCGGAACACCTAACTCCGGTCTTTTTATTATGTTCGAACTTTTCCTCAATACTTCTTGCAACTGGTTCATTTTGAGACTTTATGTGCTTCAAAAACCGTAGAAGGACTTTCAAGTCTCTACCTTTTATTATACTTGTTAGAACACGAACCTGATCTTTACGATCAAGTGTTTTCCTTAAATCAGCACATTCTTCATCTGTAAGACAACTGTCAGCTAGAAGATCGTCTGGTAACTCACTATCTTTGAACACAATACCGTCTATAAGTTCTTCGACATGCCACTGAAGAGCATCAGCAAGACATTTTCTTTCATCTGATTTTGATAGAGCCTTGCCTAAACAATAAATGAAAAAGGATGTTAACATCATGCAAAGTAGTCAATTGTTCAGTTAATATATTTATACTTGCTAAACTTTTCTGTGCTTATATTCAGAGAGGAGAGTGATGTATTAAATAGTGTTTGCCAAACTGTCATAAATATTGAAATTAATATCAATTTTAGCATTAGATGACCATTTCTTGGACACATAATATAAGAATTTAACATTTCAAAATGCATCATGATGTTCTCTAGGCCGTTCAAATTGTTTAAAATGTGCCTTTAAGTGGTCTCTAGCCGCTAATGGTACGAATCCTGCCAGGGAAGTAGGTATCCCAGCTAGCTTACAGAACTAAGATGATTCTACTGACATGCCAGTTGATTGAAAATAACATGGTGGGGCACACGAGGTCTTCCACCTCCAGTTAAGCTGGGAACTCACCATATGACATCAATTGTGTTGGTGCGAATCAAAACCCAACCAAAAAAAAAAAAAAGAAGAAGAAGAAGAAGAAAATGAACCAGTGTGAGAAAGCAACTCGTGTTGTCTGTTTAGATTCGTACGATATGCCGAAACAGGTAATGTTTGAGTTCTCTTAAAACCTTGTGCCTTTTCCTTTTCTGTGTGCTTATCATGGTCTAACTGTATATCCGAACCGTATTTAACAAGTTTTTCACCATGTTGAAAATGTCTCAAAATATCGTGTGATTCTTTAGAATTTGGTGTTGAAGTAAATGATTTAATATCTTTCAGTTGTTTTTCATGGTTTTGATTTTTATTCTTTGTAATGCTTTTAACTAACGTATTGTCGAAATCTTCTTGGATTTCGTCAGATGTGGTTTTCTTTTTAACTGCTGCATTTTTAGTTTCTTTTATTTCAATTTGAACTTCTTCTTCGTCAATCACTTTCTTCTCATGACACAAGCATAGCTGGCAATGATGAGTGCCAGAATTAATGTTATGTTTATTGAAAATAAATCTAATTTTCTTTTCCACGATGTCACCTATCTCTGAACGTATTGCTGGTATTACTTCTGTTTCAATTACTTGTGAAATGCTTGAGTTCATTGACTGGAAATATAAATAAATGATATTCGCGTATAGTAAGTGGTAACCGGTATATGTTAAAGTTAATATACATAAAATTAATGTAATATAAGTAAAATCCCTACAAGCTAAAACAGTAACTTATTCCATTTACAATCATGACACAACGAGGCACACATAGATGAAGTACAAACAATTTGGTTACAAAAGATAATGTTATACTTACGAAAAACTTTTATAGTAGAATCCCACAATGAAAAAGAGATTATCATTTCGTGTCTTCACAAAAAGCAATAAAAGATGAGACCAAAGACCATCAGGACAAAGGCGACTCTCAAAGGACACAACCCAAAACATAATCCAGACGCAACAAAAGGGCACCAGAAGGCACCGAACCAAGACCGGAAGATAACACAAATGCGGCATTAGGTGGATTGGGACATGCATGTAGTACTGTCTGAAGAATTTGTTTTTTTCAATTTAAATGTACTTGGATATTATACATGTATTTTAGTAACCATTTGATCAAAATAAGGATTACTCATGTTTAGGGTATCATCTAGGTATCGGAAAGTGTTTTTAATATATGTATAACTTCCTGTTGTGAATTATGGGAGAGTAGTTAAAAATCCCTCCAAAGCAATATAAAATAAATCGGCTCTATTCAAGTTTGAATATGGGTAATCTCGGGTTAAAAACTAGGTCTCACAGCCCAAACACAATCACTTTTGTGGCTGCAGTTTTAATCCCAATATTCTGGAAATTGGCCAGAAAGGTTGTTTTGATGATTTCTAGGTCAGGTTCGAATATGAGTAATCTCGGGTCAAAAATTAGGTCACATGAGTTTAAAATAGAAAACAAATGTAAACACTCTATTGGCTGCAATTGTGATCAAAATATCCTAAAAATTGATCAGGTAGATTGTTTTGATGATTTCTAGGTGAAGTTTGAATATGGGTCATCTCAAGGCAAAATCTAGGCCTCGGGAGTTAATAATAGAAAAATCCTGTTATTACTCTTGTGACTGCCGTTAAATCCCACAATCCTAGAAATTGGTCAGAAGGTTTGTTCTGTTGATTTATAGGTCAAATTTAAATATGGGTAAAATCGGGTCAAAAATTAAGTCACATGAGTTAAACATAGACAAATCGTATTTAACACTCTTGTGGCTGCAATTTTGATCCCGATATCCTGGAAATTGGCCAGGAAGATTGTTTTGATGATTTTTATGTCCAGTACAAATATGGGTAATCTCAGTTCAAAAACTAGGTCACACATCGTTAATCAAGTAAAACATTATTAACACTATAGGGGCTACTTTAGTCCAGATATCCTGGAAATTGGTCAGAAATGTTTTTTGATGATTTCTTGGTCAAGTTAAAATATGGGTTGTCTCGGGTCAAAAACTAGGTCACAAGAGCTAAAAATAAAAAGTCTTGCTTACACTCTTGCGGCTGTAGTTCTGGTTCAAATATTTTTGAAATTGGCCAGTAATATTGTTTTGGTGATTTCTAGGTCAAGTTTGAATATTGGTCATCTCGAGTCAAAAGCAAGGTCACACAGCCAAAATAAGGAAAACCCTTATTAACACTCCAGGTGCTACTTTTTCACTCCAAATATCCCGGAAATTGGCCAGAAAGGTTGTTTTGATGATTTCTAGGCCAAGTTTTAATGTGGTCATATCGGATCAAAATCTAGGTCACAAAGCCCAATTATGCATAAACATTTTTAACACTCTAGGGGTTACTGTTTAAGTCGAATTATCCTGGAAATTGGTCAGAAAGGTTGTTTTGATTATTTCTAGGTCAAGTTCGAATATGGGTCATCATGGGTAAAAACTAGGTCAAAATGGGATTGAGCCTTCATAGTCAGGTAATCGATATCGGGCCATCAGGCCCCCTTGTTTTAAATAAATTCATTTAGGTTTATAATTTAGTGGCGTTAGAATACAGGGGTGGAAAACGGAAATTTTTACGATGAAAATTTATAATTTAACTTTAAATTTTTTATTTTATTAAATTTTAAAGTCAAAAATGATACTTTATGGGAAAACAGACATAATAAAATAAAAAAGGGTAACTGATGTCAAGATGTAAAAAATTTGAATGAAGCGGGCTTTATATAGACGTTTAAGTAATTTTGGAATCCAGTGCATTGTAGAAAGTTTGAATTCATTCTCATCAACACGGACTTTAAAAATAAAAGGTAGAAATGCTAGAAATATGACTGTGAGCAATAGAGAAACAAAGGGTTTAGTGTAAGCATTTGAATTTAGAATTTCCGGATCCTCTCTAAAGCGGTTGTCCTAAATTGCACTACTACTCTTTTGTCATGCATTGTAATATACGAAGAACAAAATCTATGAAAACAGTTACTTACAAAGTCTTCTCTGAGGTTTTCTTTTCTGCCGAGAAATGGTGATTGGGGAAACACATTAAGGTCCTCAACACGTCTCTCCTGGTAAACCTCTTGACTGATATGTAGATCATGTTTGAAGGCGAACGGCTCCGAAATGTCCAGATTTTCCGTTTCATTTTTAGGGCGTACGTTTTTCTTCCTTTCTGTTTTTTGGTTCATGATTATATTGTTAAATTATCATAAGAAATTAAATATTAGATTTCAAATAAGAAACTCCCGAACATGTACATTATTAAGAACTTAAAATTAAAGTAATCTTACATTTATCTGTAAATATATGCTACATTTATCCTGTGTATTTAAGATAAAATGAACACTTTAATCGCAAGTTTGAAGTTGTATGACTTATCTTATCAAATAATCACGCAATGATAACAGACAAAACAAAAAGCGCCACAATGCGACGAGAACCAGATTTTCAACCACCAAGTATTGATGTGAAACCAATATTTAATATACCTTTTAAGTCTACAATAGACACCAATCTTCGTAGTTTTCAATACAAATTTTAATGCGTTTAGTCCCAACAAATAAATATCTTTTTAAATGCAAATTATCATCTAGCAATGTGTGTGATTTTTGTTCTATGGAGATAGAATCTATTGAACATTTAATATGGGAATGTCAATTAACACAAGTTTTCTGGAACAAAATTTAAATATTTTTATTCTTTAAAGGTTATGAAATACCTCTAAACTTAAGACAGGTGTGTTTCGGTATATTAAGTAAACATAACACTGTAAATTTTATCATAATTCTGTGTAAATACTTCATATTTAAAATGAAATATAGCAAATATATACCAACATTTGAAAAAAAATATGCCATTTCTCTCTTACAGGATTAGAATTGAAAAAGAAATATCATTAATACAAGACAATCTACAAAATTTTGAAGAAAAATGGTCAAATTTCAATGAAACTTAACTTTTACAAACCCCAAAACCACACAATTCAGACATATAATTTATGCATATACAAATAGAAAAGGAAACGATCTTCAATTCTTATCTCCGTTTAGTCCATTCCTTATATTTTCTCCATTTTTTTATTTTTTTAAATATATTTTTTTTACTAAGTATTAGCTTTGTCAAATATCATTATGAGTGTAATTTTTTTCAACTTTCTTTTAATAGGGACATAACTAATCTTTATCTTTTCACTCTCTTTTTTTCTTCTTCTTATTCTTCATTTATCTTTCCTTTCTTTATACACTTTCTTTTCTCTCTTTCATACTAACTATGCACTTTATAGTACTATCAGTTTTTCTTAGCACTCATTTTCTTCTGTCAAAATCTATTATAAAAAGATCTTAAGATACAAATATACTTGTCAAAATCTGATAACATTGATTTGACATTTATTTTTATGTATCTATTACATGTACAATGATTTGAATTTTTGTATGTTATGATTGAAAAATAAAAGAGAAAAAAAAGTATTGATGTGACAGGAATTAGGAATGATATATGGCAGTGAAGTTAAAATGATGCTGTAATTTGTACTAACACAGAAAGTTGGTTTTAATAGTTAAAGATAGAAATATACAAGATACCTGAGTAGCAATGCCAGGCTGTATTTTCATATAAGCTAAAGACATGTTAAGTAAAGTATCAATAGGTCAAAGTGTACTAAAGTTATTGAGTGAAAGCGAAAGTTCTATTGTAAGCAAATGACCTCAACCTTGCTCAATGACATTTCAGTTGCAATCCCGAGTTGCATCTTAATATAAGATACCCACACAGCAAGTTTGGTGTCAAAAGGTCAAAGCAAAACCAAGTTAAATCGTGAAAACTGTACCTCTTTTTTAAAGAAACAGTGACCTTGACCCTCTTTACGGACCCCAAGGTAGCAATCTCAAATTTGTGTTGATATAAGCTACCCACATAAATGTACTTTTTTGGTGTAAATAAGTCTAAGCAGAGTCGTGTCATTGTGTAGAATTCGATTTTTTAGCTCACCTGAGCTAGCTCAGGGTAAGCTTTTAGGATCGTTGAATGTCCGTCGTCCGTCGTCTGTCGTCCGTCCACACTTTTTCGTTAACACTCTAGCGGTTACATTTTTGCCTTAATTATCATCAATCTTGGTCAGGATGCTTATCTAGGTAATAGCTCGGATGAATTAGAACATAGGTCATCTCGGATGAAAAACTAGGTCATAGGAGCTAGAAATAGAAAAAACCTAGCTAACACTCTAGTGGTTATATTTTTGAGTCAATTATCATCAAACTTGGTCAGGATGCTTGTCTAGGTAATTGCTCGGATGAGTTCGAACATGGCTTATCTCGAATGAAAAACTAGGTCACAGGAGCTAAAACTAGAAAAATCTTGTTAACACTCTAGTGGCTACTGTTATGATCCAAATATCTTGAAAAATTGGTCTGAAAGTTTGTTTTGATGATTTCTAGGTCAAGTTCGAATATGGGTCACCTTGGATTAAAAACTAGGCCACACCGCCCAAATATGGAACAACCTTGTTAACACTCTAGTGGTTACATTTTTTACTCAATTATCATCAAATCTAGTCAGGATGCTTGTCTAGATAATTGCTCGGATGATTTTGAACATGGGTCATATTTGATGGAAAACTAGATCACAGGAGCTAATTTAAAAAAAAAGAAAAATCTTGTTAACACTCTAGTGGCTACTGTTTTGATCTCAGTATCCTGGAAATTGGTCTGAAAGTTTGTTATGATGATTTCTAGGTCAAGTTCGAATATGGGTCACCTTGGATTTAGAACAAGGTCACACTGATCAAATATGGACACTTTAGTGGTCACATTTTTGACTCACCTGTCATGAAACTTGGTTAGAATGCTTGTCTAGCTAATTGTTCGGATGAGTTCGATGGGTCAGGTTTGCGATCTAGGGCCATCTTGGCCCTCTTATTATTTTTAGCAAGAGTGACAGTAACTTGACCACATACATTTGGGTAGCAATCCCGAGATGCGTCTTGATAAGCTGCCCACACACCAAATTTACTGTCAATAGGTCACGGCTTACTCAAGTTATTATGTGGAAGGAAACTGAATTTCTATTTTAAGCAACAGTGACTTTGACCTTAATCATGGTCACCTAGGCAGTAATCCCGAGAAGCATCTTGATATAAAATACCCACATACTACTTTGGTGTCAATAGGCTGGGGCAATCTCAAGTTAATAAGCGGAAACTAACTGAACTTCTACTTTTAGAAATATGACCTTGACCTTGATCACTAACACCTGGGTAGCACTCTTGAGTGGCGTCTCGATAAAAACTACCACAACACAAAATTTGGTGTAAATAGGTGGTCTCAGCAAACTTGAGTAAATATGTGAAATTTCTATCTTTAGGTACAGTTACCTTGACCTTGATCATAGACACCTGAGTAGCAATCCCAAGCTGCCTTTTGATATAAGCTACCCATACACCAAGTTTGGCGTCAATAGGCCTAAGCAAACTCAAGTTATTGGTCAGAAACTGAATTTCTATTTTAGCAACAGTGACAATGACCTTAATTACAGACACCTGAAAGCAATCTCAATCTGCCTCTTGATAAAAGATATCCACACACCAAGTTTTGTGTAAATAGGCCGAAGCAAACTCAAATTATTGAGAGAATCTGAATGTCTTTTTTAGCAACAGTGACCTTTAAGGCAGATACCTTGGTGCCTCTTCATATAAGCTACCCACAGTTTTGCGCCAAAAGGCCAAAGCAAACACAAGTTATTGAGCGGAAACCAAAAGTTGCCCACCCGCCCACTTCAGCATTACGTTGAAAACCTAGTTTAAATGAAAAGAGTAAAGGCTGGATTTTATATTGCTTATTGCATATCTTCACTTATTTTCTATTGATTCATTCATTTGGATATTCTTACGCACATCTTCTGTATGTCAAATTAAATAAAACAACGGTTATATGAATTTTGACCTCTAATACCGTTTGTGAGAAAATATTCGACAATAAGAGGATATACGTTTTATAACCAAACAGCGAAGTTTAGGGGGTATGCAGGAGTTAGCTTGTCGGTTGGTCGGTCGGTCCACTTCATGGTTCCTTGATGATAGCTAGGGTTCTGAATAAGATTTTTAATCACACTTTATATATGGCAAGCTACGGAAATCCCGGTAAGGATTGATTGCTTTTGGATAATCTAGGGACAATGACGTTGTTAATAAAAATATTTTTTTCGACGAAAACTAGAGTTAGGAAAGACTTTGTTTTTGTTACGTTGATTGTTTTAAGCAAAATTAAATAGTAAATATGATGATGTGTATTCTATTTATTTCTTTGACAGTGTAACTTATATATATTGTAGTTTTAGGTCTTTCGGTATATCAAAATATATAACACATGGCTGTCAGGATAATAAAGGATACTGCCAACCCTTGAACTGGCATATTACCCTCAGCTGCGACATTGTGTAATAAACATGTACCAGTTATCGGCTTGACAAAAATTTGTCTGACAGCCATGTCTTATATATATATTAAGAGTGAGATGTTTTGATATATAGCAAGCAAAAAGAGACCTCGCATTTGACCTATTTTGACCCACTAGGATGTCACTGTCAGTAAAAGAAATAGTTTTCAGACGATTATTAATTAAATAGTTAATATTTGATATAATACTTAGCATAAACCTCGCTTTTGATCTCTTTAAGCCCCCCCCCCCCCCGATAAAGGTCAATGAAACTGTCACTAAAATAGGAAAATATGTTTCAGACGATAGATTAAGTTGAAAATGAAATATAATGATCAAAGTTTGTATATAGCAAGCTTATGTAAAGACCTCGCTTAGGATTGTTCTGGTTCACCTATGGTCGAAGTCAAAGTCATTGTTATTAAAATAGAAAAGTCGTTTCCGGACGTTTGCTAGAACTAGGAATGAGATATTGTATTCTAACACTCCTCGTGATTTTGTCACTTTAGACAAAGAAGAAAAAACATTATAAACACTGGTCATGGACTACTTGTGCAGCTGTTATGTTTTCTCCCTCGATTATATAGTTATTGACATTTTCATTTCTTATAATGTTTTCTTTTCATACAATACCGAAATAAGTTCTTACATACTCTAACGCCACAGTTTTGATGCATATCAGTTTATGAATATTTTGACAAAACGGCGCCAATCCGTAAGCAGCGTAATGACGTCATCCTAAGTATACAACTCATTCATAAACGCTGACGTCATTTCAAACATTCAAGAATGATAAATTAGGCACTGGACTTAAGCACAATACAATCCATTCTAAGACGTAAGTTTTTATTATTGAAACATGATAAAATAACTTTTTTTCTCATTATTTCTTTTGTTTAATAATTTTTATATCTTAGCAACAGTAGGGTTGCTTACGCTCTTCGTGGTCAATTCCTACGCATCAAAACTCCGAACCGGTGTTAAATAGCCGATAAACACCGCTAAGACCGATATTATTATTTCTTAAATCCAACCTACTTTTTGAGAACTAGGAATAAGACATTGTAATGAAACTTACTTTTTGAATGCTTTTGGTCACCTTAGTATTACGGTTGAGGTCACTGACCTACTCTACTTAAATTAGAAACTTTGTTTCCGTAAAATAACTAGACATTTGAATAAGATATTGTCATCACAAACTTGGTATATATCAAGTCTATTTCGAGAACTCGCTCGGGATTGCTTTACGTCAAAGTTTTGTTCATAACCACTATCTTTATGACACAGCACTTGTTGACATTTCTTCTTTGTTTTCTTTAAGAAAAAAACAACAACAACAAACAAAAAGCAATGAATAAATAAATAATGAAATAATGAAATAAAAAACAATACTATTTTTGGCACATAGATAAAACAACCTAGAATACAGGTCAAATTGGATATAGTTCCTTCTTGTGTTTTTTTTTTACAATGAATTGTAATAATTTAATAAATAACAGTTACATATCATTTACAGGTGTTATTCACACTCGACTTCAAAGAACTTAATTTTCAAATAGTTAATGTGGGGGTTCGGTTTTTAGTGATAGCTTTAGTTTTTTAAATATACATGCGTTTGTCTTGCTGCAGAACTAGCCATGCTTTCATTTTAGTGTAGTGTTCTTATTGTGTGGTCTTTCTACCTATTTTTTCAAATGTCTCTAAATAAATTTATCAGCATACACAAGAGTTGTAAACAATACATCCATTTTATTCAAAACAAATTTATTATGGTGATGGTTGTACTGATTTATAAGTAAACATTGTCGAGCGTTGTATCGTATTGTCGCATTATCGCTTCGAACTGTCGAGTGTCGTGATATGCATTTCTGCTAACCCCGACACTCGACAATGTGAAGTGACAATGCGACAATGCGAAGTGACAATGCTACAACACGAATTGACATCGCGACAATGCAAAGCGACATTCGACAACGCGAAGCGAAACGTCTAAAATGCCTTTTTATCGCGACATGTTTTATGCGACAGTGCGATATATCGTTTGACATTGTTGAGCGTTGGTTCGCATTTTCGCATGTCGCTTCGCGTTGTCGAGCGTCGCTTCGCATTGTCGCGATGTCACTTTGCAGTGTCATGTGTCGTCCCTTAGACGCAACAGACGACATTTTTAATGGCACGATAAGGGCACTGTACTTTAAGGACTTTCTTCACCTACTTTATCTGTAAAAATGAATAGGGCGACACAAATCTTGCATGTCAATAGATGTCATTTTTCTTTGCCGAAACTGGACACTGTGCATTTCGGCTATGATGTATGGTGGCTGATTTCGAACGCTTTTGTGGGCCGTGTTGGCGCTTGCGACAACATGACAAAGCATCAAACGGTACGTTGTCGGACTTTCGTCTTGTCGTCCTGCGCTATCGATGCACATCAAACGGCGTGTTGTCGTGCGGCGTGTTGTCGCGATGTCACATTGTCGCTCGGTTCGAAGAATATAAGCTTATAAGCCAAGCGACAGGGCGACATCGCGACAACACATCGCATGACAGGAAGACAAGACGACAGTACGAAAACGCGCCGTTTGGCGCGACATATAGGTTGTGTTGTCGCTATCGACAACGCAATGCGCAGTTACCAAATCAGCCACCATAATGATGTATATTAACAGTAGAACTTAATCCACGTGAGAACAACGCTCTAGTGTGACAAGGGTTTAAGCTCAAGCTTCCCCGGACACGGATATAGTTCTATTGTGTTAGTACTTGGTATATATGTTGATGATAATAATAATATTTAAACTAAGAATGTGAAATCTAGTGCACATGTTTAAGAAATCAAAAATACTCCTAAAGTGATATAAGGCGTTAAGTACTGTACATTTACCGCAATAGAAGAATTGAACCGATGTAAGTAGAGCGCTAAACACAAGCCTGTCAGAAATTCTCGAAAGGGATCGAGGCCAATAAAACGAATAGTAATCGCATGTTCAGTTTTGTTGTTAAGAGGTTTTTATTACATGGAATGCTGGTCTGCGGTGTAGTGCTAAGAAATTCAGGAATTTATAAAATAAATTATTGAAGTTTATTCTTGTATACATAAGAAGTTTATATACATATTTATAGAAAGCAGGATTAGAAAACACTTACAAGGAAAAGCTCAAGTTCATTTTTCATACACAATCATGGCAGGTTAAGATCAATCCTAGCCTTAATAAGCATTTGGATACAATTTAAAATTACAACATTTTGCATGAAAATTTTTGTCGTGTGATTACTATCTTTATCACACACCCGTGCCGATTTTGAGACTCCGTAAATATGGTATTGCACGGCCGTGCATATTTTTTGACGTGACGTCATTAGCGTTATACAAACATAGTGTAAAGACGCGCTAAATGTTAGCGTTAAACTATAGGCGCGTCAAAGAAAAATGACTCTTATTTTACTTTAAACGGTCTTTATTTTGGGTATGTGATAAATAGAATATTAAATTCGTGTAAGTTCATTACTGAATTTATTGCACTCGTTGAATAAAATAATTTTATGCTCGCCAGAGGCTCGCATAATATAATTTTATTCAACTCGTGCAATAAATTCAGTATTGAACTTACACTCATTCAATATCCTCTATATATTATATACAAAGTTCAATGAAAAAGTGTTAAATTGTTAATGGCCTTCATGTTTTATTTTACAAGCAAGTTTCTGTTCAACACCGAAATAATACTTTAAGAAAATGATCGATGTTTAGTGTATGTTCACTTACATTACGAAAGAATGTGACCACATGCACCTGACAGAATAAGAGTAAATATAGCTATTATACCTGACGAAAACATTTAACTATATAACCTAATGTGACGTAACATGGTGTTATCCTTGAAATGAATATCACCCGGTCAATAAATTTTTGAAATATTCCCGTGGGGCAAGTAATCTATAAGCCCTTAGAAACGTAATGTTCTAGTTCTCTCCCATGATAAATATTAATGATGAAAGGCTCTCTGAGTAATAATGCATAGCGGTGAAAAATTACGTGAAAATGTTTGTTTGATTGATTCAATTAAAAAAACACATGTCTCTCAGGGTTACAGTGAATATTAACAACCATTGAACTGAAATACCACGCGAGGGGTATCAACTTACAGACAAATATTAATTGTAATTTATAATATGACTGTACGATACAGTATAAGAATTGTGTTTTTTTAACAAATGATTCGAATATATACACTTTTCATCAAGGACTTTTCAAAACGTTAACTTGATACAAAGAGTATGCAAGCGTATTTTCTAAACGTCTGACGACACGAGATCTTCATTTGAAACCACAATAAAATGTCCTTTATTTGTGTTAATTGATTTTAAATGTACATGAGGAACTGCTGGTTTAAAGTTTTCATCCTTTTCCCTAGATGATTTTGTTTTATCAAGCTCATTTGTTGAATTTTCAGTGATAATGTTGCTATTCGAGCAATTGTTGGTACCATCAAAAAAAGTACATGATTTGAAGTTTTCATCTTTTTTCTTAGATACGTTTATCTCTTCAACTTCACTTGTTGTCTTTTTAGGAACAATATTGCTCTTCGAACAATCGTTGGCACCATCAAAATAAGTGACTGGTATGAACTTATCATCTTTATTCTTAGATGAGTTTGTTTCTTGATGCTCATTTGTGGACTTTTCAGGAACAATATTCCTCTTCAAACAAGCGTTGGTGTCATCCAAAACAGTGTCTTTCTTCGGGTGGAAATCGGAAAGCGGCATCTGTTGAGGACATGTCTCAAATGTTGGTTCAGGACTCCGTATTGTCGGTTGAGATTGATCTCCCGTTTGTTTAATATCATCTGATTGTGTTCTTGTATTAGCCTTAAAATATTAAGAAGCATTTTATTATTTTGTAATTTACATAAAATATACATTGTACCTTCATTAAAAAATCTATCAAAACGATTGATTAATGTATATCTTTTGATACCAAAAGTCCGTGGTCTAATGCATTTTACTCAGTTTTGATCAAGTCGCTTCTATCTCAGTACAAGAAAGATAAACCAAAAAGCAAACCTTCCAATCTTTTTATTCATATCCTGAATGCCCCGTTTGATTCTTTTTTGAAAAAAGGTGGTTTTTGGGAAATTGAAACAATCAAAAGAGATGGGGGATATCTTGATGACTCAAATGAAGGCAAACGACCCATCATAGACGGGTTTGGTCGTATTTTACATTAACAATCCATTTCTCCTTTTTATGTTTTATCATTCTTTCAAGTCCTTGTGCAACATAGTGAAGTTGGTTGTTCTTTTTGTCAAAGCTGAAATGATAGAATGTGAAACGAAACATCTGAAACGATGCTTTTTGCAAGTGGAAATTCCAGAAGAATAATAACCATCGCCACATTTCTCCCTGAACTCCAGGTTGGTTTTGTCGCCTGTACGATACAGTTGTTACAAACCTGAGTCTATAAGATTTATACTTCCATAGCCTATTCAGCTAAATGTACCTTAAGCATTTAATTGGAATGTAAGGTTTGCAAAGAGTGGACACTTTCGGAACACCTCACTCCGTTCTTTTTATAATGTTCAAACTTTTGCCTCAATACTTTCTTGCAACTGTTATTTTGAGACTTTATTTTTGCTTCCCCAAAAAAAAACCCGTAAAAGGGGGGAAGGGGAACCTTTTTTTTTTTTTCCAAAGTTCTTCTTTTTAAACCCTTTTTATTAATACTTTTTTAGAAAACACGAACCTGATCTTTACGATCAAGGTTTTCCTTAAATCAGACTTTTCACTTAAGGCAATGCCCAGCAAAACTCGGGAACCCATTTCTTTGAAAAATTTATTTTACACCCTAAGGATACAAAACTTTTTCTTTTGTTTAAAAACTGTTTACAAAAAAAAAAAGAATAAATTTATTTTAACCGGTCAACATTCTGAAGAAGAAAAGAACCTAAAACAGTCAAAAAACGGCAAATTGAAAATGTTTCATCAGTTTGAGGGGAGTGTTTTTTAAAGAGGAAAGACTTATGCCCCCCCCCCGAGTTTAAAAGCGTTTTTCAACATTTCTTTAAAGGGTTTTAAATTTTAATTTGAAACATGGATATGTGTTCTTGGCGGTGACTTAAACCTTTCCATTTGCAGTTAAAAGTCCCTCCATTTGAAAAAGGGTTGGGTCCCCGATATTGTCCCAAAACCAGAAAACAATAGCTAACAAAAAAAAGGGATTTGAAAGGGTTTCTTTGAGTTTTGAAACCCCTGTATATCCAGAAAGGGGTCAAAAGCCTTTTGAAAAGCAGGCCAATAGCTCAACGAACTTTTTCTCCTTAAATTTTGCCATTTGTTTTTGCTTTTTCAAGAAGAAATAAAGCCATGTGAAGTATGTTCGAAAACTTAAACTTTTTCCCCAAATTTTTGAAACATAACATTAGCAAAAAGACCTTTCATGTTAAAAACATTCTTATAATTAAAAATAAAATTGAAAATTGACAATACATCAAATTTTCTTTCCCATTTAATTTGGGGTTTTTAAAATTGTGGTTTTTAAAGTTTTTTTTAATGTTTTTAAAGGTAGAATACCTGGGAAAATATAGATATAGTTTCTTAAAATAAGGGGCGTCGATAGTTCTACTGAGATTCCCGTTTGTGGCTGAAATAAAGCACAAAGGGAAATAATGTCAATCTCCACCAGTAAAAGGTGGAAAGTCGACATATGTCCTCTTTGTTTGGTGCGACTCAAAAAAACAAAACAAAACAAAAAAAATTGAAACTTTACCATTGTGGTGAAATCAGCTCGTGTTGTCTGTTAGGTTTGGTACGATGTGCCGAGACAGGCAATGTGCGATTCTCATAAAACTTGTGCCTTTTCCTTTTCGTATGCTTATCGTGGTCTAACTGTATTCCGAAACCATATTTAATAAGTTTTTTTCACCATGTTGAAAATGTCTAGAAATATCTTGTGATTTTTTTTAGAATTTGGGTGTTGAAGTGAATGATTTAATATCTTTCAGTTTTTCTTCATGTTTTTTGATTTTTACTATCGGTAATGCGTTTGTAACTAATGTATCGTCAAAATCGTCTTGGGTGTCAGATGCAGTGTTCTTTTTAACTGTTTGAATTTTACTTTTATTTGTATCAATTTGAATTTCTTCTTCGTCAATCACTTTCTTCTTCTCAGGACACAAGCATGTCTGACAATGACGAGCGTCAAAAATTCATCTTATGTTCATTGAAAATATATCTAATCTTCTCCTCCACGATGTCACCAATCTCTGAACGAATTGCTGGTAATACTTCCTGTTGTAATTACTTGTGGAAGCTTGAGTTCATTAAATGGGAAATATGAATGGATATTTTGTATAATAATGGGTAAATGTTAAAGTTAATTATACATTAATGTAATATACAATGTACAGCACGAGAACACTTCACCAGTACAACAGTAACTTATTCCTTGTACATTTTGTACAAACATTGACACAATGAGGCAAACGTGAATTAAGTACAATGAGTCTCAAAATAGCAGTAAGGTAACATAAGATAATGTTTTACTAACGAAAAACTATAATAGTAAAAAAATTACAAAGGGATCCTATAATGAAATAAAAGATTATCATTTCTTGAAAGGTCTGAACAAGAGGTACAAGAAGCACAATAAACATAATCTCTCTAAATCACAGAAACCTGTTACCATTCAAGCCTATAGTCTTTATTCAAACCTCCTCTTTGTATAAAATGTGAAATTGATACCCGACAGTTTTACTTGGGGGGGGGGGGAAATATCATGAATTCGGATCATCTGTATATTTAGATAAAACTACTTATGTCACGTTTTCGATACGAATATACTGCAATTAATATCAAATTTTAACAAGCAAGATCCATTTTATTTTTGGAAACCTGCAACTTTATTGTATTTACAATAATGATGTTGAAAAGATAACAGGTATTTCAATGTTTATTTAGGATCATATTTTCTTATTTTTATCGAATTACATTAAATGGAAATGAATATAACATTTTCGAATCTAATGCAGCTATTTTATATTTAATTGTAAGTTTGAGTTTTTTTTTCGCCCTGGCATGTTCGTCATTTATTAAAAACTTTGTCATTAATGCACCCATCTATATATTTTCATAGAGAACATACAGCAAAATATCAGTCTTGACTATAGTGCAACGAGTTAACTTATCGTATTCAATTCAAGATGGAGACATGAAACAATGAATAATTACTTTTTTATTTGGTGAAATAGACATCGACCATGACTGCATTCGAATCAAGTAATTTTTTCCCCCTTTTTTAAAGCGATTTGTTCTTGTCTGCACTACTACTCTTTTGACATGTAACTACTGTCAGACATTGTAAGAAACGAAGAGCAAAATCTATATAAACGGTTACTTACTAAGTCATCTCTGATATTTTCTTTTCTGTCAAGAATTGGTGATTTTGGGAAACACATAGTGTTGTCAACACGTCTTTTCCTGGTAAACCTCTTGACCGATATGTAAATCATGTTTAAAGTCGTATGGCTCCGAAAATGTCCAGATTTGCGTTTCAATCTTAGGGCGTAAGTTTTTCTTCCTTACCGTTGTTTTGCTCATGATTTTTATATCATCAAATTATCATAAAACATTAGATATTAGAAATCAAAATTAAAAACTCCGCGAACATTAACACTAATTAAACTTCTCTTACATTGGTCTGTAAATATATGCTTCGTGTATCCTGTGCGTTAAAGATAAGACTGAACACGTGAATCGCAAATTGGCATGACTAATCTTATAAAATTATTACGCAGTTTAAAGCAAAGATTTTATCATGCTGATGACACGTCTTCACTATATATAGATTAGTGATATATTTATTTGGGAATTTCTTGAGTGGCAAACTATCAAAACATCTTTTTTTTTTTCAACTTAAACAAAAAAAAGGGTATCAGATTACCCAAAAAGAAAAATTACACTTTTCGACAATAAAGAGGATATGTATTTTGAATACCTCCACACGGAAGTTTACGGGGTATGTAAGAGTGATCTTGTCGGTCGGGTTATTCGGTCGGTCCACTTCCAGGACGATTGAGTTTGAAATGAGATATTTTAATTAAACTTGATATAGAGCAAGGTGTGGAGATCCCGGTTAGGTTTGCTTTTGGTCCCCTGTTACAAAAAATAAAAAAGTTGGTGTTTTTTTACTAAAACTTTAGTTTAGAATGTGATATTTTAATCAAACTTTGTGTATAGCAAGGTTATGTGGATACTCTGGGATTGCTTTTGGACCCCATAGGATCAAGGTCACGGGTACTAGAAAAACTGTTTCTGAATTATAACTAGATTTAAAAATGAGATATTATAATCAAACTTGATATAATATATCAAGCATATAAAGATACCTCGCATTTGATTTATTTTTTACTCAATAGGATAAAGGTAATTGTCAATGTCAGTAAAAGAAATAGTTTTCAGACGATAACTAGTGTTAATTTAGGAATGAGATATTGTAATAATACTTAGCATATAGAAGCATTCATAAAAACCTCGCTTTTGATCTCTTTGAATTCCCCACCCCCTCCCCAGGGTAAAGGTCAATATCACTGTCACTAAAATAGAAAAATAGTCGGACGATAACTTATATTAGGTTGAAAATGAGATATAATTAATGATCAAAGTTTGTATATAACAAGCGTATATGAAGACCTCGCTTAGGATTGCTCTTGGTTCACCTATGGTCGAAGTCACGGTTTCTGTAACTTAATATTGAAAAGTTGTTTCCGGACGTTTACTAGAACTAGGAACGAGATATTGTAATCAAACCTACTTCTTTCACTGACCTCCTCTATTAAAATTAGAAACTTGGTTTCCGGAGTGAATAAGATATT